TATCCCTTCATTTTAATTGTTTCAGTTTTAAACCATTCATTGTGTAATCATACAGAGACTTAGTTTTCTCCACTGTAATAGTGTCTCCCATTTCTTCATGTGGGAAAAAACTCTCTCTTTTAACTAATTCCTTCCTTTTAAGAATTCCTAATTGTCTTATTGTCTTACCAGATATGCTGACAATGTCAGTAAACTGTGAGTGTAGTATGTCAGAGAACTAGCTTGAAGCCAGGAGCTGAGGGTAGCAACCCAGGAAAAGGGCTGTAGGGAAAGCCCCAAACCAACAGGGGTGGGGTGGGGTGGTGGATGCTGAAACACCACATGTGGCTGGAGTTGCCTGGAGGCAGAGCCAGCTGGTCTAGGACTGGTAATTCCCATGGCATTTGAAGCCTAGGTGCTTCTGGAGTTTGCATGGCAGCTGGAGACTGTTTTAGAGAGGCTACAACAGGAAAATCCCAAACTTGCTCACAGGCTTGGGGAAAAAAGAAAAGAAAACCTAGCCAGCTGGCGAGTGACCCCGGTGGGAGCCCGGCTTGCAGCTCCCGTCTGCCATGGTGGCTGCAAAGCCACAGGCAGTGACTTTTTCACCAATCTTGTACCTTTAAGTTGGTGCCAATATGTAGCATGAATAATTAAAACCCGAGACAGATATTGGGGTTCAAGCTGAAGGTCAGAAAAGCAGTCAACCACTAGATAGTTCTTACTTCTACCAAGGCTGGGGCCATCCTGTCCTCAGTGTGACTGCAGACTGAATATTCTGCACTCCTGTCTCTACCCACCTTATGTTCCTCTCTGGTGCATCACCACCACCAAGCTTCTATGGCTAACTAGTGTGGCTGTTGGGATTAAAGGAGTGTGTCACCACTGCTGGCCTATATGGCTGACTAGTGTGGCTAGTTTTGCACTCTGATCTTCAGCCAAGCTTTACTTGTTAGATCATAAACAGAACACCACCACATTGTGTTTTGAAACAAGGTTTTGCTGTATAGCCCTGGCTGATGAGGAACTCACTATGCATCGAGTTGGCTTGGAACTGACAGCAATCCTTCCACATCAGCCTACCAAGTGCTGAAATTACACGTGTGTGCCCCATGCCTTGCTGGTTCTTTCTGTTTCATCACTTTGATATAAAGTCTGCAGTTAGCAAGTGAAATGCTTGGTGTGGGGTCATTAGGTGGAACAGTTCAAGTCTGGGGTAGGAAAACGAGCAGCGTGTGAAGGAAGGCGGCAGCAGCCAGGCTGCTTGGGAGGCAGCTGCTTTGTTATCAGAACCGATGCTCAACAGAGTGTCATAGTAACCAGGTGATAACGGGGTTTACATGTGAACTCTCCATCTCCCCTCATCCTCAACACTGGCAACCACCATTCTCTCATTTCTGTCTACTCTGAGTATTGTAGGTACTGCATGAAAGTGTAACCATGCAGTATTCAGACTTTTAACACTAGCCAGCCTCTGTTGAAGGTTATTTGTCTGGTTTCCTCGGTTACTGCACTGTTGCTGACCTGGGGTAAAAACTCAATGTAAGCAAGTTTGTTTTTTTGTTTTTTAATTTGTATTTGTTTCTGTGGACTGTGGAGTTGACAGCAGTATTTTGAAGTAAAATCCACCATTTTGGAGCAGGGTATGTTGCAGACTGTGTAGCACACATGAAGCTCTGGATTTGATTCCCAGCAGCTTGAGATCATCCTCAGCTATACACTAAGCTTGAGGTTGCCCATTCTATATGAGACCATGTCTTAAAACAGGAAACAACAACAAAACCCAAAACAAAAGCCTCCAAGTAACCCCAACCCCAACAATAGTAACAAAATCCAACAATAACAACAAACAAAATCCCCAACCACTTTCATGAGAGGAACTTTAAAAAACCCACCCTGTGTTAACCTGAAACTTCTGAACAGAATGTACTGCTGGAGAAAACATATAGGATTAAGTTGGTATGATGGTTAGTCTAGAATCACCTGGGAAGAGCGTCAATGAAGGACTGTCTGAATCAGGTTGGCGTGGGGCTATCTATGGGAGATTATCTTAATGACATTGAGAAACCTGCTCACCACAAGTGACACCATTCCTTAGGAAGGAGATCCCCAAACTTCTTTAGAGAAAGGAAACAAAGAACAACTATGTGTTCAATCATCTATGGCTCTCTGCTTGACTGTGAATGTACTGTGACAAATTCTTTCAGGCCGCCATATGTAAGTGTATCATATGCATGTCTGGTGCCCAACGAGTCCACAGAAGAGGGCACTAGATCCCCTGGAACTGGAGTTACAGATGGGTGTGAACTGCCATGTGGGTGCTGGGAACCGAACCTGGGTCCTCTGAAGAGGTGGTGTTCTTAACTGCTGAGCTACCTCTCCAGACCCACTTTCAGACTATATTAAGATAGCTGGAAACCAATTATTTGGCAGGATGTTTAGCATGTAAGCTGTATAAATAAAACCAAAATAAAACCAAACCACTCAGTGAGAAGTAAACTCACCATGTGGTTAAAGTGTGAAAAACAGGGCTGTAAGGATGGCTCAGAGGTTATGAGCACTGGCTGTTCTTCCAGGGGACCTGAGTTCAATTCCTAGCACCCACATGGTGGCTCACTACCATCCACAATATAAGATCTGGGACTCTCTTCTGGCCTGCAGGCATATATGCAGACAGAACACGGCATACATATTAAATAAACTAATCTTTAAAAAAAAAGGTGTGGCTGGGCGTTGGTGGCGCACGCCTTTAATCCCAGCACTCGGGAGGTAGAGGCAGGCGGATCTCTGTGAGTTCGAGACCAGCCTGGACTACCAAGTGAGTTGCAGGACAGCCTCCAAAGCCACAGAGAAACCCTGTCTCGAAAAACCAAAAAAAAAAAAAAAAAAAAAAAAAGTGTGAAAAACAAAGCAAAAATCCACCCTCATGTAAAAATAGACTTCAGTGCCTTTACCTGGCTGGTTACCACAGAGGACCTTTCTATAGTTACATTACATCTTAGGTAAACACAACAAAACAGAACAGAAGTCAGTAACATTTAAAAACCCAGAAGAACTAAACATGCTTTATAACCTGGAATTAAAGTATACTTAAAAATATGTGTGTGTGCTAGGCAGTGGTGGTGCATGCCTTTAGTACCAGCACTTGGGAGGCAGTGAGGTAGGTGGATCTCTGAGTTCAAGGACACACTGGTCTACAAAATGAGTTTCAGGATAGCCAGGGCTGTTATACAGAGAAACCCAGTCTCAAAACAACCCCCCCCAAAACGTGTCTGTATTGTACAGAAAGAGTCTTGCTATGCTGCTCAGCCTGGTCTTCTGACTCTCGGATTTAAGCTATTCTCCTGCCTCAGCCTCCCAAATAGCTGGGATGACTGTGGCATGGTGTATGGCACTATACCTGACTTTTAAAACTCTTCTAATTAATTCTCAGCAATGCCATAAATGCATTAGTTTGGGGGAGAAAAGCAAGACAAATAAAATACTTAAAGATTTATTTTTATTTGTGTTGTTTGTTTGCATGTTACACATATGAAGGGAGCATTGGGTTCCCTGGAGGTGGAGTTACAGATGGTTGTGAGCCATCTGAAGTGGGTGCTGGGAGATGAATTCTCAGGTCCACTGAAAGAGTGATGCTATCTTTGGCTGTCAACTTGACTACAGCTGGAAGTAACTAAAACCCCAAAGGGACACACCCGTGAGGGGATTTTGCTCACTTTGAAGTGTGACGATGCACTTCTAGTCTGGATCTTTGAGGTAGGAGGACATACCTTTGATCCAGATCTTTTGAGATGGGAAGATCTGCCTCTAATTTGGGCCATGTCTTTTGCTGGAAACCTCTATGATACAAGGACATGGGAGAAAGTTTGTACGTGTTACCTGCTTGCTTTTGCCTCACAGGACATCCAACCCTTCACTAGCTGTAGAGTCTCCCTCTTCGGGATTCCAGCACAGTTTGAATCAGTTAAGACATCCAGCCTTTATGGGCTGAGCAAGCACTGGGTTCTTGGGACTTTCCATTCACAGGCAGCCAATGTTGGATTAGCTGGACCTAATAAATCCCCTTTCTATATATGTAGAGAGATATTCATTCTAAGTTGTTATTCTAGAGAACCCCAATACAAAGGGCAAGCACTCTTAACTGTGAGCCATTTTCTTCAGCTAAAGACATTAAAACAGTAGCTTTTTTGGTATGACTGTAACAGCTGATATCTAAGTACGTTTCTCAAACAAACAAAAGTATATTGCATACAGTGACCTGAATATTAATATTTTTTTTTGGTTTTTTGAGTCAGGGTTTATCTGTATTGTTTTGGAGGCTGTCCTGGAACTTGCTCTGTAGACCAGGCTGGCCTCGAACTCACAGAGATCGGCCTGCCTCTGCCTCCCGAGTGCTGGGATTAAAGGTGTGCTCCACCAACATACAGCCCAAGCTTTTCTTTTATGCAGCGCATTCGTTTCTTCAGTGCCTACTGTTAGACCCAGGGGCTAGATCTAATTTTTCAATCCTATTATCCAGCTTAAATAGCTCTAACTCAGCTGTCAATAGTAATGAAAACAGTATTTTAAAGCAGACGTCAAAATTAAATCAATAAGCTGACTCAAAATGATTATGAAATACACTAAAGGTCTGAATACAAAACATTACTGAGCAGAGCTCAGTGTTTAAGTTGTAAGACACACATATGCTTACACATATGTGGTGGTTGCTCCTGATATTTGCAATTCAAATACACACATAAAATTTATGAGGACATGCCGGGCCTTGGTGGCGCAAGCCTTTAATACCAGCACTCGGGAGGCAGAGGCAGGCGGATCTCTGTGAGTTCAAGGCCAGCCTGGTCTACAGAGCGAGTTCCAGGTCAGGCTCCAAAGCCACAGAGAAACCCTGTCTCGAAAAACCAAAAAAAAAGAAAAAAGAAAAAAAATTTATGAGGACTTAACTGGTCCAAGACCTTTCATGTTTATGTAAGAACCTGTACCTCTTATTATGGTTAGACAGAAACAGCCAAGGTACACTGTTAGGGTTTTCAAGTAATGTTATGTACAGTTTTATTGCCAGTATATGCACAACAGTAAGCATAGAACTATAAATACACAATGTCATTAACAGTAAAAAACAAAGTGTTACCGGTAGGGGGTTGAGGATATGGAGCAATATCCTTTCTCTTGCTGCTGGAACAGAATAAAAACAAAGGAAGGGAAAAGCCTACAACCAACCATCCATCCAGTTCTCTTGGCTTAACTTCTTTACATACATTTCTACATTTTTTTCAGTTGAATAAAGTATAGATAACTCTGTAACAATAGCAAACTGCTTCCCTAATAGCCATTTGCTTTCCAGTCAAATTCACCTTATGTTAGGATTTAAAAAAAAAATGAAAAAAGGTCAAGATGAGAAATAAATGGTATCCTGGTTCCAAATTACCTAATTTGGCGTTTTACCCAAACTGGTAATATTTGAAAGTTGGCTGCACATAAAAATAACAGCTTTAGCAGAGGTGAGGTGATTTAAAAAAATGTTAAAAGGTTACAAAACATCACCTTAAAGTAGTTTTCCAAGCCACTGCAGGCAGCGGGTCAGTAAAGCGTCAGCCCTGAAGAGGTAGAGAGTGTGAGCCCATTGTTCACGAGCCGTGGCACCATCTTCTCTCATCAGGATCAGCGTTTTTTTTCATAAGACAATTTCATGGTCAAAGGAAACCAGGTTCCACCACTCAACAGAAAGGTCCTGGTTGACTCCCATGTCAATAATTAGTTTATCAATTGAGAAACAGAAGACAGTCAAAGACACACATGCACTTGATTTTTTTCATCTGTTTCCATTATCAAGTCTATTCATAAGTGAATTTGATATTAATAAATACAACAAAAAGCATCATTCACAACAAAGATAAACCAGAAAGCTCTGCAACAAAACCTTCCATTTTAGTAATTCCCATGGAAACCCAGGCAGGTGATTTGGTGCAGCTTTCTTACGGGGCCAGAGAAGGGGCACGGCTTTAAGTAAAGGTGGCAAGATCAGAACCAACAGACACATCAGTCTTACAGAACTGGCTGATTCTATGACATTTCTCTTTGAGGGCATCCCAAAGAAGTCGCAGCTAACGACATGTGCCACTGCCACATCAACAGAGCCTGGCTGCAGTTCCTAGTAGCCCTGCTTTGTCTCACATCATTGTCAACATCTCTAGCATAGGACATGATACGGAACAAAACTCAAGTAGCAATAAAAATATTCTTCTGCAGTTGAATAAAGGCAAAAAAAAAGTTTAGTCTGTTAAACTTTTAAAGCCTGAAGCATTCCTGTTTAACCAGCATTTAAAAAAATTTATACAATCATAACACTGGCAAAGGTTAATGGGAAGACAAAGAAGTACAAACATGTGAAATGGTGAATTAGATTAAAAACTTTCTTTGTACGGATCAACTGATGTTAATACTGCTTCTCCTGAATTTGGAATAACTATTATAAAGTTACATGCAGACTGAGGACACCCTCTGTCACAGAAAATACAGAACAGAACAAAACAGAAAACTAGATAGAACTGGGAAACGGTAGCTTAGTCCCAAAAGCTGTACTTGAAAGTTTCCTTTCTTCCAGGAGGGCAGGCAGTTGTCTTTTCCGAGACCTGCAGTACTAACTTTGTCCAGAAACATCAGTAGTGGGGTCAGCTCCTGCAGAGCCCGTCTGTGCACGTTTGATGTAAAGGTTCAGCAGCTTCATCTGTAGGTCAAAGCCACAAAGCCATCTGAGCAAACTGCTCTAATAATAACATGAGCTTGGGTACACACACACACACACACACACACCCACACCCCCACACACACACCCACAGAGAAGACCTGAAAGATAGACATGAGGGGACAGGGTCTCTCATAGCCATGCTGTCCTCAAATTCGACATGTTCAGTTTATGTGGTGCTGGGGTGAACCCAGGGCTTTGAGCATACTAGGCAAGCTGTTGATAACTGAGTCACATACCACACCCTGTGTGTCTATTTTCACTTTGTCTTTTTGCAACTTTATATGTAAATCCGTTCACAGTAAAAACAATTGTTGGGATTTGGGAAAACTCTAAATGAAGGTAAATGCCTCTGGTTAGCTGCACTCAGCTAAAATTTAACCATCATCGTTCATTCTCATCCTGTAGATAAGAACAAGTTTCAAAACTCGTTAGGATTAATATATTAAGAAAAATAACCTTTATCTAAATTTTTAAGTCTTACAGATGAACCACAAAGTTTTAGTTTAAGATACCAGCCAAAGTTGCATGGTAATCGGGATTACAGTAAAGCCTCAGGAGGAACTAGGGGCGTGGCAGTCCACACCTGTAATCCCAGCACCTTCGGGGCAAAGAGAGAAGGACTGCTGCAAACCCAAAGCCAGCCGGCACTGCAGAAGATTCCCCAAACCGGGACAAACAAAAACAACAAAGCTGAAGAGAAGAGGAGTGTAGTATCTGATTGTCTTTCTGTTTGCTTTCAGAAACAATCTTGAGCTGCAGTGTAGCCTGGCCTGGAATTTGCTATGTACCCTAGACTGACCTCCAAGTAGCAATTCTCAGAACTTGAAATGGAAGGTCAGGATCCACAGGAAGCAGAGCAGCTACACAAGCTGTTTCCTAGTGTCCTAAGCTTCAGAAGCGCAGACAACAGTCCAAGAAACGTCTTGACAGATGGTGATGAGAGACTCCCAAACAAAAAAGTACAGGGCATATAGTGGAGCCAAAGAAAGGATTTGTAAAGTGTAGTTTCCACTTATCAGTTTAGAAAATGTGGGTGACAGATACAAAAAATAACTAACTGGGGGGGGTATCTTGAAAAAGTATGGCAAGACAGAACCACAAAGTTAGGATAGAATAGAAAGAGGAGAGAATTTGCTTTTCTGAATTATGATCATGAGGCAGTTGATAAATATTATGCTCAAAAATACTAATGGGTACAAACTGTAAGTGCAAAAGGCCTTTCTAAGTAAGAGGTGGCTCTGGGTACTCAGGGATTGAGGAGGACACTTTGGAGGTAACAGGTAATTTTGACTATGGTGGAAATTTCAGTGGACAAGAAGCTGCAGTGACGGAGGTGGCAGCATAGGAGTTATGGGAGAGGTGGTTGTGGCCTCTATTAGTGGTCCTGGTTGCTCTGATCAGTCTTGGAAATGTAATGGCCAGTAACCATTAAACTATGGACTATGCTGGGGGCAGTGTTGGTGGAGGACACTCTGGCACTCCCCAAGATATGGTAGCAGGTTTAAAATACAACCAAGTTCTTGGCAGGAAAGAGGAAGCTTTTCAGGGCAGGTGGCCTTGAGAGGGCCCTCCCACACAGAAGATAAGCTATGAAAACATGCACAGAAGCACCAGTGGCCCACATCAGCAGCACTACAGAAGCAGCAGGAGGCTCTTCTGCAGAAGCCACAGTGCAGCTACTGACAGTCAGGCTCACAATTCACAGAAGACTCTGCTTTCCTTCTCACCGGGCCAGGCACAACACCTGTAGGTGCAGCGGTGGCACCAGAAATGAATGAGACACTTGCTTGGAGTGGTGGCGCACACCTTTGATCCCGGCACTTGGAGGCAGAGGCAGGCGGAGCTCTGAGTTCCAAGTCAGCTGGGATTACATGGTGAAGACTTTGTCTTAGAAAACAAACAAACCAAAGGAATTAAGAAATTTACAGACAGACACAGCAAGTAATTCTTGCTCAGTCTCTGGGGTGCTAGAATCACAGGTCTGAAGGGGGTTTTAATCACATTTTCAAAGGAAATTTTTAAAAATTTCAAGTGTTCCACATTTTGGAAGATATAATTTGTGAATAACTACAACAATCTGTTCTTAACTAAACTGTTTTAGAATACTTGTTGAAGATGTGTTACATTTGTTTATGCTGTGGAACATTTGTTTAATGTTGCAAAGATGTGCTACATTCTTTCATGTTGCAGCTGTTTAACTGGGAAGCTGTGCTTCTGTGCCTGTCTAAAACACCTGATTGGTCTAATAAAGAGCCCAGGGGTCAACAGCTAGGCAGGAGAAAGGATAGGTGGGGCCATCAGGCAGAAATATACAGAAGAAATGAGAGAAACAGGGAGGGAGGGAGGGGGAGAGAGAGGGGGAAGGGGGGACAGGGAGAGATGGGGAAAGGGAGAGAGAGAGAGAGAAGAGCAAGGAGTGAGAAAAGGAAAAGGAGAAGGGCAAGGAGAGGAGGACCCCAGGGGCCAGCCACCCAGCTTCACCGCAAGCCACAGAGTAAGAAGTAAAGAAAGGTATATAGAAAGGTAAAAGCCCAGAGGAAAAAAGTAGACAGGATAGAAAGAAGGCAAGCTAAGGCTAGGCATTCGTAAGTAAGAATGAGTCTCTGTAGGTTTATTTGGGAGCTGGGTGGTGGGCTCCCAAAGGGTCAAAGAGTAAAAATAAACTAACATTAAAACCTTCCCCCTGGGAGAGGGGGGCCAGGATGTAAGTGTGGGAGTCGGAGACTGTCAGCTGTTACAATCAGGAGCTCCAGGTATTAACCCACAGCAACCTCCTGACCATCCCACCTCTGTTGGTGTTAGTAACTGCAGTGCAGACCTTAGGAGCAGAGAAGAGCTAAAAGGCAGCTGGGGGAATAAAGGCAAAGTGAAAATTCAGAGAGCTATTTACTAAAAGTTGAGTAGCGAGTTCACCATCTACACACAGAGAACTAAGTCTTCAGAACTCGTCATGGCTGCTACCTGATTGCCAGCCTCAGTGCTACTTACTTTACTGCCAGTGAGTTGACTGAGGTGTGGCTTGAGTTCATCACCAATCACTGCATGAACAGCTACCAGGCAGAAGACACAAGCTTTCCGGACACTGCTTTCTGAATTATCGTAGCCCTAGGAAGAGAGGCCACGTTAGTGTCTTTGATGTTTAAGGAAGCCACCTTAAGGGACAGAAGGGAGCTCTAACATGAACCCTCACCTGAGTCATCCTCCCCCCGCCCCGCACCACACCAGCTGCCAGTGTTCTTGCCATGTCCTTTCTCTAGAATCCACTCTGCAGACATCCCCAGAGAATGCAAATCAGAGGCAGTGCAGACCTCCTTGCCATCTAATAAGAACCTGTTAGATGCCATGGTTTGCCAGTCAAGGCCTTCCCATAACCCAGGCCTAGCATGTTTCACATGTCTCCCTCTTTAAATAACCTTCTCAAATAAATCCAGTCTAGATAATGCACTTCTCTTATGTTTGGACACACCCTTTATTCTCTCCCAATAGTCCATAGAAATCCTATTCATAAATACTAAATCCGTTACCTGAATATAAGTAAACACTTTGCCAAGAGTCCATCCCCACTAAAGTCATATCTTTTCTAAAATGACTGAAAACATACAAATATTAGACTATCCCTTTGAAAGAAATTCATAATAAAAGATGTAACTATTCAGTTTTACCATCTTTGTAGAATTATAAATGAATGCTTATCCATTTAGCACAATCCTAATTTCACTACTCCTTAGTACTATAAATTTAGTCTTGATTTCTGTGCTGTGAATGAACCCAGGGCTTTAAGTATGATGGGGAAATATTCTAACCCTAAACTCAAGTGTATATGCTCTAGGCTGACTTCTGCTGACTTTTCCAGTTACAAGTTAACACTCAGATACTACTATATGTGACATTCAAATGCTGTGAAGGGCTTGCTGTGTGACCAGGACAAGTCAGGCTAACAATACTCAGTGTCCAGTGAGATATGACTGATCCTCGAAGAAGAGTTACTGATGCCATCCATGGTCAGGAGAGAGCTGGGTAGGAAACGGATACTCAGAAAACACTTCACAGTGAAATCCTAAAGGAGGAAGAAGCTGGTTGGGACAATGAAGTGGAGTGGGTAGGGATGGAGCTCAGTTGGTAGCATGCTTGTCTAGGTCTCACAAGGCCTTGGGTTTGATCCCCAGCACTGCCTAATCTCAGCACCCAGGAGGGGAGGTAAAGGCAGGAAGATCACAAGTTCAAGGTTACCCTATGCTATATAGCAAATTCAACTGCATGGACAGACATAATACAGGCAAATATCTATACACATAAAACAAAAATACATCTCAAAAGATAAAAAGGACAAAAAGTCATGAGGGCTAAATGTATCAGAGAGAGAGAGAAGTATATGACTTCACAAACAACCTAGCAGCACTTCCTATGTGTGAATAAATTCACTCATTAAAAGGAGAACACATATAATAGGAGGGTTTGAATCCCAGTAATTAGGAGGCTGAAGCAGGCATATCTCTGTGAGTTCTTGGCCAGCCTGTTATTTACATTGAGTTCTAGGTCAACCAGAGATATAAAGTAAGATCCTGTTTCTAAAATCAAAACAGAAACACATTAAGTAGGAGGATGAGGCAGGCAGGAGCAGCTACATGAGGTATGGCTCATTCTGGCTGTGGAAATTGTGAGGGAGCTGAAGAGGTATGACATCAGAGCTGCACTCAGGAGGTCAGTCTCTGAGACCAGCTTAATCTGGTTTGTATTAGCTTCCTGCTCCCGTGTAACAATTATCTAAACCCTTAAACCTCACTCAAATCCCCTTGTTTTAAGGCCTTGGCATGCCAATCTGTCTCCATTTCCTGTCTGTACTATGTGTAATCCCTTCTGCCTCTCCCATTTATGAGCACCTATGACAGCAGTTAGGGAGCACTGAAAAAACCCACGGCTGCCTCACCCCAATACACCTAACTTGTCACAGCTGCACACATTATTCATAAAAGGTAATATTTACAAGTTACATAAAGCAGAACTTGGCATCTTTGTGACCACTATTCAAACTACTACACCACCTGTCCATTTCCCCTTTTCATTTAAAAAGTAATTTTTAATTTTATGTATATGGTGTTTTGTCTGCGAGGATGACTGCACCAAGTCATGTGTGACCTGTGGAAGGCAGAGGGCATTGCATCCCCTGGAGCTGGTGTAAGAGATGGTTCTGAGTGCTGGGAGTCAGACCCATGTCCTCTTGCTAGTGCTATTAACTGCTGGGCCATAGCTCCAGTCCCACACTTCCATTCCTGTATTGCTGAGACAAGGCTTTAGTATACTGTCTGCACTGGCCTTGAAGTCAAAATACCCTTGTTTCAGCTTCCTAAGTCTTGAAATTACAGATAAGTGCCTCTACCTCTGGTCCCTCTATCCGTTTCCCTGGGCTTCTTTATTTTTCTATATTTATTTATTGTTTTTAAGATTTATTATTTTATTTTTTATTTTGGTATGGGGTGTGTATATGTGTGTGTGTGTGTGTGTGTGTGTGTGTGTGTGTGTGTGTGATAGAGGGCAGAAGTGTCAGATTGCTTGGAGCTGGAGTTCCAGAAGATTGTAAAGTCCTCTTTGTTGATATCCTGGCATTATGCTGACCCCGCCCCCTGACAACCGGCAAGATACACACACTGGCATTCAGGCAGATACTTAGACAGCTCAAAGGGCTCTATGTTGTGTGGCTGCATAAAGACTCGTGCAAGCTTTCCCTTTTAAGTGAGTGCCTCCCATCTCTGTTCTGGTTGGTCAACATCTATTTCTCCCTTTGCTCCCTCTCCCCAATAAACTCCAGGTGGGTCTTGTTGAGTTTTGTGGTTCATGTTTCATCGTCGTCTGCAACTGCAGCCAAACAACACTCTTGACAAGCAACATCCATCTCTCAAGCAACTGAGAAATCTCTCCAGCGCTAGGTTTTGTTTTTTGTTTCGTTGTCGTTGCGGATTTCGAGACAGGTTTCTCTGTGTAGTATAAGAGCTAGCTAGTACTAAGCCTGAGCCATTTGCCAAACAATTATATTTAATATTAAGCCTATGAGAGATTATTTTATAAGTGGCTGCAGGATGGGGTGGGACACGGAAAAGATTCTGGCTACCTTTGGCACCTAACATTAGGCATTGGTTGTACTGGAACTCACACTTAGACCAGCCCGGCCTCAAACTCAGACATCCACCTGCCTCTGCCTCCCAAGTACTGGGACTAAAGGAATGTGCCACCACCACCACCACCACCCCATAAACCCTGTCATTTTTATTTTTTGAGACAGGGTTCCATTTACAGCTCTGGGTGGCCTAACACTATGCAGAAGAGGCTGGTCTCACAGACCATCTATCTCCTGAATACCAGTATTAAAGGCACAGATGTAGCACGAATTCCAGTAGGTCTTAATAATTAAAAACCCAGAGTCAGATATTGAGGTAAATGCTGAAAGATCAGGGAAGTAAAGGAATCAGCCACAAGAGAGACCTCTTATCGCTACTGAATCGTCTGACCAAAGGGACAATCCTGTCCCTACAAATTCTCAGACTGAATGTCCTGAGTTCCTGTTTCCTCCTGCCTTATACTCACTCTCCACCCAGCCATATCACCCCTGCCTCCACCTCCCGATGCTAAGATTAAAGTTGTGGGTAAAACCCAGTCTCACAAACGAGAACCTGGAGCCACAGGAGCTCTTAGCATATCCTAAGGCTTCATCCAGGAAACATTAATTCAGCATACATAACATATGAAGAATATACACTATGAACATGCTGTGCTTATTATCAAAGCATATATAATAGTCCTGCATAGACACAGGGAGTTAACAAAGTTCAGGGAAAAGTCACATGTAAACTACTATAGATGCAAAGGAAGAAATTACCCATTATCATTAAAAAGAGCTCAATATAATATTGTTCAGCCACTAAAACTACATTGCAGACTATTAACAAAGTTTTACAGTATGTGGCTATGTTGCAAAATATAGTCCCCCTTTTGTCACAATGCATCCATGAATATTAATCAGTATAACTACTTTCCAGATAGATGTGGCAACAGATTTCTGCTTCTAGATGTATACAAGTACTGCAATAGTTACAGCAATGAAAAGCAGGGGAAAAAATGTAGAATCCAAACATTCAGCAATGAATGGATAAACAAACGTAAATTCCTAAATGATGGAATGAGATTCTGACATTATGAAATTAATGAACTCACAAAACATTAGATAAGAGGACAGATATTTATGTTTCTCACATATATGAAAAATCTACAAAAATTCAGGGGCAACAGAATAGAGATCACTGGGGACTAGGAGGGAAGTTATGAGAAATAGATTGTATTACTTTGTACAAAATGCTAATCTGAAATGATGGGGATGTTCTAGCAGTGGACAGCAGTGACAGTTATGTAACACTACAAATGGATTCGACAACACCAGATCATGTACTCAGAGACTGGGGAGTACTATAACACCTTTTATGTTATATTTTGGGTACCACACCTAAACTCCACCCACCTAGACCCACAATGCAAATCTTTGTCTTGACCATGCCACTAGTTTGCAATAACAAATGTATACAATAACCAAAGCACACATGCATCCTGCTGTACTCCTCCATGCTTTGCAGCTTACCTGTATTAGACCTGGCATGATCTCTGGTAAGAGTATGTTAAGAGTTTCCTTGGATACTCTCTCTATCACTTTTGTTTGCATTTTGATTGCAGCCAGATTAATTGGGTAGTCAGCAGTTTGTATGATTGGACAAAGTACTTTGATGCACTGCTCTGGACTAATTGAAGTAGCCAACACAGAGGCAGCTTCCTCAGCAGACCTCACCACCTAAAACAGAATGGAAAGCCAGCCAGGTAAACAAACAACTGTAAATCCTAAGTATGAATTTCATCATACATTTAATTTGACATGGCACTTTGGATTTGCACTGAAAATATTGCAGTAAACAAATGAATATAAGAAGGGAGGTAAGAACAGACTAGCAACTAACTACCAGTAGCTGCCACTGGGCTCCACTATGTCATTCTCCTTCCAGTTTGCAGGAATTGGCTCTGAACTCAGGTTCTCACCCTTTTGCAATAAGTACTCTACTCACTGACTTGTGTCCAGCCCCATGCTTACATCTTAATCAAGCACTGTATCAAAAATCAAGGGTTTATGAAGGAAATGATCAAGAAGGGCACTGTTAGCTGGAAATGTTAGCTTACACCTGCAATCCCAGTACTTAGAAGATTGAGGCAAAGGGGTGTTTAGAGTTTGAGGCCAGTTGGACTACATAGTCAGTTTTAGACAAAACCAAGGTACAATATAAGACTAAGTGTGGGGGAGTACACAAGATGGTTCTGTGGGCATGGTGCCTGCCATATGAGCCTGGCGACCTGAATTCAATTCCTAGAAGACACATAAAGGTGGAAGGAAAGAGCTGACCACATGCTCACATACATACAACATACACACACACACACACACACACACACACACACACACACACACACACACACACACACTAAATAAAAGGAAGCCCTCACCCGCCAGAGAGTGTACTTTCTGGGAAGTGCTTACAGGTTCATGAGACAAAGTCATAAGCAACAGTAACTGGACTTGCTGGCCACTCACCTCTTTATGAGGGTCTTTATGTGCTTCCAATGTTTTCATGACAGTCAGCTCTGCATAGTTTTTGAATCTTGCTGGTTGATGCCTTAAGATTTCTTTTAAAACTTTTAATGCCAAAGCCCTGATTGTAGGCTAAGAAGAAACATTTAAATGGTTTTAATATTTTGAATGGCAAAAAATCTTTCCACATTTTCAACTTCTATGAGCATTTTAAGATCGGGAGGACAGACACCGTGTAAAGAATGAAGTACATAATTTACCATCTCAGGCTGAAAACTCTTTAATTATCTCACTTTTGTTGTTGTAGGGAGACAGGGTGGGCTCAAGTAGCTCAGGTTGGCCCTAAAGTTGTAATCCTGCTGCTTTCACATCCAGAATGGAGAGATTACAGGCATTTTCTACAACATCCACATTTTATTTTTAATTCTGGGTCTATGTCTGTGAATGTGAGTGCGGGTGCCTTCAGAGGCCAGAGACAGGGACTCTTCTGGAGCTGGAGTTCCAGGTAACCGTGAGCTGCTGTGATATCAGGGGTTTGGCATTCAACATAGGTTCTCTTCAAGAGCATTAAGCACTCTTAACTGCTTGGCCATCTCTCCAGCCCCATACGAAGGTTTTTTTTTTTTTTTTTTAATGATTTTAGTCTTTTTAGGCTTAAGACCGTATTATAAGAGTTTGTGAGAAAAAAACAGGGCAGACAAGTTAACAATTCTGGAAGCTGTAGAAAGGAGGAACACGGAGAAAAGAGAGAAACCATGACTTCTGAGTGAAGCACAGAGGTTGGCAGTAGTTACATACAGGGCAGAGGGTACTCTCAAGGCCCAGAGTGTCAAGGGAAGGACACTTAGGATTTTGGCCGATAACCAAAAAAGAGACAGAAGGAAAAGGGAAAGTTATGCTTTTAAAGCTAAAATTCAGAAAGTACAGGCTGTGCAATGAAGACCTGCAAACAACTGCTTGGCACTTGGTTTCAGACAGGGTCTCCCCTGTGGCCCTAACAGGTCTTAAACTGCAGGGGTTCTTCTGCCTCAGTCTTCCAAATGCTCAGCTTTATTACTTTTGAATAAGTAAATAAGTAACATTTTGCCTTGAATCCCAGCACTTGGGAGGCAGAGACAGGCGGATCTCTGTGAGTTCGAGGCCAGGCTGGACCGACAGCCTCCAAAACAATACAGAGAAACCCTGTCTTGTAAAACAAAAAAAATTTTTTTTACTCTGAGAGGAATTTTTACAACTGAAACATCCCCCTCCCCCAAGTCAGGGTTTCTCTGTGTAGTCCTGACTGTCCTGGAACACACTATGTAGAGCAGACTGGCTTCATACTCACAGATTTTAATCCCAAGTGCTGGGATTAAAGGCATGTGCTACCACTGCCCGGCTCTGAAAACATATTTAAATATGTACAAGTAATTTTTACTTTTCTGTGGGAATCAGCTTGCTATGTGTATCTCCTTTAACTATTGGAAACTTCTTTAAAAACTTTGAAACAAATGTCTGGTAAAAGAAACAGCACTTGAGTAAAAAGTAGATGCAGAAAGCAGCAGTAGCAGAAGAGTCACGTGTCTATTCCGGCGTGTACTAACTGGTCAACAGAAAGCTAAGCAACAAGCAAGGGCTGGGAAGGCCCTGGGGTAATTCCTAGTCTTCCACCCACAAAGCTAAATAAGAATAAATTCATAAACACCCAGGCAAGTCAAAAATATCATTTATATATACCCTGCAATTTACCTCTTTATCCCCAAGGGTCTCAAGCAGTAACAATAATATTGTTTTGAAGTGCTCATCCCAGACACTGAAGGACTCTTCCTGGGTTAGCTTCATGAGTTCATAGAGGGCAATTTTTCTTTCTTCTATGCGTTCATTATGGTTAGACAGCTCCTTCAACAGCTCTGCAACTAGGTCAGAGTGGTCTAAGGAGAGATCTGACAGAAGGATGTACTATTAACTTTGTAATTTTATAGGCTGACTCTCAGGTGCAGAAATGACCACGTTAGAACACTATGAAACACAGGCACAACTGATACTGGTTACAAAAGAGGTAAAAACAAACATTAAGTTTCAGTTGTCATCCCTGAATCACCAATGTGCTTTAAAAATTTACAAATCAAAAAACACTAGAGAGCAGTGTAAGGAACCCCAGGTATCTTTTCACCTAGGCCTCAGCCTGAGTATAGCATCCCTACTCCCCCATCCCGCCCCGCAGATCTGCTTGTTACTGTCCTCCAAGGAGCACCACCTGCTGGGAGGCTGTGTTCGGAAATTCTACTTTCAGAGATTTAGATAGTTATAACTTGATCACTAATAATTCAGCAGTGGGCTGATCCATTGACTGCTGTTAAGGCAATTATTTTATGGAGTTAAAAGGGTTCATTATCACTAGCAGTGGTGGCACATGACACCTGCCTTAATTCCAGCACTCAGGCAGATCTCTGTGAGTTCAAGACCAGCCTGGTTTACAGAGCGAGTTTCAGGACAGGCTCCAAAGCTACAGAGAAACCCTATTTCAAAAAAAAAAAAAAAAAAAAAAAAAGGTTCATTATCTAATCATGTCATTCTTTCCAGAATTTTTCAGCAGAGTAACTATATCAATTAGAGCCATTTTCTTTGTCATGAAATATTTTTTTCCTTGAAAATTGCCAAATAAAGGTTTTAGTTTAATTATCTATCTATACATTCATCCATCCATGATCCTACTATGTATTTCTGACTGTCCTTGAACTTACTTTGTAGATCAAGCTGGTCTTGAACTCAAGGGCTCTACCTGTGTCTGTCTCATGAGTGCTGGAATTAAAGGCATGTACCACCATGCCTGGCCAATTATGTCTCAGAGTCAAGTTGAGATCAACTGTTATCAAAGAAGAGTTGGGTTTTAGTTACAAATTTTTATTTATGTGATTGTGTGTGTATGCCACACATGTGTAAATGCATTCAGAGGCCAGAAGAGGGCATTATACCCCTTGGAGCTGGAGTTACAGGCGATTGTGAGCTACCTGACCTAGGAACTGAGAACCACACTTGGTCCTCACAAGAGTATCAAGTGCTCTTCACAGCTGAACCATGTCTCCAATCTTACCAAAGAGCCAATTTGCTTTTTCTCTCTTTTAAATACTTATTTAGAGACAGGGTCTTCAAAGGCATGCATCACTATGCCTGGTTCATTTTTTTCAAAATGTATTTATTTATTGTGTGTATGTGTACAATGGCATATGCATGGAAGTCAGAGGACATCTTGCAGGAGTCAGTTCTCTCCTTCTACATTTGGGTTCCAAGGACTGAACTTAGGTTGTCACACTTAGTGGCAAATGCTTTTCCCACTAAGTCTTACGTCTGACACTGAGAGGGATTTCAAGTTTCCCACAGAAAGTCATAAAGCAATGGAACTTTTTAAAGATTTTATTTCATGTGTTTGAGGGGTTTTTGCTTGTGTGTGTACAAATGTATCATGTGTATGCCTGGTACTCCCAGAGATCAGAAGAGGGTATTATATCCCCTGGCACTGGAGTTATGAATGGCTATGAACCACCTTGTGGGTGCTAGGAACTGAATTCAGGCCCTTTCCAAGAGTGCAGTACTCTATTCCCATATTGGAAATCTTTAAAGAAAGCAACATGGACTCAAAGTATTAAAAAGTCTGGGCTGAGGAGATGGCTCAGCCAGGCAGTGGTGGCACACACCTTTGGTCCCAGCACTCAGGAGTCAGTCAGAGGCAGCAGACCTCTGAGTTCAAGGCCAGCCTGGTCTACAGAGTGAGTTCTAGGATAGCCAGAGCTACACAGAGAAACCCTGTCTTGAAAAAGCAAAACAGAAAACAAACAAACAAACAAAAACAATAAAGAGCATTTGATGCTCTTCCAGAGGATCTGAGTTCAATTCCCAGCACCCACGTGGCAGCTCACAACCGTCTACAACTTCAGTATTAGGGGTTCTGGCACCTTCACACAGACATACATGCAGGCAAAACACCAACACACATAAAAATATAAGAAAAATCTTTAAAAATGTATAAAAAACCAAATTACTCATCCACAAGAAAACACTTACTAGTATCCTGCACTTTATTGTTGTGTCTCATGTGTCTTGTCTGTGCCTTGTTGCTTACTGTGATCAGAAGTGCACAGTTACAACTACCCCTTTTCAGAGGTGACAAGGACACTTACTGAAGACAGTGTTGACTACCCATCAGGCTACGTAGATTAGTAACCCAGCTTCATGTAAACATAAATAACAGGCCTTGGAATTAATCTTTATTAGTAAAAGAGATTATGATTTTACATAGAAAGTGTTTTATTATAAAGAATGGGTTATTTCATAAGAAGATCTTTGTCATTCTAGTACAAAAGTCTGTCTGGAAATAAACTAAATTCATATGCTGTGATTGGTTGAGTTGCTCCTGGGAGGATGTTAGAGTTACCTTGATTTTTGAGGGTGAGGTCAAGTTGACTACCCAGGTTCTCACTCTAAACATAAAAATTACCAAAATAGAATAAACAAATACCTAGAGGCTAGGAGAAAATATTTTGTCAATTCTGAATCATCATGGACACATACATTTGGGTCCAGAGATGTTTAGATGAAGAGGGACAATCCACCCTAAATGTGGGCAGCACCATCCATGGGCTGAAATTCCAGACTGAATAAAAAGGAGAAAATGAGCAAGCATCAGGACCCAAGCATTCCAGAATGTGGATGCCATGTGAGCATCAGCCCCTTGCTCTCACGACCATGACTTTCTCACCATGACGGTCTGTGTTCTGAAACTGTAAGCCTTTCTTAAGGAGCTTTAAGTCAAGCACCTTAGTCCAGTGACAAGTAACAAAAACACATTCCCATGCCCCATTTCCTTACATATTAAATAAAAGAGCAAACACATCCACTTGTTTCACTGATTACCAGTATTCCAAAGTGCAGTGGTAGGCACTGTAACTCATAACATACCGTCAGGAAACTGGTCAGCGTCATCATCAAACATGGCTTCCTTGAGTGCAGACTTGTTGAAGGGACTGATGCTATCAGAATAGTTATATGGATTATAGTCACGCGATCGGGAAGAGGAGTGAATTGGCATTGAATGGAGCAAAGATGCTTTGTTATCAAGAGCTGTCTGGCTGGAGTCAGCAGCATCACCTCCTGCTCGTGGATCTGACATCCCAGGACCACACATCTATTGATAGGAAGAGGAAGGCATTGCATGTTACCTCATCTTAAAATACCTCATTCACATTCTAAAAAGAAGCTTTTTGGGGGAGGGAGGGATGGCTTGGCAGTTAAAGATTGTTTCTTGCTTTTCCAGAGGATGTGAGTTCAGTTTTCAGCCTCTACACAAGGTGACTTACAACGACCTGTAACCCAAGCTCCGGGAGGCACAATGCCCTCTGAAGGCACCCAACAGTGCATATACTCACAGACATATATGAATAAAACTAGTCTAAAAACAAAACAAAGTTGGGCGATGGTGGCATATGCCCAGAGTGCCAGCACTCTGGAGGCAGAGCCAGGTGAATCTCTTGTGACTTAAAAGACAGCTTGATCTACAGAGTGAGTACCAGGAAAGGCTCCAAAGCTACACAAAGAAACCCTGTCTCAAAAAACAAAACAAAAAATCAAACAAACAAAAACAAAACGAAACACAGATGTTTTCCTTCTGTTTAAGAACAGTAACAATAGGACTGGAGAGATGGCTCAGGAGGTAAGAGTATTTCCTACTCTTGTAGAGGACCCTGGTTCATTTCTCTGTAGCCATATGGCAGCTCACAACCATCTAACACTAGTTTCAGTAGAACAGATGCCTTTTCTGGTCTCTGTGGGCACCAAGATTGCAATGCATATGGTGCATACAGATACAGGCAAAACACTCATAAACATAAATAAGTAAACACTGAAAAAAAGAAAGTTAGGGGCATAGAGAGATAGCTCAGTGGTTAAGAGCACGGGCTGCTCTTCCAGTTCAGTTCCCAGCATGCACATGGTGTCTCACAACTATCTGTAACTTCTGCTCCTGGGGGCCTCTGCAAGCACTGCATGCTCACGGTGTATAGGTGCACAGGTAGGCAAAACACCTATACACTTAAAAAAAAAAAACAGAGGTAACAATAATATAAAAGGAAATTAATGGCAAACAGTATGGGTTACAATACATATTCAAATATATTATACAACTATATAATACAACATATACTCAAAATGAAAAAGCTTAAGCAAAGACGTAAAGAAATCACAGTGGAGAGGCAAATAAGCCATCACAAATGTTTCTCTAATGATGTTATTCTTGTCAATGGCTAAACCAAGTAACATACACACTGAGATTAGCAACTGCTTCTCCATGCCAGTTAAAGACACAAAGACTTTCATTAGCAAAACAGTTGAGGATTTATCTCAGTGCTAAGAGGGTTTCCAGACAGGGTTTCTCTGTGGCTTTGGAGCCTGTCCTGGAACTAGCTTTTGTAGACCAGGCTGGTCTCGAACTCACAGAGATCCACCTGCCTCTGCCTCCCAAGTGCTGGGATTAAAGGCGTGCGCCACCACAGCCTTGCGAATATGAACTATCTTAATAGTATCTTTCAGCCTTTTTCCTTCTAAGTATCAGGTTTAAAGGTCAATATAATTTTCAGAAGGATGCTAATAGAGTTGGGGTACATTAACACTTTTGCCCAAACATCAATATTAATACAAACACTAGCATTAAAATTATTATCACCAGGAGTGCCACAGTCATCCGCACCTGTCAAGCAACTGTATGCCACACTGGCTGCTGGGAACTGAACACACATGCTTCATCCTTCATCCAATCTGTGTGCACCCAGCACAGGACAAGCTGGCACTACTTGAGGCACCACCCTGGTTATGGAATATGTGCCAAACAAACACAGAGAGCCTTGCCATCACTTAAGCAGTAACACTTACTAACCTGCTGGTGATACTACACACAGCTTTAGGACAGGGCACTCAAACCTGGGTGGTCTTGACAACCATTTTTATTACTCCACTACTACTGAGCTCTACCAGACCGATATTAAGGAACACTAAGTGAGGGAAAAGGTAGGTGGGAGTCCTTTAGAGATGTGTTGAAATGTTGTGGCTCTGTGGGTACTGAGCAACAGGATATTCTCAGGAATGAAGGGATGGCTTATTTCAAGAGGTAAGCATAAGCAGATGCAAAAGTAAAACCTAACTACTGATGTACCGTAGCAAAGGAAACCAGTTAAAATAGTATTCATATGTCAGGAATATAGGTTATAACATGCTCTGTGGTGACCATATAAACTAACTACTATGAGTAACTACTATGACTACAATTAATATGGGGAAAATATATACTTCCAGCCCTAAACTTTGTGGTAAGACACATAGCCTAGTATGTTCAAGACCCAGGCCAATGATTAACTCATATTCTGTGATCAAGTTCCTCTTTTCCTGTTTTTTTTTTAAAGATTTATTTATTTTTAATGTATATACTGCTCTGCCTGCATGCCAGAAGAGGGCACCAGATCTTATTATTGAAGCCACATGTGAGCCACCATGTGGTTGGTGGGAATTGAACTCAGGACCACCAGAAGAACAGCCAAGGCTCATAATCACTGAGCCATCTCTCCCATCCAACTTCTTTATTTCTCAATGCTCCAACTTCACCAGCTTTGTTCCAAATCCTCAACTACAAACTCGTTCCTAGCTGCCTCTGCATTGCCTGATCAGTTCACAGAAATTTTTTTCTATGTTTTGTGCCTTTAAGTCTTAGTACAAATGTCATTTGACAGAGGCCTCCATTCCATGGCCCCACAGTCTACGGCATCATCTAACCCAAAACTCCTCAGTAAACATCTCTACTTAGAAATCTAAAAGGAACTATAGGAAGAAACTCTGCCTTACAGATCTAATACCTCAAACTCTTTAATATGTGGGTGAGTGATACTTACTCAGTAAATGCTCTTAAGAGCGACTAGCTCCTAAAAAATTATACATGAAAGTGCCAGAAAGCAAAGTTTAAAATAAACAAACAAACCCCACTCCCTATTTTGATGGAAACCAAAGCATCCTGCTGCAATAAGAACACTCATATGGGAGGCATTCAGTGTATTAGGAATGGTGGTCACACATGGTATGAACAAGCAAAGCAAACACTTACTGTGTCACCATCCTCTTTTTTAGGATCCCTCTTCAGTGGTTCGCTCATGTCTTCTTGGCTTCTGAAGCTGAAATTCTGGATTGCCTCAGTGACACCTTTAAGGGAGCTGTAAATGTCTTCAGAATTCATGTTTTCTGTGTCATAATCAAATGCACTGTGAAAAAGATGGCATTAATTTTTACTTAGTTTTTGATTTGAGTGTTTTGTCCACATGTATATATGTGAACCATGTGTGCACAGAACCCTTGGAGGTCAGAAGAGGGCATCAGATCTGGAACTGGAGTTAACAGATGGCTGTGAGCTATCAACTGAGTGCTGGGAGTCAACCCAGGTCCTCTGTCACAAAGTGCTTTTAACTACAGAGCACTTCTCCAGTATCTATTTTTGAGAGTCTCACTTTGTGGCTCAGGCCAGTCTTTTTTTTCTTACCCCAAGACAGGGTTTCTCTGTATATCTTCATAGACCAGGCTGATCTCAGACTCAGAGCTCTGCCTGCCTCTGCCTCCAAAGTGCTGGGATTAAAGGAATGTGCCAACACCACTGACAGCACAAGCTAGTCTTAAACACCCTGTAATCCTCCTCAAAGTGCTGGAATTAGAGGTATAAGCTACCACAGTCGGTATTAATTTTCAGTTACACTTTAAAAATACAAACGGGCTGGATGTGGGGGTACATATCTATAATGCCAGCACTTGGAGAGTGGAAGAAAGAGGGTTGGGGGTTCAGGGCATCCTCTACTACACAGAAGGTTGAAGATCAGCCTGGTTGAAACTTGACCCTGTTGAAATAAACACATTAGAGAGTATTTTAGAGGATATTTATAAAGATAAGAATCGGGCTGGAGAGTTGGCTCAGTTGTTAAAAAACATTAGCTGGTCTTCCAGAGGTCCTGAGTTCAATTCCCAGCAACCACATGATGGCTCACAACCTTCTGTAATGAGATCTGGTGTCCTCTTCTGGTCTGCAGAGGTATATGCAGACAGAACACTATATAAATAATAAATAAATAAATCTTTTTTTTTTTTATAAAAAAGATAAGAATTATCTATTTTTTTCAAATAAAAACTTACTCTGTAACCCAAACTTTGCTATAATTCACTCTGTAACCAACTCAGGCCTCAGACTCAAGAGTCTCCTGCCTTCATTTCCAGAGTTCTGAAATTATAGGCACGTATAACTATGGCCAGCTAATACTGAACTCACAGAGATCCTCCTACTTCTGCATCCTGAGTGCTGGAATTAAAAGCACGGGCCACCAAATCTGATCTTAATATTACATTTACTTTGCATGTATGTGCAGGTCAAATAACTTTTGGAAATGGAGTCTTTCCTTCTGCATATGGATCCTGGGAACCAAGCTCAGGTCATCAGACATTTTGTAGCATGAACTTTTACCCACTGAGCCATCTTACCAACACAGCTTATACTTTTAAATTCTTTTTTAATTCTTTTTTCCTTTTTTCTTTAGAGACAGGGTTCTCTGTGTAACCTTGGCTATCTATCTTGGAACTAGCTCTGTAGACCAGGCTGACCTTGAAATCACGAAGATTCGACTGCCTCTGACTCCTGAGTGTGTTTGGATTAAAGGCATGTGCCGCCGCAGCCACCACCCAGACCTAAATAAATACTTTCATAAAATGTGAACATTCAAGTTTCAGAACGTACACATACAGTTTTACTGGAGGACAGCCATGTGTGTGTGTGTATATATATATATATGTGTGTATATATGTTGAGACTGTTGTGATTGTTTTGGAAGCGCACCAGAAGAGCTAAATAAAGGTCACAGATTACTTGGCTTGAAAGCCTAAAATATTGGCCATGTGGCCCAGGTCTTCTAATTAGCAGACACAACAGCACTAGCTGAAGAAGAAGAAGAAACACAACAGCACTAGCTGAAGAAGAAACAAACACAGCTGTGGCTGAACGGCAGGAATCTTAGCACTCAGAAAGCAGGGCAGAAGAACAGGAGTCCACAGCTATCCTTTACCACACTGTCGGCAGGTAAAGGCCGGCGCTCTAGTGTCTGAGAGCAGTCCTTGGTAGAGAAAAAGGGAACCTGTACCTCACCTACTTATAGTTCCTGTTTATTATTTTGCAAAAACACACCTTGGGAAATAAACAACAACAAAGGTAAAGGTAAAAGAAAACAGGCAGGGAATACTTTTATTGTAGTATGTGTCTGGGTGGGAGTGGGGGCCCCACAGCATGCACGCGGAGGGCAGAGGAAAACTCTGCGGAGTCAGCTCTCTCCCTTCACTTTACATGGTGACCTAAGGCCAGAACTCAGGTAGTCATGTTTTTCACCAACATCATTTATCTTCCGAGTAGCTGTGCAGATTGTTTTGAATTTTGAAAACACTGAACATAAATGTTAATGACATGAATTCTATAATCAAGTTCTAAATTCAACTAAAGCTTTACCCAGCAAAATTGTCACAAATGTTAGCATATAGGTTAGGTGGTACATTCCAATATGTTTTCTTTCTTAAACTCTGATGCAGCACCCTGTAATTTTAATGGATAATCTGATGAAGCAAGCCCTGGTGTATGACCAATAACAACACCCAGGCCAGCAATACTTTTTTTTGTTTGTTTGTTTTTTTGTTTTTTTGTTTTTACGAGACAGGGTTTCTCTGCATTGTTTTGGAGGCTGTCGGTCCAGCCCGGCCTCGAACTCACAGAGATCCGCCTGCCTCTGCCTCCCGAGTGTTGGGATTAAAGGCGTGTGCCACCACTGCCCGGCCAGGCCAGCAATTCTAATAAGAGATTAAGAATCATTTTACAAAAGGCCAGCAAAAGGGGCTTGGAATCAAGGATCTAATCTTGGGGTGGCAATATGGTCTCTTGGGTGAAGGTGCTTGCTGAGCATGCCTGGTCACCTGCACTGGATCCCTGGACTTACAGTGGAAGAAGAGAAGCAACTCCTGAAGGTCGTCTCCTGACCTCCATATGCCTCCCTCCCTTGGGCTGTGTGTACCTGCACTCACACACACCCAATTTAAAAAGAGAAAAAGCAGAATTTACTCTCTAATACACTTATGCTTGAACTAAGTGTGTGGAAATTTTACCTAGACTATTTTGTATTAGGGAACAATATCTGCCATATTTTGTCATAAAAGTATAATAATGCCATTATATATTCATGATATATTTAACTCATCCCTATTATTCTCTCTTTATGCTTTGTCTATAATATAAGCTCAAGACCCTCCTGACCTTTCAGAAATGATTTTGTTAGTATCTCATCTAATACCATAACAGATACAGCCATTTACATTAAGTAGTGTCATGGCAAAGATAGGCACAATTTACAGTTTGAGAAATTTAACTATGCTCTTTAAGAAAACAATACCTTTTCATCCTGTATATCACCATTTAAAGGGTTAGATTTTATATACAATTAAAGTTGTTTGAATCTACTCAGTTTCTAAGACATTTCAAGTCAAATGCAGTCTCCTGGGATTACAGCTGTGCTGTCTTTCTAAGAATGGAAACGGGTAACAGAAAGCATGAATGAAAACAATCATCTCACCTTGGAGATAATGTATTCTGTGATGTGTTGGTAGGAGAAGTAAGAGGACTGGACCAGTTGGCTGGTGATCGAGGGGTTGGTCTTGTCAAAGGACTCCCCATGGAACTCTTGATGGTGGGAGTAAAAAGAGTATTAATACAGGAAAACGCAGCTAAAAGGTCCTGAGGGAAGACGCACAGTCATGAGGCAGAACATTTCGAGAGTGCCGCCTTTGTCAGCATTCTAAATATCCACGAAATACCCACCTCTTTAGTCTTCTCCCTCACCTCTTTACCTGCCCTCTTCTCTATTACCCCCTTCAGCTTTGAGAGAGTCTCATGTACCCTTGACTAGCCTTGAACTTACTATATGCCCAAGGACGGCCTCGAACTTCTGACCCTTCTGCCTCCATCTTGCAAGTGCTTGGCTACAGCTGTGTATCACCATGCCCACATGCCTATTTGTTTTTAACCCACTTGTCTTACAAACATTATTAACATTTCTTCCATTAAGGATTTAACATAATCCTAAACTAATTTTTTTTTTTTTTGAGACAGAGTTCCATTAAGTAGCCCTGACTGGCCTGGAACTCAATATATTGATCAGGCTGATCTGAAACTCACAAAGACCTGCCTGCCTCTGCCCACTATTAAAAATTTTTGAATCTGCTTTCTGTTCTTAGCTAGTTAACCCTTCCTACTTCATCAATAATTCAATTTAATTCCTTCTGAGTCTTTTAGAAATGATTTTTACAAGACACTAAGAAATCTGTCTTTTTCCTTCAGTTAACTGTCTCTCCATTTAAGAAGAAAAGGGACTGGCTCACAAGACATTACTCCCAGAGAAACTCTGCCCAAGGAGCTGGTACATGTAGGCAGTCAAGGAAAAGAGCACACGCTTGAAACTGCATGTTGCTCACAGATGCTGCATTGAGAGCACAGAGTGGGTGGAGGCCTTCAGCAGGGCACAGGATAGCTAACTACGCAGCTAAGGGGCGGGCTGGGGCTCTGGGGCAGTGGCTGCAGGCTGCTTCCCTCCCCGCTAGTTCTTGAGGAGCAGTGTGAGGCACTACTGTCCTTTCATATCCACACTTCTAATGCAGCTAATGCTAACACTAAGTAAAGAGACGAGAGCTTCTAAGAAGGCCTCCACCTCTTTCAGAAGGAGAACCCACATCATTTGGAACATTAACTGCATTTGAGGGCCACGAGGAACAATGAGTTCAATAGAATTATTGACTGAGACCCTGCAAGGTCAGAAAGTAGTAACATCCAGCAAGTGATTAACACCTAGAAGACAGTCAAGGTCAATAGGAAACCTGGGGTCAGAGATGGACAGAGAGGGCCTTCACCCATGTTTCATTGGTGGGCAGTGCACAAAGAGTGCATGTTCATCTTTCTGGCTGGGCTGGGGGATATACAAATACTATGTGGGTCCTCCATTATTGGTCCACAATATCTGAGAGAACTAGCCAATTTCACAGCCATTACTTAATGGGGGATGTCCTTCTGTATATACATTTCTCTCATTGGTTGATGAATAAAACACTGTTTGGCCAGGCAGCAAGTGTGTGCGGGGCTACCTGATGAGGAGAATTCTGTGGAGAGGGAGGCAGAGAAGGGCCGCGAAGAGACACCATGCTGCCCAAGGACTTACATGCCAGATTATGGGTAAGCCATAACCTCATGGCAATATATAGATTAATAGAAATGGGTTAATACTTAAGACAGAGCTTGTCAATAAGAAGCCCTAGCCATAGGCCAACAGTTTTATACTTAATATAGCATCCCTGTGTTTATTTGGGGCTAATCGGCTGTGGGATCAGGCTGGAAAGAAACTCCAGCTACAATTAATCCAGCACAGATTGGTCCATTCTCTGCCATGGTCCCACAAAAGTCTACATGAACAAGTGTGATGCCGTTTTTCTTCTCTTGGAAACCTTTCTGTCCTCAGGAGATCCTCTCCCTTCTCTGTAACTCTTTTTAAGAAAGCTTGCTTTTGCTTTGTATGCTCCTTCCAGAGTCTGCATCTGGAATCTTCATTGCATGAGACATCTGGAGTCAATGTCACAGTAATTTTGGTGACCATCAGCCCAGCATCCTAGGTCCCTGAGTCATGTACAACTGGGCAGTGAAGTGCCTTGCCACACTTAAAAATCTTGCATCACTTTCAACCCTGAAACTCTTCTCCTTAAGCCTGGCATCAGGTACATCTGCATTCTCCTTTACATCTATACCTTTCACTGGGATGAACATTTAGTCAGACCTTCTTCCTCAGAACAAAATTCTGAATATTCACAGCCAGAGGCCAAGCCTATAATAATCCTTTAGTGTGATTCTGTTCAAACTTAATTAACTCAGGACGAGTCACCCTTGCTGGTGCTCAATCATGGACTGGTTCATCTGAAGGGCAAAGGGTAAGCATGTCCTAAAGTTCTAACACCTCCAAAGCTGGTGCCCTCACACATATTCTGCTCACATGTGTCTTTCCTTCCAAGTTGGCCACTGCTAACTACAACCCCAATGTATAAAAATTATAATACAAACAGGATAGTTCAAGGAACTCTACTCTTCCCAAGGCAATATTTAATCTTGCTCAGAAAATACTGCCAAATGCATTAAGTCAACTTAATGCAAAATAAAGAAGGCATTGTTAAACCAGTCATAAAAGCACACAACAGCCACCAAACAAGTAAGACATACCTGGGTCCCATTGCCAGTGTTTCGAAGGTGATTGTGAAGAAGTTTAGTAGCACCATCTTGGAAAGTTTTTGGTAAAGCTCCTAGCAACATTGTAAACTCCGGGGTATTGAGTTCAAATAAAGAAATCAGCACTGATTGTGCTGCCTGAAAGAAACAAAGACATAAAAAAGTAGGTGAATGCATTCTATCTACTCCAAGGTGGGTGGCCATTTTTGTCTTATGTTTCTGCTCCACAGCCCAAGGCTTGCCCATCTCTCACATAGAAAAGGATTCTTTTTGGGGGAGGATAAAAACACTCTCAACTACCATTTATTTTCTAAAGTTAAGAAGGGACTATAAAAGGGTAACAGATGACAAAACTTTGCAGGGCAATTCTGTCAACATATATTACTGCTTCAGTTTTCCTAATGAATAACCAAAAGGAAAAGGATGTCTATATGATCCTGTTCAGGGTGACTAAATGCTGAAATTAAACTTTCTCAATATGAGAATTTTTTTTAAAAAGATGGTCTTTTCTTCTACTGGGGGTAGAAAGGTTCAAATGTGTACATGGCAGCAGTCGATAGAAGGTGTAAAGGGTAGGAATGGGAGGAGGAGGGAAAGTAATGAACCCAAGCAAACATGAAAATACCATGCGGAAAGATGCTACTTTGCTTTGTATGATAACTAAAAAAATAAAGCCAGCATAAGAAGGGGAAAAACAATAACAACAAACAAAAGTGTCAACCAGCCAGGTTTGGTGGTGGCGCATGCCTTTAATCCCAGAACTCGGGAGGCAGAGGCAGGCGGATCTCTGTGAGTTCGAGGCCAGTGTGGTCTACAGAGCGAGTTCCAGGACAGCTTCCAAAACAATACAGAGAAAACCTGTCTCGAAAAACCAAAACCAAACCAAACAAACAAACAAAAAAAAAGTGTCAATCAACCAACCAACAAACCAAACCAAGTCAGGATTTTACTATGCAGTCCTGGAGAGCTTTGTACAGGTATATACCACTATACCACCATGCTTGGCTCTGTAGGATTCTTTAACTAGCAATATCTAGTCTTCTCTTAAGCAGCTAATCTAAAAGGTCTACAGTTAATCTTAAGGTAAGTCAAGTGTTTCATAAAAATTAAAACAATATAAAACACTCAGATTAGTCAGAAATTATATAACAATTTAGAGGACGGCAAGAAATGGAGCATGGTCACATGACCCTTATCCAATGTACACACCTTTCGAACATCAGAGCTTTTGGGCTCTGTCGTCCAAGTGATGACCCGAGACACTGCCAGTCGAGTTTCACTGGAATTTATAAAATCTCCTGGATCCATCTGCTTGGCCAGAGTTTCTATGTACTTAAGGATAGCAACCTTCACCTGCAGAAAAGAACACAATGAAAGAGGTCAGCAGGATGGACTCTCCCGACTGGGACATGCATCAGAAATAACCATTAGTTTTTGTAAAGGGAAGCAGAAAAAACAACAAACCTCAAATGAATGATGCAGCTACTTACCCACCTGGCATGAGGTGAGGGTTTCTGTTTTCATATGTATTAGAGCACTCCATTCCCAGAATATGAGCAACTGCTGAATATTTTCTTAACAAACTGTAACCTACCCCCCCAAGAATCTGCTTTCCGAGTGTATAGGGGGCTGGTCTTACGGTCATTTCTTTTTGGGGAAACAGCTAAAGTGTTAGATAGTAGGGTATTACAAGACAAGCCTGTAATCACAGTGGGTAACTGTCTATTTATTTATATTTAAGACAGGGTTTCTAGCCCAGAGTGGCCTCAAATGCACTGTGTAGCCAAGACTGACCTTGAATTGCTCTAATTCCCCTGCCTCTACCTCCAGAGTACAGTTTATAAAGTGCTGGGAATAGAATCCAGGATCTGGTGCAGGCTAGCCAAGCACTCTCTGCAGGTGAGCTATATCCCCAGCTCTCCCAATTAACTCTTTTATGTGAGGTGCATGAAAGGCAGTTGTGGGGTGGGAGATGGAGTTATTTCTAAGGCACACATGCTTCTTTCTAGACTCAGCCATTTTAAACTCTTCTAGTGAGCAATTATTAATTATATCCCTCCTCTCCAGTATTCTAGTGGAAATAAACAGGTGGAGAATCCTTGTTTTTGGTTACATATTGCAACTTTTTTTTTTTTTTTCGAGACAGGGTTTCTCTATGGCTTTGGAGACTGTCCTGGAACTAGCTCTTGTAGACCAGGCTGGCCTCGAACTCACAGAGATCCGCCTGCCTCTGCCTCCCAAGTGCTGGGATTAAAGGCGTGTGCCACCAACGCAACATTTTATAGTTTCTAAACGATGTTTCCCTCAGGCTGTGGTTGCTTATTTTATTTGATTATCTTTAGGGATTATTCGTAAGTGTATGAGCATTGGCCTCCATGCATGTGTACCATATCCACGCCTGGTGCCCTTGTAGGTCAGAAGACTGTCAGATCCCTCGGAATTGTAGGTGGAGGTTGTGTGCTGCCGTGTGGGTGCTGGGAACTGAGTTCATGTCCTCTCCAAGAGCACTAGGTACTTTTTACCACCGAGTCACTTCTCCAGCCTCTGGGATCCTTTGAAAGTTTTCATCATCATTATTCTTTGGCTTGCTGGGGATCAAGTCTACGGCCTTGCAAATGTCAGGTAAGCACTCTGACATAGAGTTACATCCACAGGCTCACAAATGATCTCTGAAAAAATTTTCTTTTGCATTGTATGTGTATGGGTGGGAATTTTGATGTGTGAGCATACATAAGTCAGAAGTTGACATGCCCTCTCCACTTATATACTGAAGTAGGATCTCTTGCTGATTTGAGCAGTTTAGCTGGTCAGCCTGCCCCAGCGATCCCTTACCTCTACCTCATGACTTCTAGTAGTTTTGCTTTGTTCTATTTTTTATTTCATTCATTTATTTATTTTTAGACAAAGTCTTAGTATGTTACCCTGTATAGACCAGGTGGGACTTGAACTCAGAGATTGATTTACCGCTGCTTCCCATGTGCTGGGATTAAAGGCATTTACAGTCATGCAATGCCAAGTAATGCAGTTTTAGAATGTTTTCACAAAATAGGTGTGTTAGCTATAATAAGCAAATAACCAAGAAACATATAATCATTGAAATACTCCCATTTAGTAAGACATCTCACTAAGTCACGAATTCTACAATTAATGATGCAACTATACATTCAATTTCAAAGAACAATATAGTTAGCAAAGGTATTTGTAATCAATCCTTCAGTGTATTTATCAAGCTGGAAAAAGTATTCAGGAAAAAAAACCATGTATTTAACAAATGCCAGTAATTCAATAAAAATAAATTCTATTGTTATTTAGTCCCCTGTTACCTTCTTTCTTTAAAAAAAAGATCCATTTACTACTTGAACTTATTTAAGTTTTCTATTTATTATTATTACTTATTATTATTTGGAGACAGGGTCTCTATGCAGTCCTGGCTCTTTTGGCACTTGCCATGTAGAGCAGGTTGGCCTGCAACTCACAGAGATCCCTTGCTTCTGTTCTCTGCCTCTCCAATGCTGTATTAAAGGTGTGTACCATACTCAGCAGCCTGTTAGAATTTTTAAAAGATTTATCTTGCCAGGCGGTGGTGGCACACACCTTTAATCCCACCACTCGGGAGGCAGAGGCAGGTGGATCGCTGTGAGTTCGAGGCCAGGCTGGACCGACAGCCTCCAAAACAATACAGAGAAAAAATGTCTAGTAAAAAAAAAAAAGATTTATCTTAAGAAGTTTTATGTATGTGCTTCTGTGTGATTGTGTGTGTGTGTGTAGAGACCAAAAGAAGACATGTGTCTCTTGACTGAAATTACGGGTGATGGCAGGGTGGCCAGCTTGTTATTGGGTGCTGAGGTCCAAGTTCTGGTTGTCATGTTTCGAGGCAACTGCTATAAGCCATTTTTTCCAGCTTGGTAAGTTCTTATGATTTAAAAATGTTTTATCTACATGTATGTGTGCAGGTCTGTGTGTGTATGCCAAGTATAAGTAGGTGTCAGAGGAGGCCAATGAACCCCCTAGATTGGAGTTGCAAGCATTTGTGAGCAGCCTGATTTGGATGCTGGGAGCCAAGCTGTAAGTGCTGAGCCATCTCTTCAGCATCCCTACCTACCTCTGGATAAGCTCTTTATATTTAATCCTGTTCCCCTCCTACAAGCTGTTCTTACTTGGGTATGAAATATGACACCAACACTCTTATTTCTGTTGTCCAAACTGCAACAAAGAGGTCTCCTTCTGGCTTTGCAACTGACTGCACTTAGATTTACATCAGACACAGAAGAGCAGCTTTGGTCCCACAGGGAGCTCCTTTTAATTCATCTGTGTCCCACATCCCTGCTTCCTTCACTTGTCTTTCATTTTAGGTCTTGAGAGACTTTACTCTTCCCACACATCACCTCTCTCTTTTGGGGTTTGTGAGCCATGGCTTCATAGCTTAGACTAACCTAGAACCCTCTGGGTAGTCATGCTGACAAATCACTGCTTACTGACCTGCCTCAGCATCTCATGTGGTGGGATCAGAGGTCTACACCACTACACGTGACTCATGTTTCTGAAGATGGCTTCTGGCTTCATTTGTACAGGCATACTAAATATCTTCACTTATAGCTTCAACAGCTGCTACGTATCTACCATATAACTACATCGTCTCCTATATTATCATTTAGTTTACCAAGTACTGTAAGTGATAATGATAAAAAATGCAAAGTTTTCTATTTCTCAGGAATGTCTTCGCTCTACTATGAGCTACAATGTGCGCCAATATGGAATAAATCCTTCTTCTGTAGGTAAGTTTTTAAAATGAAACAGAGAGGCCCCTTTTCACTGAGTGGTTCTGAGAAAATGACATTCCAGTGTGTGTAACTGTGATTCTGAGGCACAACTGGATTCCAAGACATAAAGGGAAAAATCAATCCTGGGTGGTAAGACATTCATTTGTGCAGACCAGAGCAGAAGCTACAAGGCGTGTATGAGCAGTATGCTTCTTACTTCTCTGACCTTATTCTCAGTGGCTACAGCTCAGGAAAAGCAAGCACTCCACCAATAAGCTGTATCCCAGACACAACCATTTCATTTCTTATGTTAAACCTAATCATTTTAAATCACAGATCAGAATCTATCTACTTTTCATACACCTGGAAAATGTGTCCAAATGGAGATGAGGAAGTTAGTCTTGTTTCAGAAATTTCACACTGCAAAAAGTTATTTCAGATAGGGAGAATGAACTGAGATTAAACTTAAAGTATCATTTCTGGTTTTTTTTTTTTTTTTTTTTGGTTTTTCGAGACAAGGTTTCTCTGTGGCTTTGGAGGCTGTCCTGGAACTCACTCTGTAGACCAGGCTGGCCTCGAACTCAGAGATCCACCTGCCTCTGCCTCCCGAGTGCTGGGATTAAAGGCGTGTGCCACCAACGCCCGGCTAAAAGTTTCATTTCTTTACTAAAATAAGCACCTAGACAATGCTATGTTTGCCCCAAATACTTAATAAGATTCTAAAAACTACAACTAAAAAAATATTGGGAAATCACAAACATACAATTAAATACCATTTTACAAGGTAACTCTGCATTACCAGCTTAGGGTTAGACAGCCATACTTTGTGATGCTTTTACAATTTACACAGAGAGCTTTTGCAAAGAGAGGTCAAGCCTCTGGAGAACAGTTGAAGTCGAGTACATGCATGCATAAAAGGCTCAGGAAGGTGCGTAGTTAAATACAGACGCATAAGACATCATCCCAAATAGTGCAGAGAGTTATGAAGAGAAATAATGCAGGCTAAAATAAAAACAAAAGAAAAACCTTTGAGCTCCAAAAAGAGTGAAGCTGGTCCCGGATTGCTGGCTTGACTGTCTGAAAGTTTACAAAAATAAAACCCACTGATTGAGCAGCTTCTTGTGTGACAAAAAACACAAATATTACCATAACTTTATTATTAAATACTACAATTCCTTGTAATAGTTTCAGAAGAAATCAAATTTTTACCTTCAAGCTTGGTGTTTGGGTCTGGTCAACTGTAAATCTCATTAGGATATTAAATTGGAGATCATTTGGAAAAGATTCTCTGAAAAAAGAACAAAGAAAAGACAAAGTTAAAAAACAAAATAAGTGGGGCTGGAGAGAGAATGCAGTGGTTAGGAGCACTGGCTGCTCTTCCAGAGGACCTGAGTTCAATTCCTGGCACCTGTAAAGAGATCTGGTGTCCTCTTCTGGCATGTAGTTCAGGCCTACATGCAGGCAGAACACTGTATACATAATAGATAAATAAATCTTTTTTAAAAAGTAACCAACGTCCCCAAAATTAAGTTGACACGCATATATTTTAACAAATTCCAGAGTAAACGAAATTTAGTACCCAAATATCATGCCACCCAAAATACGTATGAATTAATAGGCAAAATGGTACAGTCTATGAAGCACAGTACAAGAATAAAGGCATTTGAACTTATAGCCAGTAAAGGATTAAGAAACAAAGCTAGATAAGTGTATCCTGTTTGTCTCACTATGTATTTAATCAGGAAAATGTAATCAGTAAAGATTCAAACTTCTGTCCCTGAAGAGACAACTCTGGTTAAAAGCACACAGACTGCTCTTACAGCAGAACTGAGCTTGGTTCCCAGTACCTACATGGGCAGCTCACAACTATCTCTTACCCCAGCTCCACAGGACCTGATGTCCTCTTCTGGTCTCCTCATTTCAACTGAGAGTGGTGACATACATCTTTAATCTCAATGCTCAGGAGGCAGAGGTGAGCAGAACTCTGAATATGAGGCCAGCCTGGTCTACATAGTGAGTTCCAGGGCAGCCAGAGCTACATACTGAGACCCTGTCTCAAAAAAAAAAAAAAAAAAAAAGAAAGAAAGAAAGAAAGAAAAGAAAGGAAAAGAAAACACCACCCCAAAAAATCTGAATTCCAGATTTCAATTTATATGGGTGTATGAAATAAGTCACTTCAACAGTAAGATCAAGAAGATAGAAACCTACCATTGGTTTAAAGCATTCTGCAAGGAGACTATTTAATGGCATGATAAAATATTGTTTAAAACAGGAATAGCTTCTAATTTCACGTAAGATCATACTAACCTTCAATTCAATTTACACATACATTTACAGTTGTTTTTACCAAAAGGTCAAGACATGATTGTACATTAAAAACTTTTCTTTAGTTGGTCATGGTGGCACATGCCCTTAGTCCCAACACTTGAGAGACAGAGGCAGGTGAATTCTGAGTTCAAGGCCAGTAGGGTCTACACAGAGTTCTAGGACAGCCAGGACTACACAGAGAAACCCTGTCTCCAAACAAACAAATAGCCCCTAACCAACAAACTAACCCACACAAACACCCCCTTTTCATTTGTATTTATTTATTTGTGTGTGTATCTGGGAATGTGTGTGTTATGGTACACTTGTGAGAGTTGGCTCTCTTCCTGTGGGTTGAAGGATCAGACTCTGGTTGTAGGTCTTGATAGCCAAGTGCCTTTATCCCAAGCACCATTGATCCTTATTGTATCTTTCGAGATAAGCTTTAATTATATTTCATAGACTGCCTTAATCTCATGAACTCAAACAATCCTCCTGCCTCAGTATCCCAATAAATGAGACTACAATTGCATGCCACTGTACCAGGCTCTCGTTACATCTTTTTGCTTTGTCTTCTCTCTCTCTCCCCCCCCCTCTCTCTCTCTCGGTTTCTCTCTCTCTCTCTCTCTCGGTTTCTCTCTCTCTCTCTCTCTCGGTCTCTCTCTCTCGGTCTCTCTCTCTCGGTCTCTCTCTCTCGGTCTCTCTCTCGGTCTCTCTCGGTCTCTCTCTCTCTCTCTCTCTCTCTCTCTCTCTCTCTCTCTCTCTCTCTCTCTCTCTCTCTCTTTTCTTATAAGGACCACTCTTTGTAGCTCAAGGTGGTTTTCAACTCCTGATCCTTCTGTCTTCAACATGCTGGGATTATAGATGAGTGGCACTATGCCTGCCCCCATATATATGTTTAAACACATATATTTTATTTTTATTTTTGAGACTGGGTCTCACTACATAGCTATTAGTTCTGGCTGTCCTGGAACTCATTTAATAGACCAGAAGGGCTTCAAACTCAGAGATCTGCCTCCTTTTGCCTTTCAAGTGCTGGGATTAAAGACATGCACCATCAGGCTCAGCTCTGGAGCTGTATCTTTATTATTGTTTGTGACAGGTTCCTGTAGCCAAAGCTGGCCTTACACTCATTATATAGCCGAAGATTACCTTGAATTCTTGATCACCCTAACTCTACCTCCCAAGTTCTGGGATTACATGCATGCACTACCATGCTAGTTTAGTTATATTTTACTTCAAGTACTCAAACCAGTAGTAATAAAACTTTAATACAGGGATTAAATATTTGTAATTATCAAAAGGTAAACTTGAAATACATGCAGAAAATATTACCTTGTAACATCAAGGGCTTTCTGAACTTTTGCCTGAACAGACCCAAGCAAATCAGCACCCATTTTTTTCAGCAGCTGTGTCAGGAGCACAAACAACCAATCTTGAAGGTCATCTTTGTGGACTTGTATGAAATCTACTAGAGTCTCCAAAAACATGCTGAACACCTGTAGTTGATAAAGGGGAGAAGTGGGAAGAACAAAGAGGAGACATTGACCTCTACGCTCAATGCAAAACAGAAACAGATGGGGAAAGAGGAATCTGAGGCACAGCGATTGGCAGCCAAGCGGGGAGGAAAAAAAATCTCTCTTGCTTTTCACTGGACTCTGTGACACAAGAGTGCACCTGCGCTGCTATCCAACTTCTGCAGAAGTTTACAATTAGCTATCCCATGCAGCAGCACTTGGTAAAGAAACTGCCCATAATGGCTGGCACACCTAATGTTATCAGCGATGCCAAAGCTTAAGTTAGTTAAACTGAGACTCATTTCCTAAGAAATGGAGGAGGTGCTGTGTGGTTTTTCAAGGACACTCAGTATTTAAAAGAATACTGGGTGAATTAGAAAATTATTGAATTTATAGTCACCATACTACAATAATGTGCTGATTAAAAAAGCCTCAGGTTTCACAGAATGATAAATTTCATAAACTTTTTGGTATAAGATTTATTATTTATTAAAACTGCCCCAAAAGTAATTTTTAATTGCTTATAGTAACTAAAAGCATCTCTAATAAAAATAATTGAGAATAAATGTATTTAAAATTTAAATTTTTAAAAGTTCTTGTGTTGGTAGGATTTATGTATTTATTCATTTAAAATTTTTGGGACAGAGTTTGTCTCTATAGTCCTGGCTGTCCTGGAACTCACTATGTAGAACAGGTTGGGCTCAAACTCAAGAGATACCCTGCCTCTGCCTCCCAAATGCTGGGATTAATGGTGTGTGCCTCCACGTCCAGTTTATGTTGGTAAGTTTTATGCTTGGCTCCAATATTTTATATACAGGAGTATGAAAATCTGTATAATGTGAAAACATATCTTAAGGGAAAGAGAAACTAGTGTGTGATGTCTCATTAAAATATTTTGGAAAGTGACTCTTGATAAGGTTTTGTTTATTTGTAAGAAATCAATATTATGCTAAAAGATCAATATCTAAGTAAACAGAAAATATTCTTAAGAGTCACAGCCATGCTATACTAAGACACATCACAATCAGAACAGGTGGATAAAAAATCATGCTATTTTTATTTATTTGTTCTTTATGTGTATATATGCCATGTGCACACCTGATGCCATAGAAGCAGAGGATATCAGATCTGGATATGGAGTTATGATGGCTGTGAGCTGCCTGATGTAGGTGATGGGAATGGAACCACGTTCTCTTGAAGGGCAGCCTGTGCTCTTGACTGCTGAGCTCTCTTGCCAGCCACAGTCCTCTTTGTTAATTTGAGATGCATCTCTTGTTGCCCAGGTTGGCTTTGAACTTTTTATGTGTTGGAAGATGGTCTGCAAGATACTCTGGACATCAGGTTGCTGGGATTACAGGTGTGCAGCACCTCCACACCTAGTTTATGTGGTGCTGGGGACTGAGCCAAGCGCTCTGTGCACTTTACTAACCGAGCTTCAGCTCCTGCTCCATTTACAAAAATCTTCTACAATCTTAAAGGCAACTTTACTAATTTGAAATTGTTTCATTTTCAGTATTTCTGGAATGTCCTTTATGCAGTTCTGATGAACTCTAGTTTTTGCCACTTTATTAGCAATGAAAGTTTCCTCTACTTAGAATTAAAACTAAGATTTAACATTTGAAACTTTGTTATAAAGAAAAACAATCCACCTTAGTCATTTTCTTAAGATGGTGTGTATTTGTGAAAGCAGCAACTATGACCACTTGGAGCTCTCCAGTGCTCTCTGCTCTCCAGTGGTACCTACTCATTTATAATGCAGATCCTTGTAATTCCCACTAAACTAAATGCCCAAAACTTGGTTTCAAAGCTGGCTGAGTACTTTGCTTAAATTCTTTTGGGCTTTCTCCTCTGGGCCTAGAAGATTGTGAAAAGAGTTTTGTTACACCTAGTCTGTGACAACTGCTTGTGTCTAACCTGGCACCCAGTCTTCCTGGTCACCTGACTACTCTGTCTGGCAGCACACCAGAGCTGGTTTCATCTCCCTCAACATGCCACATGTTATAGAATCGGGGTTGCTGGGAGGTGACTGAATTTTTAAAGTGGGCTGTGAGCTTACTGGTCACTTGAAATCAGCCATAGTAGCATTATAGAAACCAACTCCTGTCTGCCTCTCCTCTCTCCCCTCTCCCCTCTCCCCTCTCCCCTCTCCCCTCTCCCCTCTCCCCTCTCCCCTCTCCCCTCTCCCCTCTCCCTCTCCCTCTCCCTCTCCCTCTCCCTCTCTCTCTCTCTCTCTCTCTCTCTCTCTCTCTTCTGTCCAGAGCTTCTTTACTTGTTGCCAACTATTTCTTTTTGAGTCACTTTTACTCTCGTTTCAACTGTTTCCTAGCCTGTTTTCATAAGAAAACCTGTCCTGAAAATCTTAAGCCATTTGGAAAGCCAGTGTGTCAATGGTTGGTTGTTTGGGCTTTAGGTGTGCTGTAGCCACACTATTTCTACATAGTTTCACTTGTCACTGCCTTTCCTGGGAATCTGACTTTCTCTACACTTCATGTTCTAATGAGCCTCCCTAAAGAGACATGGTTTTACTCCTTTCTACAGCCAGTCCAGCTGAGCAGTATCTTGTTCTTGAGATGTCTCTGCTACCTGACTCCCTACCTGGCCCTCTGCTTAAACTGCAGTGTAGTGCTTTTTCTTAAGTTCAGTATGATTGGGTTTTCTCTAAGTTGAAGCTGCTTTCTTCAATGTCTCCTCTTTTCTTCTTTCTTGTCAGGAATTTTCCTATTGTATCCCAATGCCTTCACATTTATAGCAGCGAGGCCTCTTTCACTAAGGCCCAGTCTCTCAGGAACAGCTTTCTTTGGCCTTCTCAAAGTCGGCTTACCCACTGATGTAAGTACAAAGCCCTTTCAACTTCAGGTCTGACCTTACTCATTTCCTGTATACTAGGATCACCAAGTCATTTCTGTAACAGGCCAGATAATAAACGTCTGAGACTCTATCGGCTATGTCTACACAGCCCTGCCACCGTACCATGGCCACAGACATAAAATTAGTATAACTGTATTTCAAAACACCTGTATTTCCCAAATCAGACCTTGGGCAGATTTAGCCTCCAGGCTATGTTTTTTCAACTCATGCTTCTTTCCTACAGACCATCGCTGGAATGTCAATTTGACAGAAATTAAATCCTTACATATTCCCAGTTAGCAAGAATCCTCAACCCTTAGTTCTGGTCTGGGAGCATCTGGTAACATGAACGTTGTCTTCCCTTTCATACATATTTCATAAAACTCTCATTTTCTTACAATTCCCTTATCTCCCACTCCTTACATACAGCATGTGAGCCTCCAAAAATTTATCAAGAAGCTGCCTGGGCCACTTTAGAGCATAGTCACTCATTTTTCCCACCTGAAACTTTTTCTTACATGTTTGCTTGAGACAGGGCCCTACTGCATTGCCTTGGCTGGCTTGGAATTCACTAAGTAGACGAGGTTGGCCTTGAACTCACAGAGATCCATTTGCTTTTGCACTGGGATTAAAGGCATGCGCCATCCTCTATTTGGAACTTGTAATGTGACTAGCTATGCATTATAATAATTAAACTTTTCTCAAATCATATTATCACTCTACCTAGAATATTTATGTGTTATTTATTTATTTTTGGTTTTTCGAGACAGGGTTTCTCTGTAGCTTTGGAGACTGTCCTGGAACTTGCTCTATCGACCAGGCTGATCTTGAACTCACAGAGATCCACTTGCCTCAGCATCCCGAGTGCTGGGATTAAAGGCATACGCCACCAACACCCAGCTTATTTTTGAGATAGAGTCTCACCATGTATTATTCCAGGATGACTTTGAACTCACGATAATCTTGACTCAGCCTATTTAGTGTTGGGATGACAGACAGGTGTTACTAGGCCCACCCCAAGGTTCTGTCATTTGATGTATGTTCACATGAGTACACATGTATATACGTATATTTCAAGGCCAGAGGTCAACTTTGGGTGCCATTTTTTTTAGGTGTTGCCCACTTTACTTTTGAGACAGATTCTTTGGCCCGGAACCTACCAAACAGGCTAGACTATCTAGCCAGGAGACCTGCCTGCCTCTGTTTCTTTGGCACTAAGACTGTAACTGTGCATCACCAGACTCAGCTTTTTAAGAGAGTGGGTTCTGGGACCGAACTCAGGTTCTTATACATGCACAGCAAGCATTTACCAACTGAGCTAACTCTCTAGCCCCAAGAAGAGATCTTATTATGTAGCCCAGGATAGCCTCAACTTAATGGAAATCTTCCTGATTCAATATAATTGCATAGTCTATACTTCCATTTCACCTAAGATTATAACTGTTCTTTTCTTCCAGAGACTTCCCTGAATGTCTCAGAGAGGAAGTTTTCCTAGTTAGGTAAAATGTTAAGTAGCATAATTAAAATGCAGAGACATAGAGGCCACTGCATATAGAACTGTATTACTTGAAAACACGTATTACATTCCATCACTGGCAATAGTGGCCAAATGTATGCATATACTCATACATATATGCATAATCACAGCCCTAATATGTTGGAAACAATACGCAACCTTTCCCAAAGGATTTCTGTACCACAGAGGATTCATTTCAGAAGTCAATCAATACTTTCTCCTTTCCTCACCCACAAGTAAAGGAGAAATGTATATTAATATAATGCAAAGAATATAAATTGTATTTCACAAGTTGAAGCTTAGAAGTAGTGATTTATAACCACTGCTTATTTTTACAGAATGGTATTAATAGACTATTAAAGAATACATGGGGGGTGGTAAGGTAGCATTATATATATATTTTTTTAAATAAATCTGAAGCTTGGTAATTATTTTAAACCTCCAATGAATGAATTTGATATTTCACAACTGCAATTATTTAGGAAAGAATCAAATATTGGCCTATTACAATTGAGGCAGCCTCTTATATAAGCCTGTTTTATTTTAGGTGTGCCAGCCATCAAATTTGAAACAGAAGAACATAATCAAATTAGAACAATTAGTAGATTAAAAAGCACATCTGCAAACAGAATGACAGTTTGCGTAACTGCTAATAGCATGTCGTGGATTGCAAAGGGTCCAACACTGCATGAACTCTTCAGGAGAGAAAAACAGAGAAAACGGGTTAATTCCACAATCATGCAGTAAAGTTAGCTTTTCAACAAATATTGAACCAACTTACTCTCTATTGAGAGTTCCAACACAGGGGACAGCATGCAAAAAGGAAAAAAGAAAAAAAGAAAAACACACAAATTAGTCGCCATCAATGCAAAGTTCCTGTATGGAAGAAAAGAAAAAACACTAAAGAAAATAAAAGTGACAAATGTTTTCAAAGTTTTATGAAATAACTCAAAATAGTTTTAAAAACAAGAGTTAAATGAACAACATAGGAGAAGAACACATGATTTCTCTGTATGTCTCATTTACTTCCCTGTTAAGGAAATTTAAGAAAAAGTCTTTCTTTGTGCTCCCTAAAATTTTTATCTGTCTGTCTGTCTGTCTGTCTGTCTGTCTGTCTGTCTGTCTGTCTATCTATCAACAAGGTCTCACTATGTAGCCTTGAATTTCCTGGAGCTCAACTATGTAGATCAGGCTGGCATTGAACTCATAGACCATTACAAATACTTTCATTGTTGTACAGTCCACTATCCCTAGAGCTTAACTTTTAGAAAAAAAAAAAAAAAGATGAACAGAACCTCATTTCTATTTATCAACAGTGTCAACATTTGGTTCCAAACCACAGTGTCTAGAATTCTTTCCCCATCTTCTCCCCCTTCACAAGTTAGATGATTTCTGTGAAGTTTTGAACAATAATTATTATATGCAAGTAAAGACAAGTATTTCTATCACACTTCACATTCCATGGGTAAGATGTGTTACCATCACCTGCTCCAAAGACTACCTAATCTGACCAGAATATCTGAGAAGCTACCTGATCTGACCAGAATGCTTGACAGAAGACAGTCAACTAGTACAGCAGTTATAGGGTGTTTTCTATAGCGGTCTAAGGCTCAAAGGCCCAATTCATGGCACACATCCCATTGAAGATGGCACTTTCCAAAGAGTTCCATTATAGCTAAATGCTGAAATCACACAGTTAACTTTTAGTACATGCTACCACTTATATCAGGGAGCTGGGTGTCAGGGACATAAGGTGGGTCTACAACAATAAACATAAAAACTTGGGGTGAAGAGTGGTTGACCAAGAGGACCTGAGCGCTGATCCCAAGCACTCACGTGACAAGCTGGATGTGGTCTTGCATGCAACTGTAATCCCAATGCTGTGGGGAATGGGGGCAGGACAATCTTCAGGGCTTGTCAGCTACCAGACAAGCTGAGATATACAAACTCAAAATTTAGGAAGAGGCTCTGCCTTAAAGAAATAAGGTATAGATAGATAGATAGATAGATGGATGGATGGATGGATGGATGGATAGATAGATCGATCAGGATACCAGATATCTTCCATGGGCATCTATGCATATACACAGGCATATGAACTTGCACACAAGCAAACACAGAGACACATATACACACCTGTACACAAGCAAACATACACACACAAAGATATATGCATAAACCACACATATAAACCCTCCACTCATACATAAATAAAACTGGGAAAGCAGTCTCTAAAAGCACTTATTTTAAAAAAATTACATTTTGTTCTAAAATTTCTAAGAACCATACAAGAGATCTATTCTAAAAATTTTGATTTTAACTGAATCACCATCAAAATAAACTTTTTGATAATAGTTGAATGCTATTATAAGCTGCTGTACAGATTAATAAGCTAAGGCACACATTGTTAACAAGCACTGCATATAGAATAAAGACCACTATCTATACTTGATAGTACCATGTTGTAAAGTTCTTTTGTAAAACTATCAAAAAGTCTTTAATACACTTGGTGCCTTATGGTCTAAGTTCTTGTCTCATATCTATCTATCTATCTATCTATCTATCTATCTATCTATCTATCTTATGTTAGATCACTTATTCTCATACTGTACAGGTAGCTCTCTATATTTCAGATTCCATGACCTGAGGACTGAAAATATTTCAGGGAAGAAGTTGCCCTTGTTCTTCATACTCAGTTTTTCTTTAATCACCCTTAACTAAGAAGATCTTAGTATCTGCAGAAGGTCCTGGAACCAACCCATGATAGATGCTGGGGGAATGATACATGAAGTAAAGTTAACTTATCAAACCATAGAAAGACATTAAATGATCTCCACTTGCAAACTGCACTTGCCACATTATCTGAGTCCCAGGAAAAGTCATGGATCCACTCCAATTGCACTAAGAAAGGAGTCCTTCCTAGCCCTTCTTGTTCTGGGATGGCTTATAGCATATTAGAGCATGCCTGACATTTTGGAAGGTCCAAATCCTTTTGTCTAAACATATTAAGGGAAATGTTCTGAGAGCTGAAATCAGTGGTCCTAGCTAGAAAACTATGGGCTGTTGCTTACAACCTTGTTCTTGAAGAGTCCTCTTTCTGCTGGAGTCAACAAATGGTCTCAATCAAGTCACTAGACAAAAGCAAGAACAACCTTCACTTTCAAAGCAGTTAGGTACCCTTTAATGTTCACAGACTGAGTGAAACACTGATTCAAATCTAAAATTACACTGGGCAACTCGCCATCCATATCCTGATACATGGTATCCCCTAAGCATCTTTGTAGGGTTTTACACAATTTCAACCCTGTGATCCTGCAAAACAATTGAGTTATAGGTAAGGCATTCCAATCCAGAATGGCCACCTAACCCAGGCTTGAGGGAGAGGCATCATTTATGCAGAGCCCTAAGGATGCAGTTTGGGAAAGAGAACTCTCAAATGGCACATTTCAAGCTATAAAGGGAAGAAAGAAAGATTCAGGCTAAGGAGATGTGATGGTTAATCTATGTTGCCAACTGGCTACATGGAATTAACTAAAACCCAAGCAGCTGGGCACACTTGTGGGGGATTTTCTTGACTGGATTATTTGAGGTCAGAAGACTTGTCCTAAGTCTGGGCCACACCTCCTGGTAGCAGCCGATATAAATGGATATGGCAGGAAGAAGCTTTTGCTTTTTGCCTGCCTGTCCTCACTTTCCCTGCTGCTGAGATTTTCCTTCACTGGCATGGAACATAATTCTTCAGGATCCAACACAGCCCAAAAACAAGCTGAGACATCCAGCCTGAAGGACTGAACAACTACTGATGCTCAGCCTTTTTGTCCGTGACCACCACTGATGGACTAGCTGGCCACAGTCTGTAAGTCTTTTATAATCCCCTTTTAATATAGAACCATTCTATCAGTTCTGCTCCTCTGGAGAACCCAGACTAATACAGGGAATATAAACAAAAATATCAGACTTTGCTTGGACATTTTTAAAGGGTTTTAAGATGGTTGCAGATATTGTAGCAGATAATTTAAGTATAGGAGGGGTGCGTGAGTGCAATTGGTAAAAAGAATACCTTGAAGTAGCAATGAGAATGGCGAGATGTTCAGAGGCAGACTCAAAAGGAGTAGTGTTTTTACAGAATGCAAATTCCTAAGTTGAGTAGTTAAATGGTGGAAGTGTAATACAATGTGATCAAGAAGAACAAGAGGAAGAAGGGTAAGGCTGAGGACAAAGTCAGGCAGCCCTCTATATCTCAGGATTCTTCATCTGTGCTCTAACCATCCACATGCTGAAAATATTTGGGAAAAACCTTGCATCTATAACCGCAATTTCCTCTATAATTTTCTAAATCATACAATTTCACAACCAGTTACAATGTATTTACATTAGGTATTACATGGTGGCCCACACCTTAAATCTCAATACCCAAGAAGCAGAGGCAGGAGGAATTCTGTGAGTTCTGAGTTCGTTTGGACAGCTTGATTTATATAGAAGTTTCAGATTAGCTAGCCTACATAGGAAGACAGACACGTGCAAATCAAATAATAAAAATACAAATAGAGTATAAAATGAAGATCTAGGTATAACATTCTACCAAGCAACATCAGTGAAACAGGCAGAAATAGTATGAGAACAAGAGTAAAAGAAGTGGGCACAGCCTACACAATCCCACTGCCAGAGACTCTGGGAAACGGGAAGGACCCTAAGAGAGATATGCATGCTTCCCAGAGAAGGTGGAATGAAGCAAGATCTCCTGAGCAGATTAGGAGCATGGGGGGGGGGCAGGAAATAGAGAGGGGAGAGGAGGTCATGGGGGAGCAGGAAGGTTGAGTTGGGAGAATAGAGGAGAGCAGGATGAGAGATACCGTAATAGAGGGAGTCATTTTAGGTTTGAGGGGAGATCTGGCACTAGTGAGATTTCCAGAGATCTACAAGATGACACCAACTGGTAAACTAAGCAACAGTGGAGAGACTACCTTAAATGCCCATCCCTGATGGTGAGTTTATCGACTATCTTATATGCCATCCTAGAACCTCCATCCAGTGACAGGCAGAAGCAGAGGCAGACACCCACAGCTAAACACTGAACTGAACTCCTGGAACCTAGTGACAGAGAGGGAGGAATGATGAGCAAAGGGGTCAAGACTGGGATGGTGAAACCAGAGAAACAGCTGAGCTGAACAAGGGGGAGATCTTGGACCCCAGACTGATGGCTGAGAGGCCAGCATGGGACTAATCTAAACACCCTGAATGTGGGTGTCAGTGAGGAGGCCTAGGCAATCTATGGGGCCTTGGGTAGTAGATCAGTATTTATCCCTGGCATGCAAATAGACTTTGTGTGCCTGTCCCACAATGAGGGATGTTCTCTCAATCTGGGCACCTGGGGGAGGGCCTAGACCCTGCCCTGAACGAAATGACAGACTCTGGAGATCCTCCATGGAGGGCCTCACCCTCCCTGGGGAATGGAATGGGGACTGAGTGGGGGCCTGGGGAGCTGGTGGGGGGGGTAGGTGAGGAGGGGAGGGAGCTGGGACTGACATGTGAAACAAGTTTGTTTCTCATTTAAATATATATGTAAAGAAATTATGTTAACATAATAAAATCTATAAAGAGTAATTGAGCAAACCTTGAAAACAAAAAAGAAGTGGGCACAAGGGAGTGAGGGATTCAGCACAGAAGAAAACACCATTTTTCGTATCTTACCCACATTCATTAAATGATAAAAAAAAAAGTACCTCAAAATACAAAGTAGATTCAAATTGAAGTTGAATAACACAAACATTTAGGAAATGGTCTTTCTTTGGCTTATATTGTCAACTGAAATGATCAAAATTTAATGTTTACACTGTATAGAGACATTTCCATTAAGGTAAGCACTACAGGAGGCAGTATGGTAGCAACAGCAATATAGAATGGAGTTGTGGTTTGAATAAGAATGGCGAGCATAGGCTCATCTATCAGGGAGTGGATCTCTTTGAAAGAATTAGAAGGACTAGGAGGTGTGGCCCTGTTGGAGGAAGTGTGTCACTGAGGGTGGGCTTAGAGGTGTCAAAGACCCATACCAGGCTTCCCCCAGTGGGAATGATGACAGTGTGGAGAAAATGTCCACTGAAGCTTTCTCCCTCTAAATGCTTATGGTCTAAGATAGCACCCCTACCAGAGATTGCTTCTACCAAGGATCAGCTAAATCTGACACCTTGTTCAGCTGTATACTATAAACGCTGCCTCCCTGTTCACTGTATGCAATGACCCTATCTCCCTGTTCAGCTGTATACAATAAACACCCTGAGTTTTCAGGGCAGCTTCTCCATCTGAGAGTCAGCTAACCTGGTCCTAACTTTCCTGTATTTTTGTCTATCTGCTATTTCTTCATTTCCTTGTCACCACTAGTCTCTGTTCTGATATCCAAGCCATGCAAGGATGTAGCACATTTACAATGGTGTGTGTTAGGGAAGCCAACATTTCACAGTGCATACAACGACTTTATATACTTCATTAAATAGATATATTTGAGATGGGGGTCTCATGTAGCTTAGGCTGGCCTCAAATTTGCTATGAAATGGTGATCTTTCTGCCTTCATTTCCCAAGTGCTAGGATTATACGTATATGTCCCCAAGCCCAGGTCTAAATATACTTGATGATATTAAAAAGTGAAAATACTCAGAAAATTTTATGTATTTTTTTCAATGTATGGAGAGTTTCTTTTATGGTTATTTTATGTTTTTGTTAAGAGCAAATTTTCTACAATATTTTTCTTTCAAGGTAAAAATAGTTACATTGATGCTGTAATTATCACAGAAGAAATCTGAAATGAAATATTAGAAATGTTTGCAACTTATCCCAATTACATCCTTTACAAACAGCAAAATGTTTTGTTGTATATGCATGTGTGCACACACAAACATATATGTGCATGAACACGTATGGGTATGAGCATGTATATGGAGGCCAGAGGGACCATTCATCTATTTATTGAGATAACGTCTCTCACTGGCAGGCCTGGCACCCACCACACACACTAGGCTGACTGGCCAGTTAGCCACAGGGATCTTCCTGGATCCACCTTACTATTCCAGTGTTGAGATCACAAGAGTGTACTACCACAGTTGACACTTTTCCCCCTTTCCTCTTTGTTTCTTCCCACACTGCCCCACTGTCAGACAGGCTTTGGAGCCCGTCCTGCTGTCCTGGAACTTGATCTATGGACCAGTCTAGCCTCAATCCAACTGCCTCTGCTTCCCGAGTGTGGGGATTAAAGGTGTACACCATCACTGCCTGACTCCTTTTCTTTCTTTCTTCTTCTTTTTTTAATTTTTTTTTATTACTTTCATGTGTGTTTGAGCGTGTGCATGTGCGTGTGTGCCAAGGCCGATTGTGAACCAAATGATGTGGACACTGGGAACTGAACCTGGGTCATCTACAGGAGAGCAAGCACTCTTAACCACTTAGCCGTCTTTCTAGCCACACAGCTGACATTTTAGTAGTTTAAAAGTTTGTTGGTTTTTCAAGACAGGGTTTCTCTGTGTAACAGTCATAGCTGTCCTGAAACTCACTCTGCAGACCAGTCTGGCATCAAACTCAGAGATCAGCAGGCCTTTACCTCCCAAGTGCTGGGATTAAAGGTGTATACCACCACCACCAGGCCTCACAGCTAACATTTTTAAAACCTTTGTTTCTAGTGGTAAAAATCCAGATCCTACCAAGCAACCATCCAGCCTGCACTGCATTCTGAGTCTAAATCGTAAGAGTTGAGATTGTAACTGCATCCCCTCAATCTTCCTTTGGAGAAGCTTGAATGAATGGATAAAAAGAACAATTTCTAAAGTGTGCATGATATGAAACAACAGAAATTATGTTTGAAAAAATTACTACTGATGGCTTACAGTTTGCTTCTATTACTTTACTACTTTTTTGATACACATAGGAATAAATAATCATTAAATACTACAACATACCTTGCCATGAGGATCAGCAAACATTCTTGTGAAAATTTCACATAATCTTTTCAGTTCCACTCGACTGCCCAAAAAAGAAAAAGAAAAATGAAGAAAAAAAGCTGATTAATATCTTGTTATAGGGTGAAGTCATTATTTTAAAAGAAGCCTACAAATAATTAAATTTACTAATAATGACAACACAAATGTCATACAAATTATTCTTCAAAATTGAGAACTGTGTGGATTTGCCAGGCCAGGGTGAATGTAAAGTTGTGAAAGTAGTGACAGCTCTGCTGCAGTCCACACTGCTTATGAGAATGGCAATGACAATGAGGGGAAGAACCACACTTTATCAGCAGAATGTGTAAGGAAACAAACTGTATATAGGGACCCACACAGGAATTTTATTAAATGCCCCAGTGTTTTCTTAAGTTCCACCTTTTTCCAAACTGCCCATTCTCTTTTCCATTTAAAATGACATGTTGCACCTAATACTCTTGAAATTATGATTAAATGCACTGAGTCATACATGATGTGTAATATGTGTACCTGAAAATATATTAGGTAGTACAAAACCAAACACATATATTTCTAATACATCTTAACATGTATAAACAGAAAGTATATAAAATACCAATATTATTGCTATCAAGTGAGAAAACAGATTTCTACATTTGTACCACACTAACACCTATCAATGATCCAAGTCTGGTTTTTTTTGGAGCCAGTGTCTCCCTGGCTGGCCTTGAACTCACTATGTAGAACAAACTGGTCTTAAGTGCAGAGATGAAAATTGCCTCTGCCTTCTAGAGTACAGGACTGAAGACATGTGCCAACATACCTAATCTGAAGTTGGGTACTTAAGAGTTAACTATATAGGCTTAAAACATCACATCAACAAGGACAATGAAAGATGTAAGAATGAAGCAAACTAAACCAGTAATTGAATTACACTAAGTCAGGCATGGTGGCTCATGTCTCTAACCCAGCACTTGGGAGACAGGAGGAGCTCTGTAAGTTCTAGGCCAGCTTGGCCTACAGAATGAGTCCCAAAGCAGCCAGAACTTTTATACAAAGAAACCCTGTTTTGAAAAACAAACAAACAAAAAAAGTGTTTTATTACTCTATAATCATACCTTTTTTATATTGAATTCCAAATTACTAACAAATTGGTTGCTTTGAATAAAAAGGTGTTTTTGTTTTTGTTTTGTTTTCTCTAGACAGGGTTTCTCTGTGTAGCCCTAGCTGTCCTGAAACTCACTCAGTAGACCAGGTTGGCGGCAGAGATCTCCTGACACTGCCTCTTGAGTGCTGGGATTAGAGGTGTGTGACACAATGCCTGACTACAAAGGTGTTTGTTTTTAAAATCTCTCTGGGTGGTGCATTTCCATGTGTGTGACTGTGAGCTTACTGTGGAGGTCCTCTGCTGTGGGTCTTGCCTTCCACTTGCTTGAGACAGGGCCTCTTGTTTTGCTGCCATGCACACCAGATAGCTGCACCGTGAGTTCGCAGCTACCCTCCTGTCTCTACCTTCCATTTTTCCAAAGGAGCACTGGAATTAGAGTGTTCTACCGTGTCCAGTTTTCCATGGTTCCAGCAATCCTGTACTCACCCTCACTCTTGCACTATACTCAGTAGTTATCTTGTAAACCTGAAAGTTTTGCTTTAAAACAATTCACTAGCTACAGCAAGAAAATTACAGCTGTTTTAGTTATGATACTGATGGCCCTAAAAGAGTACAGCTTGAGAAAACCTTTAACAGAGCTTCTGACACGTTTCACAAAATCAAGTCAAAAGGTGCTAGCCTGCTTGAAAAGCATTTCATGATACTTCTCACCTTAGCGTTCTCTGATTTTTTAACAAGCTCTGCAGACCCAGGAGGCCTTCTTTCCTCTCTGACCAATTGGAGCTAGCACACCTGTTGAGGACTTCAGCTACGTCTTCTGTCTGCCTCATGTAGGTAGGAATACTGCCATTTCGAGAGCTATAGGAGCGCTCTGAACATGCACTAGAAGCATCGCTGTTGGCATCATCGTCTGAGTGCATTCCGTATGATTCATATCTTCTTCGAGCAGGTTTTTTCTGTTACATATCAAGAACTACATTAGCACAAATTACAAATCTATGGGTGTTTCATAGTGTTTACTCAACATAAAAGGACTGATTTCTGTCTTACATCAGTGAAAGGCATGCTGCTAACCATTGTAAAGTAAATGTCAACATTTAGTTTTTGTTCAGGAGGACTTTAGAAGTTAGTAGGACATGAACTATTTAACTATGAGGGTAGTACAGGAGAAGGTGACTACACACAAGCTCAGTCATGTCAAGTGGGAGATGCTCAAGAATACAAGCTTTCTCCTTAGAATGAAAAAAAATGTAAATAGAAACTGTACTAGAAATAGGGGTTGACAATAAGAAAATAGTACCTTTTGAGAGGAGTAAAACCATGATTCCCCTATGTAAAATACCATGCTCTTTCCTGTATATATATAATATATATAAATACCCATATATATGTATATATTATATATATAAATACACACACACACACACACACACACACACACACACACACACACACACACACACATCTTCTTTTCTATCTCTCTTGTCATTCCTGCTGGCTTTGTTCTAACCTTTATACTTTCAGACAGGTAAAATGCAAAGATGGTGAGAATCACTAATGTTTTTGGGAAGCAAGATGCATATGTGTCCCTAGAGTTTTCCCAATGTAATCTATGTCATGTAGCTTCTTCTATATGAGGAAGCAATTGAGGTTCCTTTAATTTCTTGACCATAAGGTTTATAATTTATATAACTGCCTATTATGCCTTTCATATTAAAAGTGGCATCAGGTAGAATAAACTAATCATCTGAGATTTTCCTGGAGAAACTGGAAACAAATATACATACTTTGATACTTGGGATTTATTTGGCTGGAGAAAAGAGGAGCTACTGCCATGAAACATACTAAATGTGGCAGTAATTCAAAATTTCCAAACACCTACAAATGCTGTAGTCTAAAATCTTAAAGATACACTATCTGAAGATAAATAATCAAATGGTTTTACAAAGCTGCTGTCATTACTAACTCAATTTAGAATGACAATGTTTATTCAGGTGGGCTCCAGGACGAGTTCTATTAGACTCCAGTATAAATGACTCATCTCATACATGAGAAAAGTGGCACCTCCCTAACACACTATGCTCACTCAGTATCCCCCACAGATAATCACAGTGACAGAATAACACATGGACACCTAAGGCTTTTATTACTTTCACTTTAATTTTTTATAGATGGATATTATCTGTTAAGCTGATGAAGCAGAAAAAAAGTTATGATATCATAAGATGTCAGAAAATAGTGATATCTATACCTTAGTCCGTATGTCTCCTAAGAGCTGAGAGCAGTCAATTTTTAAAGAGAGAAATTGAAAATAATGAAGAACATTTTGCTAAACACCACAGTGAACTTGGCATTAACAATGCCCATGACCAGAAATATTGTTTTACGACATATAGATACCAAATAACTGATTATTGTCAGGTTTTATCTTTAATCTTGTCAGCATCCTTTAATTAAAAAAGAAATACCTAAGCTACAAAAACATTTCCACCAACAGTTTCCCAAAGAAACTCAAAGTATTCTTACTATTTATAGCCATTTTGCCATTTCAACTTAAGACTTTATTTCCCCAGGTACAAATTTGGTTTAGTGGTTGAAAATTTTCCATGGGATAGTTACATCTGTGCTATGAAAACAATGAAAATAGAATACTATGACTACAATTCAGATTTAAGATTTTGTGGTTAATACCTTCAATGGTAGCATACACCTTTAATCCCAGCACTCACAAAGCAGGTGAATCTCTGTGAGTTTAAGGTTAGCCTGGTCTATATAGTGAGTTCCAGGCCAGCTAGAACCACACATTGAGACCTTGTCTCACGAAACAAAACAAAGCAAAATGAGCTGGAGAGATGACTCAGGGATTAAGAGCACTGGCTGCTCTTCAAGAGGACTTGGGTTCAATTGCCAGCTTCTACATGGAAGCTCATAACCATCTGTAACTCCAGTTTCAGGGGCTCTGATGCCTCTTCTGACCTCCACAGGCACCAGGAATGCAGATGGTGCAAAGACATGTATTCAGGCAACACACACACACTTTAAGACAATTTCCATATAACTTGAAGCTATCATCTTTCTTGCTTGCATAAATAGCAACTCAAGAATAACCTAACCAATCCCTAGAACTATGCAAGCGAAAGTTAAATGGCAAATCAGTAAACTTAAAGAATAAAAACAATAATCAAAAGCAAGCTGGAAACATGATTTGGGAAACAGAATGAGGCACAATAAAAACTTAAAACACCTGACTGATAAAATGCCATAAAAAAATGTGGTCAAACACTCCACATTCAGAAGAACAGCCTCTAAGTATATTAAAAACTAGCAACTGAGGTAAAGAAAGAATGTCAACACTGTCGCTATTGTTATACATTATCATATGTGATGATATGCAATAAATCACAGATATTACCAATGAATATTTTTAAAAAGTGTCTTTCGCCGGGCATTGGTGGCACACGCCTTTAATCCCAGCACTCGGGAGGCAGAGGCAGGCAGATCTCTGTGAGTTCGAGGCCAGGCTGGTCCGACAGCCTCCAAAACAATACAGAGAAACCCTGTCTCAAAAAAGAAAAAAAAAAGTGTCTTTCACATCTACAGCCAAATTTTTTCCTACAATATTGGTCTTTTTTTTTAAAGCTTCTAAATTTCAAAACAAAGCTGAGGGCACAGGGTACTGTGCTACTTGGATGGAACACCAAACACAAGGGTGGGGCCTTCCACAAGTTACAGGTAGAAATTCAGCATGAACAAGGCTGAGTTCCATGCCAGTACCAAGCCTCATGCCCACAAAGAGAAAATGAATAAGCCCTTTGAAACAGAGGGCTCCTATCATCACTTGAGTGCCCTTGTCTCAGTGCTAAGAACTGAGCCCAAGGCTGTGTGCATGCTACGCTAGCTGCCTACCACTCAGCTATACCCGATTGCACTGACTGGGGAAGGTAACCAAGTAAACTCTACCCAGTATTTCCAGTCCTCATAATTGTACACAAGAACAGTGTATATACATATGTGTACAGACATATGGTACACAGCATTCTTCCTACAACTACCCCAATCCTGCAGTGCTTTGAATCCTCAGTTTTTAATATGTGGAGCAAAAAGAATCACTAACATTTTACATAATAATCAATCCAGGCATGGTGATACATGCCTTTAATCCTAACATTCAGGAGGTCAAGGCAGGTGGAGCTCTGTGACTTCAAGGCCAGCAGGGTCTACATTGAGAGCTCCAGGACAGCCATAGTGAAACCTTGTCTCAAAAACAAAACAAACATGTACAAACTCAAGGTGAAGATAACCTTGAAATTACATATATAACTGTACGGATCCATTTGCCATAAGTCAATATGCTATAGTGCATTACACATGATACAATTATTATTAAAAACATCAAGATGTTTGTTCGTGACACCCAGTTAAGATTACCAGGTCTGAATATTGTAAATATTGATCATTAATGTACTACTCTGATACTTATACTGCTTACATTTTGTCTTCTTAGGTTTAATCTAGAATGTCTCATCCCTTTTCTTGCACAGGGTAAGGTTCTCTCACACACTGGCTTTGAATAGAAACATCTACAAGGACAGGAGAAAGAAGAAAAGTACCAAGGCATCAGCTACCGCTTCCTCCACATCGGAACCTGTGTTTAGAACTCGCATGGCACTGACGGAGGATGACAATCGGCTTGACTGGCTGATCCCATATCCCGGACCTAATTCACCAGAAAAAGGAAAACAGCTTTCAGACAGTCACAAATGTAATAGTGCAAGGGGCTGGGGAGTGGGATTCAACTCTTATTAAGGGGGAAGGAAAAAAAACCAATGGGACAAAGCATTTTAAAAGCAATACTGTATTTTTCTGGGCACAGTAAAAGGGAAAAAGCAATCCAAATTATTGACAAACGAGAAGAAAATTTAAAGAACCACTGTTTACTTGGTAGAACAGGGAGATGAAGGCCCTGCCAATTCAGGCAAGGCTCTCCAGTGAAGCAAGCTGTACAGTAACTGACCCAGAGCTGCTATGAGATCACACCAGCAACGCACCACAAGAAAAGGCTCTAAGTATAACCTCTCCTCCAGGACAATGGTTTCATTCTTTAGATAAAACAGACTGTTCAAAAGCCATTAAGTGACTACTATGTGCCCAATGGTCTGACACGTATAAACAAACCAGAGATGAATTCTCACCCACCCACCAACTGCTTTGTATACCTCTGTTTACAATTAAAACACTTCATCCACCATTTTGGTTTTTTTTTTTTTAACACACATATATAAAGATGAAGTACATAACTGAGAACATAAAATAATTCTATATTTAGAAATGATGCAAGTTGTACCAAAAAAAGAAAGCACAAACAAAAAACAATGCCCATCTGCCAGTTAGAAAAATGCTAAGGTTGCTAAAGGAAGGATAGTTACTTGGGGGGAAAACACAAGCAATTTATTCTCTAAAATATTAAATTTAAATAATGCAAATCAACTTTAAAATAAATACTATGTGAAGAAAACAGAAAAGGACAAGGTCTGAGATGCATGTAGAGATGACAGTGAAAATGTACTCATCCTTCACCTGAGGCCCCACACACATCGGGGGCGTAGAGGGCACCAGTGGATCTGGAATGGAGTCTGGAGGCTGGAATAACAGGACCATACAAACCTCATCTATCACCACAGAAACAAGGGTAGTGGCAGCACTACTGTCAGGCAAGGAGAGTCAGTCAACAGTGGTGTTACTCTCTATATTTAATGATCAGAGTATCGCCACGTGTGGCAACTGAATGTTAACTACCATCGCAAGATCAACCCTGACACAAATACAAATTACACCTAAGTGGACAGACATAGGCAGGCCTGTAGGAGACAAAAAAGGCAAGTATTCAAATGGAGGGAAATGTCGAAAGTACAAGCATGAAAACAAAACAAAAACAAACACTTGTAATAAAAAAAAAACCACTATGGTAACTAATAATAATCTTATCTCCTTTACTCTCAGCACCCAGTGAGAGCTATTATTTCAATTTTATAGGTGTGAATTTTTGTGTCCTTCTGTTCATATATAAAACCCTGACCCCTCGTGCTAAAAGGTAGGTGGTGCCTCTAAGATGCAATCTGGTCGGGAGACTCCAGAGAGCCAAGCAGTTCTTTCCCCAGAGGACCCCATCACAAGATCCACAAGTCAGGGTCCCTCAGCAGACAATGGATGGTGCCTTCATCGTGGACAGCTTAGCCTCCAGAACTGTGAGAATAAACCCTGATCACTTAATAGTACCAAGTCTATAGCATGTTATAGCAGCCTGGGCAGACTAAGAGAGATGGGGAATTAGAGCACAGAGGCTGACTATGTGATGAAAATCACACCACTAAGTGCTATAACTCAGTATCTATATTATTCAAAAATCATTTACTTCATTTATGTTAATGTACATCTTATTCACAACAGTCCACAGACAATTAGTTCTTCTGTATTTGGCAATGGTCTATTGAAAAATGGAAGCTTGAACATCAAAAAAGTATAAATAACCTAATAAAGCCCCTTAAAATCTGTAATGAATCCCCCCAAATATCACTCTACAACCTAAACTTAACATACTTTGCATTTTCGACCTCTGTTCAGATTGTGACAGCACATGAATCTGATCCTTGTCTTACACCCAGAAATACATACTACATAAATGGATTTTAATGAAAAGCACAGCCTTCACTTTAAGTTCATCCTCCTCAGCTTTCTTAGCAAGAGCTGTTAACTATTTTTTAATAACAGGAATCACCTTTGCCTCTCCTACAGGATGGCTGTCATAAACAGTAAATCCATCAAAGAGACTGAGGATCAGACAGAGAATGGTGCACAAATAGCTAAGTACTGAAAGCTAGAACTAATAAGCCAGTAGATAACTTTACTACCTAGTTTTAAATTATGTAAGGGAACAGTCTAAAATGATGAGGAAAGATTTGAGCCATGATTTGGAAATGCTTCATGACTGAAAATCTTTGAACATCTCAGAAGTCAACAGTCCCTTTGGTCCAAGACAGTAAGTATGCAGGATCACAAATATGTCCACAGTTTATGTAAGTAAGAGGCATGAAGCATGTGGCTACAATATAGAACACATTTTCTGCCAAATGGAAACAGAAGGGGTAAGTTCCAGAGAAGTGCAACTTTGCTCAGCTTTGACTTCCTGTGTTTTCAAACCTTTACGCTGACTTTGTGATATGGAGACTGTGTGACAAGGTACAGAATCCATGTGTGTGATATGGAGACTGTGTGACAACGTACAGAATCCATGTGTGTGATATGGGGACTGTGTGACAAGGTACAGAATCCATGTGTGATATGGAGACTGTGTGACAAGCTATAGAATCCATGTGTTGACTGTAAATATTAGAAGTCACAGAGGACAAGAGACTCTATCAAGTCAGGATGAATAGCAGTGACGACAGGGCACAGAAGATGGGAATGGTGAGGACAGCATACCCTTTGGATTGCTATCCCTGTGAAACGAACAGGACTAATCAGCCTCCGGGATGCTGGAATTCAGCATAGGCTACCACACAGGTTGCTGTTCAGTATTTTTATGCAAATAATGGAATTACAGAAGCATTCCTGAAAACTGACTAGGGATTGAAAAGAAATCTTCTAGCAAAGTTGATTAAAAGGTTTTAGCATCTTTATCCCAAATGAAAGTTTATTGAGAATCAGGAAATAGCTGCCTGTGGCAATAAATCTAAGTAATTTGTCAAATAAAAGCTTTGAAATGAATCTAGAATATTAATGGCCGAGCTAGGTATGTTGGCATAATCTTGTAACTCATAGACTCAGAAAGTTAAGGTAGGACGATCACATGTTCAAAGTTAGCCTTGGCTACATAGCTAGCTTAAGGCCAGCCTGAGCTATATAAGGTAGTATCTCTCTCTCTCTCTCTCTCTCTCCTTCCTTTCTTGGTTTCTTTCTCTTCCTGCCTCCTCCCTCCATGTGTAGTTTCCTGATATTTTATTTAATTTTACATGTATGGATGTTGGCCTGCATATGTGCCTGCGCACCATGTGTGTACCTGGTACCCTTGCTGGCCAGAAAAAGATGCTGGACCCCCTAGAACTGGAGTTAAAGACAGTGTGAGTCACCATGTAAGTTCTAGGAGATGAACCTGGATCCTCTGGAGGAGTAGCCAGTACCCTAACCTCTGTCCATCTCTCCAGCCCTATGCTTAGCTCCCCCCCCAATTTTTTTTAAATAAAGTACTTAGTTATACATTTCCTGCAATCTTAAATTATTGTACAAATTTAAAATGAACAGAAACACATTTGGTTTCTTATGGACACATTTCCTATCAGTATAGTATTAGCATTGTATAAATGCATATACTATAAAGTCTGTTTTTAGGGTAAGGCGAGGGAGGAAAAGAACAGCCATAGCATAGTGATGGAAGGGAGGATGGCCATCGTTAACTGAATGCTTGCTTTGGGTTCCAGATTTGTCTTTCAAGGATTTTGTTACTGTATTCAAACTTCCAAACAGTCCTAATTTCTAAATATACACTATCATTCTTATTTTACAGAAAAGGAGATCCAGGCATGAAAAGGGTACAGAGAAAATTTTTAAACATTCTCAAAGCAAGATATTCTGCTTTACCAGTTATCCTGGAAACACTAAGGCCTTAAAAAACAATATTTTTATAATGGTGGCAAATATAGTATAATCAAAATTACAAGACAAAAAATAATCAGAAATAAGTTTCATTTCAGTGACATGGCCTTAGCTACATGGTGAATAACTATAAAATAAAATGTCCATTCTTCCCTGTGATGAGGAATTCACGTCACTTTGGAGTTTTCTTTCTAGAAGACTACCTTAAATGATTTAAGTCGAAGTCAATTTTTCTGTTTAAAAGGAATAAATTTATTTAATCAAACTAGTCCATACTTTACTTGTAATATTTAGTAATTAAAATATGTTCTTATTCTCAGGTTTTGAATTCAATCTTTCTTTTTATTTGTCTTCTTAGAGAGAAGTATGTGGAGTGGGTTGGTCTCATTTATGATCTTGGCTCAGCTTCCTTAGTGCAGAAACTGAATTCGATATTATAAGTTTATATCTATGTGACACTGACCTGATTGTGACAGGAGTCATTTATATAATGACTGACTTGCTCATTTAAGGTAAGTTACAAAGGCCAGAATGGGAGAGCAAAGATACAATTGATGTAGAACCTGAATTTCAGGGAGATGCAGGTCTCCAGATGGTGACAGCTCATTCACTGAGAAAGCAGTGTGCCTCACACCTGCTCAGACACTTACCAAGGGGTTGAAAGGAGCGAACTGGGCTTGTGTCCCTGCTGCTCTCTCGACTGGCTTCCCGGCTACAGCCTTGACTCACACTCGGTCGAGGAATACGACTACTCCGGGCTGACATCAAACAGCAGCAGCATAGCAAGAGGAAACAGAAGGAAGGCAGAAGTTAGGCTTTCCAAACTTAAGTTTCATTTCTTTGAGAATTGATTAAATAACAAGTTTGTTTCATTTGAGGCTGAAATTAGTCTTTTTCTTTTTTTCTCTTTTAGGACTCTGGACCCACAGAACCTAGACTAGTCCCAAACTTACCATGTAGCTTTCAAGTTAGATGTCTTTTTTCACTCCTCATGAATAGAAACACAAATACAAATACAGGGAAAAAAGTGCCAGAACAGTTTACAGCTTAAAAAATAAAAATATTTAGCTGGCTGTGTTGGCACACACCTTTAAGTTCAGCACTTGGGAGGCAGAGGCAGGTGGATCTCTGTGAGTTGGAGGTCATAGGGCTACAGAGTAAAAGCATGGTTCAACAAATAAACCAACAAAGAACAATAACCCCCTCCAGAAGTTATTTATGTGGGTGCCACATGTGTGAGAGTGCCTACAGAGGCCAGAAGATGGTGCCAGAACCCTTGGAACCAGAGTTCCAGGTGGTTGTGAGCTTCCCAGTATGGAAGGTGAGAACCAAACTAAGTTCCTATGAAAGAGCACCAAACGTTCTTATGCCCTGAGCCACGTTTCAACATTAAAGTCATCTTATGAAGCAAAACTTGCTTGTGAAAGCAAATGCATAACATTATTATAAAAGTTAGGCTTTCAAGATGGCTCAGGTAATTCCTGTCAAGCCTCATCACTTAAGTTTTATGGAACTGGTAGAGAACGGCTCCTGTAAAATGCCCTCTGACCTCCATGTGTGCTTGTGTGTGTGCGCACGAGTGGCACATATCAAGTCGCAATTCATGCCCTACACTTCAGCAACCTAGACTTTAATTCTCCTTGAACTTTCAAAGAGGCCAAAGGTGGTACCTCAGAGTCTTACCCACTGAAAGCCTAGATGGGCTGGCCTCTCTGCTGCAGCCCTGGCTTCTTGGGATCTTGCTTCTCTTCTGGGCTGAAGCTGAATTGACCAGAACTCGTTGGGCACCAGAGCTCACAGTAGAGAGGGCTGTCGTGGTGAGAACTCTTCCTGGAGACCCAGATCGGCTGCCAGCTAAACAGGAAACACATATAAAAGTATGCAAATGTTGATGCCAAGGGAACTTGCAAAGATACAAGAAAATTGTGGTATTATGTCAGGTTCTAAGACCAAAGAAATGGACTGAGGAAGATTCATGTACAAGCATAAACGTGCTGGGGAAAATGTGCTGTGCATACCAGCACTGAAGAATAAACTACCCAAGCCTATGTATGACAATGATAATACTACTTTTTTTTTTTAAGACAAACAGTAAAAAGATCCCCAGAGCAATCCTATTATCTGACACTGTGTTTGATATGGTAAAGATGCTCTGTGGAAAAACATTTTACTTAAAAGGATATAAACTCTTAATCCTGCCACTACTATTATTTGTGTTATATCTCTGGTCAAGGTCAGTTGGTGTTGTTCTGGTTTTAAAATTTTACAAAATGAAAACCTGTGCTGCTCTTGAATTTGGTAAGAGAAGGCTCTTTTTGCAGTGGGCAGTGATTAATGCAGAGACACCTAACTATTCAAAGATCTTAGAATAAGTAACCGTTGGAACTTCTCTATTAAGCTCTCCCATATACAACCATATACAAAGTTCAGGAAACATTGCAGAGGGCATTATGGAAAGAATGCAGGGGGATAGGGGAAGCAGTGGTGTGATGTGAAATGGAGTTTGGGGACAGGACATAACTACTGCATTCATTAGCTCACAGGAGCTTGGGTTACCTGCACTTGATCCATCCAGTTAATACAGTTCAGCATGCATAGAGGAAGAGCTCATGAGGCCCCACCCACACCTGAAGAGCTTTTGACAGTTAATGCTACTGCAGAAGGGAAGAGTTAATTTTCCCATGGTGTGGCCCCTAGTAGGTCACCCTTTCATACAAGCATCCTTGCACATGCTGGGAGCATTAAAAGGACTCAGCAAGTTATTTAGGTAGAGGGAGAAGAAAAAGATGGACTAGGAAGAAAGGTAGGGGAGACTGTATTACTAAGATACATAGTATCCAATGTATGAAAATTGTCAAAGAATAAATAAAATCACTAAATTTAAATTACATATTGACAAAATAGGGCCAGTTGAGAAAGAGAATTTTTTTTCCTATTTGAAGGCAGGGAGCTCTTGGTTGACTACATTCTAGGACACACAAATACTAAGGGTAGACCAGAACTCTGAGGGAAATGTCAAAAGAAACAGAGACAGTGGTCAGGGAGATAGGGAAGGACATTCAGAAAAACCCTCAGAGATCTGGGTATGGATTTAGCAATGTTAAGAAATGCATTTTTGGACAGCGCATTCTTGAATATCTTAGGTTGGTCTAGAATTTGAAACGATCCCCCTGCTTCTATCTCCTAAGTGTTAGGATTGTAGACATATACAGCCATACTTAGGAAGAAGCCCATTTTTTCAACTAGAAACACATGGGCTATCTTTTTAAGGGTGGGGATGACTTTGTTGACTGAAGTGCTTTATGTGTATACTGAATAAGAAAATAGATCAGATAACTCAAAGATATAATCTAACTGAATGGCAATATTATAGAAAAGTTAAATTTGTATTTAAATAAACTTTCAAGGGAAACATTTTCTCTTTGCTACCCATATTTATTACACTGTAAAGAGTCGCTGCTCACACTGCACAACCTTACTCAATTGCGTCTCATTTCCAACAAACAGATTAAAGACTCAAATGCCAATGGGAATGAACACTGGCTGCCAAAAGTGGCACTGTGTATAAGGCAGGTATTAGAGAGGACTGTCTCATCTTCCTATAGAGGAAGCCATTTTCAAGCCAGCTAGCTGTCTTAAAGTAACATTAAGAAGTTCTTGGGAACTTTCAAAAACAAAAGCTTTAGAAGCTCCTGACTATGCCACTCTATGTAGGCTAACAGCATGTAAAGGCTGGATGTGGTCTGCTGTTATGTTTTCTGAGCATGGTTTGCTTAGTTCAATTCATATTCTTGGCCAGTTCTTAAATATTATCAGCACACACATACAAAAATATATTCTACTGGGGATAGCTCTATTATAAAATGAAGAATCAATGCTTCCTGTGACATTAACAACTTCTAAATTATAGGGAAATTACTAATTTACTTTAAAATGATGGTTTGTTCAAAAGTTTCATGATGTTGCAGGTTAAGAATTTTCAAATTTGGTCTCTTTCTCCTTTGAAGGATAGTTGAGGCATCTGTTTTCTCCATGCAATATTTAAACATACACACAAAAACACCCAAACACCCAACATGCCACAAACTCACAATGCAAGATAGGCTGATGAATGTTAAGAGAAAACTCACAATGATATAAAAACCATGAGAAACTGAGAATATACAGTATGAATTCTGTTAAAAACCAGTAACAATTTGTGTGGGTGGAGGTACTGGAAGTAAAAAGAAGAAAACGCCTTGAAATGTGGATCTATTCAGCAGACAGAAAACGTGCAATTCAGGAGCATATCGACTACTCTTTCTACTCTGCATTTATGAATTGATTCGAAGTATACAAGTTCACTCTCTAGATATTTAAGCACACTCATGCCTTCTCTTTAAGGAACAACATTGGCTATGCTTATTTTCTGTAAGCACTACCCTCTCCTCTCCCAGAATACTGGGATATTTCTAGCACCTATAACTTGGAATCACTTATATTTAAAATAAGATGCTGAGGCTCTTTTTCTAGTACAGCCACCACAGAATTGATGAGAAGGGCCTGCTCACCCCAGAGTATAGTGTGGAACAGAAATGCCACAGAAGCAAAACTTGAAGTTAGATAACTAGTTTTTCCTGTTGCAGAATTTCAAAACATTACTGTATGTCCCTCTCTTCTTAATATTTATATCTGTAGAGTCAACTTGGATAACTTAAGAATTTTAGGACTTCCATGATATTAGAAGACAGGCCAAAGAGAACTCATAACTAGCAGTTTTTGCTTCAGTACAATCATAGAATGGTGGAATATTATCTAATAGGAATTTCTGCTGAATAGAACTCACTCTTATTAATGAAAATAGGTGACCAACAACAGGTGCACACATAAAGTCTATAGGTTCTTACCACCAACAGTATTAGCAGATTGTGATCCTGAACAAGTGTAAGGCAGAATTAGGGTAAGGGTTATAATCCACGAAGAGGGGAGAAGCAGTTTAAAATGGATGGCAGATGAAATAACAAAGCTTTAGTCAGTTCTCAGGGAAAAAAAAAAAACAAACCTAACACAAAAAAAGAGCAAACTTTAAAAAAAAAATTCCATAGCCAAACATCTGTCACAGAAGCAGCACACTTAACAGTTTTCACAGCTGACACTCATGTACAAAGCAGATGAAACGAAACTGCAAAAGTCAATGCACATTCTTCAGCTTGTCCATCAGTTGTTACATGCTTACAATTTTGTTACTTAAATGTTTAGTTGAAAATTAGATATAGGAACAAACATTACATCCTATAGCTGAAGAAAGGAGGAGATGAAAAAGCTACTCAAATGTGATCTTTCTTAAGATTCACAGAAAAGCAAGAGGTGGGGGAAGAGAAAGCTGCCAACGGGCCGTACATCATCTGTACACAACCAGTCACTACCAACAGAGTGAGGGACGTGTCTTTCTAAAAGTAAATCTGGAAGTCTTCTATTAGGCCTGCTTTCATTTATTCTGTGAACCTGAACACACCTGCTTTGATCCAAGAGATTCTCTCTTTTTTTTTTCCTAGATGATAATACAAAACCATGCAGCCCCTCATGAATCACTATAACAAAGTGAAGATGGAGGTCACAGTAATACTCCTGTACAAATATGTTGTGAACAAACTTGCATACAAATCACACATCTTTTAAATAAAGAATCTGAAATGGACACATACTCTTTCAAATAAATAAGCAAGCAAACAAATAAAATCTTTCTAATATGATCTACCACCTGCATGATTTTATAGTGGGAATGTCTTTGAATCCTAAAGTCCTATGAGGTTTAACAACCTAAATGTAAAATAATTCTGCTTTTCACTGGTGATCTGAAGTTGCAAAAATTGAAAAAGAGGGTCCCAACAAAGGCCAAAAAGTCAGAAAATTATCTCACAATTAAATTTTATCCTTAAATCCTGAGCATGGACAACATGATATCTCTATTTATTTTATTTTTTTATGTTTTAAACAATCTAACTTCAGTGCTTACTTCTGTTTCATGAGTACAGTAAGAATATCAAGGTATAGAAATATGTAACAGCAACATGAATGTCAGCTTTCATTTTATTATGAAAAATAACAAGGACAATATTTCTTTTAGATTTATTTATTTATTTAATGTGCGCTGTTGTTTGACCTATATATACTCTCTGTGAGGGTGCTGCATCTCCTGGAACCAGAGTTACAGACAGTTGTGAGCTGCCATGTGGGCACTGGGAATTGAATCCAGGTCTCTTAACTGCTGAACTTTTTCTCCAGTCCAACAAGGACAATTTTATCAGCAAACATTCATGGCAGTTACTCTCGGGCAGAAACTGTTTTAACTGCATTAAATACGCTCTATCATTTGATGTTCATGACACACCCATGAGGTAGATGCTTCTCCTTTTAAGGACAGGTACAGAGGAGTACGATAACTTTAACCTAGAAGAGCTAGGACTCCACCTTGGACAACAAAGCTGCAAAGTTTTCAAACTTTACTACAGCACAGACCATGCAGTGATCAGATCCAGTACATGTGTGGTGGTGCACAAAACCTGTAGTACTACCGAGCTCCCAGGCTGTCCTGATGTTGGTCTGGGCAGCACACAAGGAGAAGGGAGGCTAACTGATGAGAATCACTCCCAAAGCTCACAGACTCACAGGAGAATGTGGTATTATCATTCACTTTTGATCTGCCAGTGAAAAGCCCTTGCCTTATAGGACCATGTGTCATTGTGGCTGTTTGTAAACAGTTTTCATTTTGAAAACAAATTCTAACAAATCCTCCTGCTTATTTTAGGACTCCTGCAGAAAGCTTCCGATGACAGTCTGCTGGATGGACATTCTCTTGCTAGGAAGAGGCAGTGCTGTGACACATGTACTCAAGCGCCCTAGTGTCTTTCTGAATGTTATCTCTGCTTGTCCCCTATCCCATCATCCCAAGATTCAGGATCAAGGCTAATAAAGGAAATGGGACATCTACAACCTGTCAATCATCTTTAAACACATTCTTTTTCTTTTATAATTTATGTTTTTTTAATGTGCTTTGATGTGAAGATGTCAGACCCCCTGGAACTGGAGTTACAGACAGTTGTGAGCTGCCATGTGGGTGCTGGGAACTGGACCTGGGTCCTCTGTTAGAACAGCCAGTACTCTTAACTGGTGAGCCATCTCTCCAGCCCTAAACCAATTCTTTTCAAAGATAATAAATTAGGATATACAGAACAGCCCTAATCATTACTTCTTTAGAAATACTACTCAATTTTAGAGAGAGTGCTGAGGACAATCTCTTGGTTAAGAGGGAATGGACGAAATTATTTTCACTTAAACATGCCATTATATATGGGTTACTTATTTGAACATACATTCATTTTACCTAGTCTAAAGTACGCTTTTCAATTGTTCTTTTCAGTGACCAGTGAAAGGGTAAGAACATAAATCTCAAATGTCATATGAAATTCACCAGAACTGGTTATTTCAGTCTATTTTTTCTCTGACAATAAGTCAGAATATACTTGCCCAAAACACTAACCAAAATTTAAGATGATTTAACGAATTTGGGGGAGAGTAAGGAGATACTACTTATCTGTCTTTGCATAGTGTCTGCTAGATAGAAACAGATTTTATCTAATACATAGAAATCATTTTGCCTCTAAAGGCACAATTTTCTACACCTGCAAGTTTCTGAGTAGAATGTGAACCTTGACTTTAAAGATCTGTGTTTAAAGTATCTCCATGCAAACATCTGGACAGAAGATGAAGGTTTTCTTTCTAAGAGGTGGAGGTCAATGATGTGTTCCTAATAACACAAACACAAGACAACACCCACTCAAAAAAAATTCCCAAACATGCACAACAACTGAGCCAAAACATTGAAAAAATACCTTCATTTTTGTCAGGTGATGGCGAACCTAAAGCACAGAACAAGAACTCAGTATGTGGCTTGTTGCTTTTAAACCAGCGTTGAGCTCATCCACGGCTCATCTCCTAACACAGTAACACAGAGAAACCCAGCCATCCCAGCAGAGTGACAAACAGGGAGGGGCTGATGAGCAGTACATACGCTGGGACTGAGACACCATTTTTGTCCGGCTTCTTCCTCTAGAATCAGTCTTGGCGTTTCCCACAGCAGCAAGTGGTGCAGAAAGCTTGGCCCTCACCCGACCTGAGAAATAAATATTAACAGAATTGAAATATTTCCTAAAATAGTATTTAGTATTAAGAAGGGGAACCTTCACTATTTTAAATTCTGAAATAAGGCAGGCATTATTTAAATGTTATACATCTTTTAAACAGTAAAAGTACACAGGTTAGGGTCTGCTTTCTGAGATGGCACTCCATCTGGGCTTAGTTGGAATTCCTTGCTTTAGGAGATCCTCCTGCCTTAGCTTCCAAGTATCTGGGACTACCGTCTGTATACCACTGAGCCCAGATATATACTGCTTTATACATGTTCTTCATAAGAATTAATCAAACTATACAAGACTTTCATTCTTAGTTTGAGATTATTAGTGTAGTGGCTATAACTAATTATGCTGGACATGGTAGTGCACACGTTCAATCTCAGCACTTAGAAGGTAGAGGCAGATGGATCTCTTTTTTGAGTTCAAGACCAGCCTGTTCTACACAGTGAGACAATCAAAAGAAAAAAGCCCAAAACAACTGTCTCCCCAAAATCTTACAGTTTCTAGGAAATTCAGATTGTTCTCAAATATACCCCAGAGTTTTAAACAACCCCAAGCATCTTTTTAACTGACAGTATACTTCTAAAGAGGTCTGCAGGGGAGATGTCATAGCCAGGCACATGAACACAGGTACCCACAGCTGTGTTGACACCTGTCTCCTGACCAACAATTTTACAAGGACGAATTCGTGATGAAGAGCATCTATCACAGAGGGTTGGCATTTAATCTTCCTTTCTTACTAGATACATTCCTTCCACCTCATTCTCCTTTGTAAAAACAGACTACAAATGTGCTCACTGGATTTCTAGAGTTTTGGGGGGACAGGAGTGGAAACAGGGTCTCTGGTCTTGCTGGAACTCACTATGTAGATCATGCTGGCCTGAAACTCACTGAGAACTCCAAGGTTAAAGACATGCGTCACCCCACCTAGCTGTACCTACAGCTCTTGAACTAAAGAAAACATGGTCATCAAATTGCCTGTGAAAACTGCCAGTAGTAAAAACCAGTGACAATAAAATCTCTGCTATACAATCTGGTGCTCTCCAGCAATAGTCTCAAACAGATCCACACTGATGTTGAACACTTTTTGTTTTTGTTTATTAAATGTTTAGAATCTTTTTAAATTAAGAGGTACATTTTGTAGATAATTCCCAAATTCTGACTGATCCAATGTGGCCATACTGATTAGAAAAGAACATACTGAAGAGCAGGACTTTAAAATGAATGACAGGGTGAGGTAGGAAAGGGTGGGGGGAGGCAGCAATGACACAGAAGCAAAACCAGAACATCAGTGACACAGCCTGAGTGCTGTCAACTGCAGGAGCCCAGAACCCACTGCACGTGTCTCAGGTGTTAGCAATCTGCACCAGACGGGACTGGATGTTCTCCTGACTGAAGAGGAGTGCAGAGAGACACAATGATTACTTCTAACTAAAGGACTCACCAACATTCTAGCCACACTAATGCTTTAAATTAAAAAGTGCTGAAGCAAGTTGCCATTCATTTTCAGTATCAGAATTCACATTTTTAGAGTACTCCAATTTAAACTTAAAACAGAAAATTATTTAAGTACAACAGCTAAAAGTCATTCATGTCAAACAAAAACATCATGTTTAAAACCAAAGGCTTTAATGAGAAAGCCTTCAGGGAAGTTAAATATAAAAATTGAGTTTTCATAAAAGTTCAGAAGGAATAAATATTTTTGACAAGAAAATATATGCAGCAAGTAGCAATATTCTCAAACCCAATTTGAATCATGAACCAACTTCCTAGTCATTGATTCAAAATTAAGAGATACATTCCAAAATAGATGGAATAGAAGTGTTTGATGCCCAATGATAAAGCAGCATTCCTACAGAGCAGCAATGACTTAGCATTGCCTTTTTTAAAAGCAAAAATAAAAGAAAAGCATTCTTATTGTCATTATTGGGAAAAACGAAATTATATATAAGATATTATTAAACATGTGAAGCAATTATGTTTTTCTAGCATGAGATGATCCTGGATATAAAGCAAAACTGCATGATGAAGAATTAGAAAAAAATTCACACACAATGAACACAACCAAATGTGGAATGCAGAAGCTACCACAGCTGGCAAATGATAGAGGTCTGCAGACAAATTAGTCTGTTTTAGTTTCAATACTTAAGTCCTACCAATGAAAACAGTGTGGTAGAGGTACTTGTGTTACTAACAAAATATTTACTTCTTACCATCTTCAGATGCTGTTCCTAAATAAGAGAAATAAAACAATATTTCAACAAATTCTGAAAATGCTACCTTATAATCCCCTCCCCCAAGATTCATCTGAAAAGGTGAAAGCAGAATTTGATTCACAGCTCACATCAAAAAAGTTAAAATCATACAACCAAAAAATAGCAAAATTCTTCAGTGAACATTTCTGTTTTTTCATTCTTAAATTTTAAAAGGATCGAATAGGAGAAATTACTTAAAAACAATTTAACTCTTTAATTACTTTCCCTCACAAATAAAGGTTTATACACTTTTCTAGAACAGAAATGTTTTCTGTTTATTTTCAAAAGGTAGCCTGTGCTAGAACAAACAAACAACAAACAAACGGGCTATTAGATCCATGACCTAGGTTTCATTTGCCTAATTTTTCCATCAAAGCACACGAAAATTCAAAGACCTCACAGTAGCCCTCAGCTATTTACTCATCAGAATTACTTACAATGTGTGTGAAATCTGCTGAAAATGACCAAATCTACACACCAGAACACACTACTCCTAAAGGGCAGTAAACACGGCATGGTGCACACTTTAAAATGAAGGGGGGTGCACATCAATTGACACCTCAAAAAGGTTACTGATTCAGACAAGAAAAATACTTTGATTGGGAAGTGATAAATTTTCTAAATATTCCAGCAATATCAAGGTTTGAGGACATCTAAGAGGGAAGGGAGGAGGGGAGGAAGGAAGGAGGGGAGGAGGGGAGGAAGGGAGGAAGGGAGGAAGGGAGGAGGAGAGGAAGGGAGGAAGGGAGGAATCCCCTCCTGATGGCTGTCATTTCATTCAAAACTTTAATTATGAAATACTTTAAAACAGAGATACTAAAAATAACACCCACGTTCGCAACCTGAGATTAAATAAAGCTTCCATCTTATTAAAATAGAAAAAAAAATTAAGGTCAATCTGTAGAATTTATGTAATAATTAGTAGAAAAAGTGTCTTGTTTCAACAGTATCTTTTATAAAGTCTTTGAGAAAGCTCAACAACCCGCTAATGGCATAGGCCCTGACAGAGTGAAGAGAATTGCGATGATTTTGTCTCTAGTGTAACAGAAAACACTGCACAGATTTGTTACTAAACCAAAGCAACTATAGACAAACTATAATAATTTGAATGCTGGAATTTAAAAATCAAAGCTTAAACTTCAGTTTTAATTAAATGTCTCATTGTTAAAAGCAAAAAACTTATCAGAGTCCTTTCCTTCCTCTGAATCCAGTATTTTAGAAGAAAATAAGAAATTAAAAGTTATGAGTCCTATGTTTCAGGGTTCATATGAAATATTTTAGGTAACTGACTTAAGCTGCAAAAAACAGTACAAGGAGATCCAAAATGGATACAAGTAACTCAAAATTCAACCAGTGGGTCATCTAGTCATTTTCACACTAAAATTCTGGATATGTAAGTAGCACATTTTCAGAAGATTATAAAAGGATAAACAAGGACCAATAGAAATGTGTAAACAAATGATAGAAGTAGCTCTTACCATCCATCTTGTCAGAAGTGTCCTCTTTGATGAAAGAGCAAGCAAAGAACAGAGGAAAACTTAGTATATTAGAAAGACGATGTCTGTTATACCCCCCCCCCCTAAAGACAACAATGCACTGTACTAGCTCAGTTTGCCATGTGGCTGCTCACAAATCCCATCTTTTATTTGAACTTTCGGTCCCTATAATCACACTCTCTGTCTCTATTTCATGAGTTCATAGAGAAAAATCACACAGCCACATGGTCAGACAGTGCTACTGAAGACCTGGCCTTTAATACTTGACACAAGAAAGACAACATAGTAGGACCAACAACACTCGTGTTTTCAAGGCCTGAGTGTCAGAATCCTTTTGTCCTAGGCTCTCTGCCGTCATGGGTATATGCCACCATGCTTGGGTGCTGCTGCTCCTCAGCAAGTCCTGTGTGGGATGCTGGCCTCTGCTAACTCAGCTCTGAGTGCCTCCCTGTATTGTGACAGCAGAGGCACAGCAGTCTGCCTGAACCATTTTCAAACAGTATGATTTGTGATAAGCATCTACTTTCTTCTGGGTGTCTGGAATTCTGATAATTGTGGCTTGCTGAGCAGGCAAAGCCAATATGACCAGCCCCCTCTCCCTACCCCACCCTGGACTAGAAACCTTAAACGAGCTTCTGTGGCAGAAACACAGTTGACATGTTACAGCATTCATGCCAGAGGAAGGAGTCTTCCTCAGCCCAGCCCTATAGTAAAAACTACAAAGCATACATTAGGCACCCAGGCGACTAGACAAGGTTTTCTCCCTACTAGACCCACTGTGTAACCTTTTACTCTAATACACTTCAGCTATGAGCCCCAAATGTATGGTAAGTATGCCAAGTCTAAAAATGTCCCATCCTCTTGCACCCCCCTCAGTTCAAAACCTTAAGTCACTTCTAGGAACAAGAATGCCCTGGCAGAAAATTACAATCTTCCAAGGACACTCTCCCTAATACGCACCTGCTGCTGCAGACACCATGTCTGAAATCACCACTCCCTCCATTCCCTTCTCTTCTGGCTCCATGAAACTTGTCCTTCGACAGCAAGGCTGCCTCCCAGCCCTGCTCTCCACATTCCACTGCTCACGGCTTTCAAAGAAGCTGCACCTGAGGTTCTCTCTTCTCTTCCTTGCACGTATTTCTACCTACACTGACTAACCATGTCAGTGCACAAACAAATGTAACTCCAAAAATATTTTTAAAAGAGGAGGAGAATCCCAGAAACTTGAGGGGCTTCAGAGCTCATTCACCCCTTCCCTTGTCTGTCAAGCATGGGACTAATACACAGATTCCAGGGCCAACTTCTTGCACAACCAACTGAAATTTTACTTTTTTCCAAATGACCTGAGCAAAACTATTTGTTCTCTTTTCCATTCAGGCAATTCGATAAGTCCACTTATTGTGAATATGTATTAAACTATGCATACAAGTTAGGTAAGCATTTTATCATGAGCTATATCTCCAATATATAAACACACACACACCTCTGACCATCTTGTATGATACACCAAGTTTCCTCTACAGAAGTTAACAAATTTCAAAACACTCAAGCCACTTTTCTGCCAAAGAATTCAGGGCTTTAGAGAAAACAAGAGCAAATTAACCAGTAGCAACTACACTAAAGTCTGTATGGAATTCAATGTTACTCTTTCTTTCTATACCCATTTTATCCCAACTGTTTCCCAAACACAGCAACTTCAACTCAAAATGCTTGAAAGTCAACAAACCTCTAGCCTCTGGTTTCTCATCAATATATGAACTGACGGAAAATCCGAGCACAGAATTACCAGATCCTCAGTACCTAGTGGAAGCCCTGTTAAAAACTAAATGCAGGAAGTGTTTACTGGGAAAGAATGGTACACTCTTTCTGATTCTGTATGTTTATCCACGATAAACAAGACTCAATGCAGAAGAAGGCAAAGCTGTTTGCATGGGGACAGAGGTAAGGTGTGTTCAGCCATGCCCAGCTTTTAAACAGGTGTTCAAAACTGAACTTATTCAGAGAAATCTCCCCAACCACGTTTTTTATTTCCTTTTAGTTGACTTTAACAGTGTCTCCCTATGGAGCGCTGGCTATCCTGGAACTCAAGAGATCTATCTGCCTCCCCAGTGGCTTCTGGATTGTTTTTATTTCTCCTCCTCCTTTTTCTTCCTCTTCTATCTCTGCTCTTTTTTTTTTAAAGGTAGCTAGTTTTTATTTCATTTATTTTATTAGGTTGACAGAACCCTCAGTGCCAACCCCTCCCAGCAATGTTTAGGAAGAGGCCAATTTAGTCTTTATACCTCAAGGGGATCTATTCCCCACTTAAGACAACAAAACTAAAGTGAAGCTGAGCCCACAGTTTCCAGTACTTTCCATGCCATTCTTTCTGAATACCATCTCTATCCAGATGTCTGCAGTCAGGAACATCAGTAGCTGGAGCCTGGGTGCACCATGGCATTGTTAAAAATAGCACACGATCCTATTTAGTAAGCAATGCACAGGCAGAGTAATGGAATGTCTTAATTCCATAGAGACTGTCTAAATTCCAAAGACAATCAGATTTGGGGGGATGAAATAACAGCCAAAGTTCTGGAGTAGAAGGCTGGTTTTATTTTTTGGTATAATTATTAAATATTAGATTATTGCATCAAAACATGTTAAGTCTTTCTAAAATTGTTATTATATTATGTACACATGCATGTCCCTGTTCATGTGTGCTATGGAACACATATGGAGGCCAGAGGACAATTTACATCAGTAAGTTCTCTCCTTCCATCATGTGAGTCCTGATGGTTAAACTCACTTCATCGGGCTTTACTTCCTGAGCCAACTCGATGGTTGGTCCTGGATCTAAAACTCCTAACATTTAAAAAGGCTTTACACACTAAATTGACATTTCAAAAATAGTGGTAGTATACCATCATGAATTCACTTCATCACTGTTTCTGATATGACCTTATTCGTCATATTCTCAACAGTGGGCATTTAACCCAACTGTCCTTTATTTTTATAGGTCTTTTATCTGCATTTGTTTGAGTAGGGTTAAAATCCAACATTTGTTCTGGTGTTTACCGGCAGCTGTGGTATGTATTTTATTTTTATGATCTATGTAAGCACATCTGTATTTGACCTGGAAAACATTGTCATCATAGTTCTTTTTTTTCCCCAAGTAGAATGTGACAAAATTTATCTCACAGCTACTTGATTTTATATTTTCACATTAGACTTAAATCTAAGTCTATCACCATAGTTTTTTTTTTAATTTGAACAATTTTTTTCTTTATTGTGAGATTACATGAATTCTTATCTGTTCAGTTTTCAAGACTCTGGACATCTGGAATGCATTGCACCACCTTGTGTAACAGGTTATAACTTATACTTACAAAAATTGTGAAATGCTTGTCTCAACACCGTGCACTGACTAATCTATCCTTACTTATTTACTCCATCATTCTGAAACATTCTAGCACACACAAATTCATGTCCCAAATGTCCATGCTCTTTCCTGTATGCCAGTAACTTATCTACTTAGTGCTCCATCACTACAACTTCGAGAAAGAAAACAGAAGTATGCAACAGAGACACAACATGGATAATCAGCCAGTTGATGGATATGAAAACATACAGAAAAAACAAAACACCCAATTCTGAACAGCATTTGGAATGCTTATCTAAGCTTTGATTAGACACAGAAGACCTCTGCAGTTCTCCCATACCACCAAAGGTAAAAGAATAGAAATAAGATCAAGAAAACAGAGAAGCTGATTCCAAAGTCAGTGCCTTCCCTTGGTAACCAGTTGGTAGGTGTGTCATTAGTGCAGCCATGAAAATTCTATAGACAATCACACAATCAAGAACAGCATGTTTGATCAGGGTGAGGAGGAAAGACAACGGGAAAAGCACACACAAGGTGGTGGGTAGGTACAAGGGTCATCCCAGCAAGCAAGAATGAGCTAGAAGTTGGTATGGCGCGATCACTCTGTCTTCACTGAGACCGGGAAGAGTGTGAACGGCTGTCTTACCAAGCGATGCATAAGAGCCTGGGTTCAGGGCTCCTGCCCCGAGGCGCCCACTTCGAACAGCCTGTCCGGCGGCGTGGTGCGCTTTGGCACCAGCTGCAGCATTCACATCAATGTCACTTCGAGAACGCTGCAGGCTTCCCGGAAGGGAGCTGGCTTTGCTGCCTCCCACTGACACTACAGAAAACAAATTAGCCTGTGTTATTTATGTTGTTGTAAACAAAGTGATGACACAAGAACTCTAAGCTATCGAGATCCACAAGGCAGCAGTGGCCAAATGGACAGCACTGCTTCCCAAAGCTTCAGCTTATACATACACGTGTGTGCATGCATGTGTGACCCTGGGTTATGAAACATTTTCTCATTGTAGATCACATCAAAGCAGTTTAAAGGCTCCTGCTTAGAGACAAACTAGGCTTTGACTCTTTTTTTTTTTGGTTTTTGAAGACAGGGTTTCTCTGTATTGTTTTGGAAGCTGTCCTGGAATTTGCTCTGTAGACCAGGCTGGCCTTGAACTCACAGAGATCCACCTGCCTCTGCCTCCCGAGTGCTGGGATCAAAGACGTGAGCCACCAATGCCCGGCTGGCTGTAACTCTTATTCAGAGAAGCAATTACCTCTTCCGGCCACAGTTGATGGATTCGCTGTAGACCACTTAGAAGAAAAGGGACGACTGGAAGGTAAAAAGAAATGAATGCTTTTAGTAGCAAGACTTAATTGATCATTCTAAAAGGAATGAAACAGCGGCTGCCAAAAAAGTTGAGAAATCTTCCTTTAAGAAACAGTTGTTTTCAAGACTAGCTATAAAGCAAAGCAATTAATTGGCAATGAAAAAATATAGAGCAGGTTACTTTATTCATTCTGGTCTTTAGCACACAGACAACTCAATGTTAGCACCACCAATCCCTTGCACCCTAAAATACTTCGGTTAGAAGAAAGAGACACTGTGGTTATTACTAGCATATAGGCAGCTTGGTACACCAGATCCTGTCTCATGTGATTCCTCCAATGTCATGTCCTGGAAATGCACTACTTACTGCATCAATTATTTATGGTATAAAGAAATGTACAGAAGTCAAGTATTCCAAAATACGAACATATAGAAACAAAATGTGAATCATTAAATTCTTAAGACCCAAAGAATAGTTAAGCTAGTCTGTGGTCCAACACTAACAGGAGATCAGAGAAATTAAGTAAAACGAAGTCACCATTTTTTCAAGGTCTTAGTAGATGCAAGCTATCCAACTGAAGGAGTTGGAGAAACACACACAACTACAAAGTCTATAACCTTACTTGAGACTTTCTTGTGAGCTAGATGAGGACCTGTCTGACTGTGGAAGAGATGCCACACTGCCAGAACTCTTTAAGTAAGTCTGAAGACTTTTCTGATATGATGGCTCAAGGGAATTATACAACGTTTCAGCTTCACCAGGAAAGTGGTTTCTAAGACCCATGTATGTCCTATAAAGGAAAGAAAAGTATATTAGCAACAGCCTGTCATGACTGGAGGAACACAAACTCACACATTTACTACATTCACAATGTCAGGTGACTGAATTCCAGTTGAAAAATCGCAGGTTTCTGAAAAAGCAGACCTAAATTCGCATTCTATTTGTGCCACATATGGTTCATGTAGTTCTGAGTGAACCCCAATGTCAGACTTCATATGCATCAATGGAGACAATACCACTTTTGCAGGACTATCTTTAGTATTAAAATTAAAAATGAGCCAACTGTGGTGGTGCACACCTTTAATCCCAGCACTCAGGAGGCAAAGGCAGGACAATCTCTGTGAGTTCAAGGCCAGTCTGGTCTACAGGGTGAGTTTCAGGTCAGCCAGAGTTAAAAAGTGAGAACCTGTCTGAGATATATATATATATATATATATATAGAGAGAGAGAGAGAGAGAATGAGAATGTGTGTGTGTGTGTGTGTGTGTGTGTGTGAGTGTGTGTGTGTTGGGGGGGTGAATGCAGACACCAAGAGCCTTACTTTTTTTTTCTTTTTTTTTTTTTTGGTTTTACAAGACAGGGTTTCTCTGTATTGTTTTGGAGGCTGTCGGTCTAGCCTGGCCTTGAACTCACAGAGATCCGCCTGCCTCTGCCTCCCAAGTGCTTGGATCAAAGGCGTGCGCCACCACCGCCCGGCCCCAAGAGCTTTACTTAAAGTTAGGTACATAATACCTACTCAATAAATGCAGTTTTCTTATTAACAATGAACGTGAAAACTGATGGAATGAGAACAATTATGATTGCAGAAATGACAACTGGAAGTAAGTTGTTATAGGTATAGCTCACAGTTAGTGGATAAAATGGCATTTCAATTTTGCTGTTTTGCTGGAGAGTTAGTCAAACAGGGTAACTGAGATACTAAGTTATAACCATCTCTCAATGTTAATTCATTAAGAACATCAACAAAATACCTCAAAGTATGTTTAAGTTTTCACAAAAATATAGTACAGACTTACTTTCTTGCTTCCACTCTGGCCTCAGCATCAGCATCATGAATTCCCTTCTTAATAGTTTCAACCAAGACAGCTGCATGTCTACACAACAAATGCATCTTTATGTTAATTCTTAGTAGTGTATTTTATCTCAAACAATAGTTATTCCTACATGGCACACAACTATTCCAGAGGAGGGGAAATGGAAGATTCATTAGTGAAATAATTAAGATTGGAGCCTTTTCTTTCTCCTTTTTTTTACCCCTTTTCTTTTTATAAAGGCAGAGTGTTGCTATACATCCCAGGATGGTCTTGAACTCAAAACAACCTTCCTATATTAGCCTGGAGAGTGTTGAGATTACAAGTGTGAAATATAATACCCAACATCCTTTTCTTTCTCTTTTTCTTTTCTTTTTGAGATGGAGTCTTCCTATGCAGTCTGAGTCGACCTGACTTACAATCTATTTCCCCAGCCTTCAATTAGGTGGGATAACAGGTATGACCTGTCATATTATAGGAGTTTCTAACAATTTGCCCTATACATATGACCTATATATTGTTTCCTTCTGGTAATTCAGTGATCTAGCCCAGTGGTTCTTAACATTCCTTTAATGTGTGACCCTTTAATATAGGTCATGTTGTGGTGACCCCCCAACCACTTCACGACTATAATTTTACTACTATCATGAATCATAATGTAAATATCTGATATGCAGGACATCTGATATGTGACCCCTATGAAAGGATCATTTGACCCACAAAGGGGTCACAAGCCACAGGCTGAGAACCACTGATATAACCAATACATGAATACATAATAGTTATAATAGTTAACCAATACATAAATAGCTGCCACAAAATGAACAAAAACTAAAAAAAAAAACAAAAAACAAAAAGCCTCTGAATCACTTCATGCCTATAGCAAAAAAAAAAAAAAAACTATTAAGAAACAAAGAAACAAAAGCAAACCCTATAAAGCGATATGACATGGCTCAGTAGTTAAGAGTACACACTATTCTTGGGAATGACTGGAGCTTGATCCCCAGCACCCACATCAGGCAGCTCAGAAATGACTACAACTCCAGCCGCAGGAGGCGGCACCTTTGATTTCCCAGGGTACGCACACTCCCAATGACATACCCACACTTAAAGATTCTTAAAAAAAAAAAAAGAAAAAGAAAAGAATTGTGAAGAAGTCCATTAAAATAGAAATCAGCAATATACTCACTAAAAATGCAGGTTATCTCTGATGCCTGAAAACCTAAAAGTAGCATGAAATAGTACTTACACATCCCTGTACAGAGCTAACTAGCTGGTCACACTTTCTCTCACCTTAGAATTACAACAGATGCTACCCAGTGACACCTGCCAGCTACGGTGGAGAAATATTCCAACTAATTCCTCTTGCTTTTTTTTTTTAAATCTCTTCCTTCAAATCTCTCCCTGTGACAAACCATTCACTACATGAAGACTGTAATTCAAGAAACCTACCTATTCACATAGTGTTTTTAAAATGTTTCCATAATTCTACATGGAGGATGTTTCATAACCTATTCTACCCAAGTTGCCATCACCCAACCCACCAAAACCCAACTATTCACAGCTCAATGCACAAGAGAACATAGCATCACAGCTCTAAGGAAGAAAGACAAGGCCAAGTATCTCTAGACAAAATGAGAAACAATGTAAAACAATGCCCTATGCATGGCTGCTGCCATGGGAAGGGGAATAAAGCATGTGCGTGCATGTATGGTGCCCACCTTTCCAATGAATGAGTCTGCCACTCTTGCAGCAACAGATCTAAAAATTCAAATGAACGCCTGAAAAATAAATGTTAAATTACAATTAAACATACTGAGAAACATTTTCATACTTTCTTTCAAAATACTTCATTTTGCCCCTGAATTAAACACACAGGACATATTTTCAGATTACCTAAATTAGAAAAAACTAATCTAAAGGACCTAACTATTACTATGCTAGGTAGCTTAAGAGACTTTGTGTCCTGTAATTTAATTTCGAATATTCATTAAATAGGAATCATTTATTATGGAGCCCAGAGAGATGGCTCAGCAGGCACATGTGACTCTGACTCTCACATGCGCTATGCAGGCCCAACACACCTCATACACATAATGAGATATACAGCGATGGCCAATAAGTACATGGCAGTCTAGAACTTCTGCTTCTACTTTACTATGTGCACATGGGATTTTAAAACAAATTCATGTGTTTTCTTATAAGTACTCTAATTCTTAACTTCAGACATTCTGTTTTTCATTAATATATCTTGGGAAAAAAAGGGTTGTTAACCAGATTTAGCTATGGGCTACTATTTTCTGACTGCTGAGATTTCAAAGAGCTGACTACATAATTTGTCTAAAATTTTTTAATCACATAAAGAATGTAATGCCTTATTTGGCCTTTGTTCAGTGACAAAGTAATGGGCAAACTGTATTGCTCTCCAATAGTGCACAAACATTGAGCCTAAAGATACAAATACTGTCTTGCACTTTCTGAGGCCTGGACTCTTGAGTGTTAGGCAAGTGCTTTACCACCGAACTACATCATCAGTCTTTAGGTCTTAACTGCTGATAGCAGTAAGGTTTGAAGAAATCAAGCTAGGTCTGATGGTGCACACCTGAAATCTCAGCACTTGAGAACTGAAGGCAGAACAACCATGAGTTCAAGGCCAGCCTGGCAATACTGTAAAACCTTCTCTCAAAATAAACAAATGTTCTTTTTCTCCAGAAATCATAAAGAGAAAGAGAGGGAACATCTACTTACTGTCTTCTACACACAAAATTAGGAACTCTTAAGTGTCTCATCTGCAATCTATGTGGTGAGCCCATTAGTGCCCCACAATTTACATCTGACCTGAGATGTACAAAAGTGGCAGATGTAGAGTCCTAGCTATTCCCAACACTACACCCTTCCCCCACAACTTACCTCCTCACAGGGACAGATTTTGATGTGCAATTGCTTGTTATTAAAGGTATAAGTCTGGGTACATGGGTATGCTGAAAAAGATATTTTAGAAAAACATGACAACACTGTGCAGGTCATGTAGTGCTCCTCTGTTTCTTATACTCAAGGGCTTAGCTATGGAATACCCAGAAGAAAAAAAAAAAAAGCTGCAAATCAGATCTACAGAATGCAAATTTCCCTAATTAGAGCAATGATGATGGTATAGTTTTCAAAAGACAGGGGTAAAGTCACCAATATGTAATGAAGACAAATTGTTTGCATGTCCACAAAGACCTGTGAGGTCAATACAGGGAGGGGTGTGTGTGTGTGTGTGTGTGTGTGTGTGTGTGTGTGTGTGTGTGTGTGTGTGTGTGTGTGTAGAATAACTACATGTCAGTGAGATCACAATCCTAACTAAGATTTAAGTAAGCAATAGACATTGCCCTCCAATGGCTAATTTTTAGTGCTTTTCTTTAGTGAAGGAAGCACTAAAATGCTCATTATACATACAGAATGTAAGCATGGACATGTGTCACCTTTGATCTGGTACTTTTCTCATTCCTGATTTAGCTATAAAGCACTCTATTTCTGTCATTTTATAAAATTATAATATCATTAATTTCACCAAAATCTCCATGAATATAGTTAGCATCCCATATTAAGAACATATTTGCTGGGACATTTGTGATTACATACATAAGTATACATATATGCTTTATGTTCCATATTCAAATGGATATACTTTGAAGTCTTTTGGAATATTTACATGCTCTATAATAACTGTGCACTGCTTTTATTATCAGAAATATAATTTAAAAGTAATTTTCTTTCTTTTAGAGATAAAAAGAATAATATGACTTAATTAAGTACATGGGTGGGGAGGGTTGTGAGAAACCTACCCGAATAATAAATCTGATTGCTGCACATCCAGAAGTTGCCATTACTTTTGCACTATTGGGGACAAGATTAAAAAGTGTAGGTACAATGGCTTCAGCGCCGTGATCAAACTTGTTTCCCAAAACTGTTGAAAGGTGGCTACAAAGGAACACAAAAATTATATTAATATTAAATACAGAAAAATATCTATCATCTATCTATCAATCATCTATCTTTCTATCTGTCTGTCTGTCTATCTGTCTGTCTGTCTATCTATCGAGTTTAATATCACGAAGCTAGCCTCCAATTTGGTAGTAGCCAGATGTCTGAGCTGCTGCTGTCTTGCACCGCGTGCACCTGTGCATCACATGTCTGGCTTATGGGGTGGTGGGGGCTTCATCCCTGTTCTGTCAACTGGACGGCATCCCACTCTCCAGGTACTGCACCTTTTCTTCGTTTTCCTACCCAGTAACTGGCAGTCCAAAGACAAAATCCGGTATTTTATTTATCTCTGTGACATTTAGAGAAGCTATATGATCTTAGAATCAACTATGAAAGTTAAGCAAACATTAAGTAAAATTATTACCCTGACTGTGGGTCTTCTTCAGATATTTCTATTTTGATATACCAACAACCTAAATCCAGAATATTTTACTCAGAAGTTCTAAACCTTGAAAAATATTGCCTATTTTGATTAGTGGTGAAGTTACTTCTTGTGGGGGAGTAGAGTCAAAAATATTCTCATTTCTCTGGGGCAGGTTTTAAGAATCTACTACTGAAACTCTAGTATCTCCTAAATTCAGTGATCTTAAAGACATCTATAATTTCTTTCCACATTTGTAACTCTGTGTGTGTGTGTTTGTGTGTGTGTGTGTGTGTATACACATATGTACATGTGAATGAAGAGGACGGAGGACAAGTTCAGTAGTCATCCTCAGGAATACCATTATCAATTCTCTCTCATTGGCCAGCTTGTGCTAAAATTAAGGTTCTTGATTTAAAGAGGTACTCCACAATTAGACTTATTTACTAGTGTTCAGTTACAAAGTCAGTTTTCCAATCTCTTGATTCCTAGGCATAAAGGGCCCTCAAGTCTGGTGTCTTCCTTTATGGAGTGTAAGTTCCAGCAGGCAGGTCATAACTGGCAATCAACTTTTTCTTCATAAACCTGCTGGGAGACACGAGACCTACAGCAGCTGGCTGAGAACCAATCCGTGCAGGGGCTCTACTTATTGAACATTGATTCAACGAGTACTACATTGATTCATAAAAAAAAAAGTTAGCATTCCAGGTATGGTGGTACACACTTTTCAACTCAGCACTTGGGAAAGCAGAGAAAGACAGATTTCTGTGAGTTTGGGCTAGGCTGGTTTACATGGTAAGTTCCCAGACTGTTGTAGAACATGGTTTTCAGATGTGTTACATTTGCTTATGCTGTGGAATACTTGTTTAATGATGCAAAGATGTGTTGCATTCTTTTATGTTGCATTTGTTTAACTCTGTGAAGCTGTGTTGCTTTGCCTGTCTAAAACACCTGATTGGTCTAATGAAGAGTTGAATGGCCAATAGCAAGGCAGGAGAGAGGGCAGAGCTGGATCTGGCAGGCAATGAGAACAAATAGGAGGAGAAATCTGGGAAGAAAGGATCAAGGAGCTGCTGTGGGATTTTGATCTGTTTGGAGCAGCAGGCCCTAGGGCATGGTCCCTGTCTGCCATGTGACAAGTTAAAAGATTAGTCAGAGCAGAGCAGACAGCTTGTTCTTCATCCCTGGAGAGAACAACTCCACAAAGGCAGCGGTTTTGTATTAGTGAATATTTACCTCTATTTTATAGCTAAATAAATTCTTGAGAACCTTTACCGGACTCTCATGGATTCCTATTACAAGGAGTGAGAAAAGAAGGGGCCAGTCAAATAGCCACATAGTTACACATGGAATAAGAAAGATACAGAAATAGAGAAAGGTAACAACCCAGAGACAAAAGGTAGATGGGATAATTTAAGAAAAGCTGGCAAGAAACAAGCCAAGTTAAGGTTGGGCATTAATAAGTAATAGTAAGCCTCTGCGTGATTTATTTGGGAGCTGGGTGGCAGACCCTCAAAGAATAAAGAGTAAAACAACCAAACAATACCAGGTAGCCAGGGAACCAGGGATATATATATATATATATATAAAGACCCTGTACAAAAAAAAAAAAAACCCACAAAAGCCCTTAACAAGAGAGGGTTACGCTTACGCAACAGTGATGCAAGCTTCTCTGACCACCTGGGATCTGAGATCCTTAGCAGACAGCTTAAGTGCTCCATCCAACAGACGTAAATGCTGGAAAAAGCAATCATACTGTGCAGCCCCAGCCACAAGCAGTGATCTTATTTTCTTAAGCTAAAAGAAAGAGAAATTTCATTGTTGATATAAAAGGTGACATCCTACAAAAAAGATACATAAACCATATCATCTAAACATTTAAGTTTTTCTTTAAAATGAACTATATGGACTTCAATACATTTATGTAACTAAATTCAGACATTTTAATGGCATTACAAGTTTAGTTACATGTGGAACAGATCGATTATACATAAAAAAGTAAATTCAAAATCTCAGTACTGAGAGGCAGAGGCAGGTGGATCTTTGAATTTGAAGTCAGCCTGGTCTATAGAGCAAGTTCTAGGACAGCCAGGGCTACACACAGAGAAGAAACCCTATCTTAAAAGACAGAAACAACAAAACCCATAAACGAAAACCAAACAACAAAAAGCAAAATGCAAAAATATGTAAAATCATCAAATGAGGATGATTTTAGTAAGTTACACATACATTTTTATTAAAGAATGTATGTACACTTTGATCTTTATTCAATAAATATCTGAGCAACTATGACATTCTTAACATCTATACCAGGTATATTGAATAGGCACGGCTTGTTAAATAAAACAAAGCGAGGGATTAGGCATTGTTTACTTGTCATGAAAGTGGTTATGTTTTAAACATGCTTGAATGAACAGGAAAAAATGTCAAACTCATAAAAATAAGTCAGACTATTTCTGAATGACTATGCTCAAAGGAATACAAAACCTTCAGGTTCAAGTTTATGCCTTTTATTTTAATCTGTGATGTTTTTCCATAGATTACCCATGACAAAGATATTGTTACACTTTTATTTTATGGATTTTATTTTATCAGATTGCCGGTGCTGAAAAAATCCTGAGCCCACAGGAGAAATGAACTTCTCCAGCAAGTTTTAGTGACTTTAGGGTGCACTGACAATGGATCTGATAAGCAGCAGGTGACCCAGAGAAGGTCAGGACAGAGCTCTCAATCTCACATTTCTCTGTCAGTCAGCAAACCACCTGAGGGGACAGGCTACCAGGCTTATGGAACAGGCACTGACGTGATCAGCAAGAAAAACTCAATCTAAAGCTAGCAATGCCTATCCATGTTTTTCACAGAGAAATGGTACCCAATGGATTCTAATTTACTATCACTATCTCCACAGCTGAATACACGTTCTCTTTGAGTTCTGAACAGGAACACTGCTAAGAGAAGGATAAGAAGATAAAGAATGAAAACTTACCGCATTGGCACGCTGGTCCCAGTCATGTTTGTCATCTGACAAAATTTCCCTGATCTTATTTAACGTTTCTTCAAGTTCTCGACTAGAATAGATCTTAAAGAAAACAATTATAATTTAAATAAATTTTAAGATTTAAAATTATAAAGACAGTTCTTAAATAACATAAACTTAAGCACCGGCGTTTGAAATAGTCTTTTACATAGTAAGATCATTCATTTCACACTCTTGCCATTACTCTCAGTGGAGACTGTTACATACAACAGATGCCTAGTGTTCTTCCTCAGTGCCCTCTCTGCTACTTGTCCCCAGGTAAACAACCTCAAACATACTTCTATAATGGTCCAATGGAGACATAGCCAAACAAAAATGGAGCAATGTCTTAAAAACTTCATTAATGTACCATTACAAAATAGTGTTTAAAAGACATGCTTTTAGTTTTGAATAACTATTTTAAAAAATGACTAGTACCAGAATAGACTAAAGACATAACTTACCATATGTGTCACTACAAAGGGGAAAACAATCTCAATTAAACAGGTCCTTTTGGCAACATTTTGTGATAAATATATTTGTTATATATTGAAAACATAATATTTATAAAAATATATATTACATTTAAATGGGTATATTTATAATATATAACAAATACACTATATTTATTATACATGCCACATTTAATTTTCATTCAAGGTGCTATCCTGGAAGACAATGCAAAGACCTTCTCTAAATCATGAAAGAAGAGAAAAGTCAATTCAGAAATTCATTCCAGGAATTCCATAAATTTTTAAGCCACCTATAACCGGACTCCCCATGTTCCTCCAAGGTATACAAAGAACACTGAGTTAAGAATCTGTTGTACAAGACTGGAGATGGTCCAAAGGTTAAGAGCACTAGCTGCTCTTCCAGAGGTCCTGAGTTCAATTCCCAGCAACCACATGGTGGCTCACAACCATCTGTAATGAGTTCTGGCGCCCTCTTCTGGCCTGCAGACAAACATGCAGTAAACAGTAAATAAATCTAAAAAATTAAAAAAAAAAAGAATCTGTTGTACAATTAATTATTCCTTGGTTTCTGACTTCTCTAGCTGAATGAGTAACAGTTTTCACATAAATAACACTGGAAGATCAAGTATTAGAGAAGACATTGTGACTCTGATTTTAAACAGGTTATATTTAAAATAAAATGCCAAGTAAAACAACATTGTTTTCGATGCTCAGTAGAGGTGTGTCTTAAAGGTAAGATTAGGTATAATCAATATAAAGGTGCTAGATAAACTCCATGATGTTGAAGGAAGCCATGGAGCAGCAAAATGAAGTAAGAAGATGGGGTCCAGAAGTAACCCTTAATAAACTATTTAATAGTCAGTTGGCCAAATAAAGATGGGTCTATCTGTAAAGGAAATGGATGTGAAGCAGACAGGAGGGGGGTTAAATGGGAAAACACTGTTTCATAAGCTTTACAGCAAAACTGTGACCCAAGAAGACAATTTTAACAGCTGGTTTGGTTGCTGCATAGATGTTAAGCGATTAGAAGCTACAAATATAAGGAAGCAAATGCAGGTAGACGTGGAAATACCAAGTATAAAAATTCCAGCATGAAACCAGGTGGTAGGGAGGCAGAAGCAAGTGGCTCTCTGTGAGTTCTAGGCCAGCTAGAACTACATAAAGAATTGTGCTGTGCTGTGTGTGTGTGTGTGTGTGTGTGTGTGTGTGTGTGTAGGGGGGCAGTGAGATCCCAGTATGTAGAAAAGGAGATGCAAACAGACACCCTAACCAAGAAGTTATTTGTAATTGATAAGTTGATAGCTGCTGAGGGAAAGATCAAGTTTTCTACATACATACATACATACATACATACATACATACATACATGCATACATACATATACACACACACACTTTATAAATGTTTTAATTTTATTTTATGTTTATGAATGCTTAGTCTGCGTACATGTACATGTACCATATGTGTGTTTGGTGCCTGTGGAGATGAGAAGAATTTGGATCTGGAGTAAGGATGGTAGTGATCTGTCAAGTAGATGCTAAGAATTCAATCCAGGTCCTCTGCAAGAGAAGTAAGTGTTCTTAACTGTGGAGCCATCTCTCCAGCCCTCAAACATGTTCTCTTTCTTTACAAGACTGAAGCTCAGTACATCACCTCATTCCAGGGTAGCACTCCTGCTTAGGAGGAATAGTTTGGTCAACACACAACGAACTCCATGCCTTTTGTGTGTGCATTTTTTTTTCTGCTTTGTTTGGTTGCTTTTGTTTTGTTATTTAAATGAGAGAAAAGAACAGGACGTTGGAAGGTATTTGGGGATGGGAAAGAATATGGTCAAAACACACTGGATGAAGAAAGATTTAGAATGACATCTGTTTAAAGGGAAAATACCAAGTGTACAGCTACACCGGAAGGGACATGGACCTGTCAGAGTGCGTCTGGAGGATATGCAGTCCACTATTTTCTTCCCTAACTGGGGATCAAACCCAGAGCCTTGTGAATGCTAGACAGGTACCCTGCCACCAAACTACACCATTCACTCAGTTTCTCATTTGTGCAACTGGTTCTCTCCTTCCACCATGCGGGTTCCAGGGATCAACTTCAGGTCGGCAGCCTTAGTGGGAAACACCTTTACCCATTAAGCCATCTTACTAGTCCACTTATTTTCAAATAGTAAAACCCAGCAATGTTTACTAGGCAGCAAGAAGGGGGCATTTTAATCAACTACTGCAAGAAAGCAACTTGATCAAGAAATATCAACATTCGGTGTGTGAGGTATGTAACTCATGTGAATCTGAGGGTGGAGAGATGGTCAAAGACTGATGTTTCATTCAAAAGAAAAGGAGACCACAAGTATGAAATGAAAGAAGAAATGGGAAAAATGAGGAGGAGGGCTCTAACTGGGGTGTGGGAGGCAGGTCAACACAGAAGGCTGGGTGATAACACTAAGGTTATTTAATAAAGCCTAAAGGAATGGTACTATCTTACATTAACCTAAAATTACATGCAATGTATGTAAATGTACTCACTCACTCACTCAAGTGAAGTTACACTACTTGGGCTTTAGGCTGACAATGCTCACCACAAGAGCCATAGATTAACCTAACAAAACCCCAGGGTTAGGGTTGAGAAACCTCTGTTCAAGTTGTTGGTCACAGTAGTCCAAGTGACTCTCAAAACAATATAGGCTACTGCTGTTACCCTTGGTTGCCTCTCAGAGGTTGAAGGAAGATACTGTTGCTGCAAACCCATTAACACTTAGGACACAGGATTTGGATCATTCAAACTGGATCTAATCTGAAAGCCTCCTTCCTTTGACCTAGCTTCCACAGTACCAGAAAGTACTATGCAATCTGCCAAAGAAGGGAAGCAATGATCCTACACAGTTGTGGTGCCTGTGAATCAGAACACTCACTAGCACAGCAAATACCCAAAGGTGTAATAGTAGTAGCTTAAGCCTTTGTGGTAATCAATGGTTGTCTAGTTGGACTTAAGGACCACTTAACAGGAAGGAAAACATGCTTGCTGCTAGAAACCTTGCCAACTACTCTGGACTTGTGAGGTCATGCATCTTAGAAGAGAACTTAATACTGCCACTTTACTGTGTAATTTCTAACTACATTCCAAAGCTTACCCTTATATCCAGATAGGTGTAGTTCTCACTCGTCATCAAAGAAGCATCTCTTATAGCAAATGGAGACCATTACAGAAAACATAACTGGGGAGGAGAGTTGGCTTATTAGTTAAGAGCACTTGTTGCTCTTGGAGAGGCCCTGGGAATACCCAACATCTACACTGTAGCTCAAAACCATCTGTAACTGCAATCCCAGGGGATCCGATGTCCTCTTCTGACCTCTGCAGGCACCAGGCATGCATGTGGTGGACATACATACAAGGTGAAACACTCATACACATAAGACAATAAAATTAATCTTGAAAGAGAGAGACCACAACAGGACACAATGCGGAGATCAATGATTGATCCTGGGGGAGCCCAGCCCTAATGGATACATCTTCAATACAACTCCTGCACCTAAGACTCAGGGATAAATATATCAGAAGAGGGGTAGAGAGACTGTAAGAGCCAGAGAACCAGGAAGTCTGTTGTGAAAACAGCTGCTCAAACAATGACAGAGTCAATAGACATGCTAATGCAATAGGAGGAAAATCTTACTCCTAGACAATGAACTACAAGCAACCAATGACTGCTGAGAGGGAGAATTAGCCTCTTCCAGACCTGAGTCTCCCCAACGGGGTATCCAATACAAAATGGTCAGCCTGAAATCACACACATATCATCAACAAAAAACACACCCAGTAGGTTGTATTTATGTATTTGTACAATTCTCTATATATAACAATAATAATCAAAATGAGGCCATTAATTTGAGAGGGAGATGCAGGGGGAGTGCGGAAGAGGGTTAGAGGGAGGAATGCAAAGGGAAGAAATTTATTATACTTTAATTAAAAAATATATAGAGAGAGGGGGGGGGAAGGAAGGAAGGGAGGGAGAGAGGGAAGGAGGGAGGGAGGGAGGGAGGAGTGCACCAATATTTAAGGTGGTAGTAGTAGCTAGCATGTGGTTACCATGCACTATATTTAATCATCACACTATCCCTGATTACACTCTTACAATCCTTAATTTAAAATGATCACACAAGCCGGGTGTTGGTGGCGCATGCCTTTAATCCCAACACTTGGGAGGCAGAGGCAGGCAGATCTCTGTGAGTTCGAGGCCAGCCTGGTCTACAGAGCGAGTTCCAGGACAGCCTCCAAAACAATACAGAGAAACCCTGTCTCGAAAAACCAAAAAAATCAAATAAAATGATTACACAGCAAGTGCAGCTGATCCACAGGTAATAGTGGACTGTTGTGCAGACATGACAAAAGGGAATGGCCAGAAGCAAGGACCTCGTAGTAGTAGTACAGGAAGATGAGGACAGCAAACATCACCAATTACTCACCACCAATTATGTTAGCGCTTTAATGAAAGGAAAATTCTACTTCAATAATAGCATGGGCAATGAAGAAACAGACTCTCTAGGGACAGTGATGGTGATGCAACATGTAGTTGGGAAGCCTGTTCTTCTTCCTGAGGCTGGGATAATGCCTTCCTAAGGCCCATGGTTTCAGTGATACTTTAATGATCCATCCTACTCTGGCAGAGCACACTGAACAATGATCAAGACCTGTCAAGTTTCACAATTGTTCCTAGAACACTAACCATTCCTTCATATGGAAGGCCTACAAAACGCAAACGGAGAGGGAAGCATCTTAAAATAAAAACAGACTTTAAACACTCTCAAATCAGAATCATTTTAAAGCTTTCCCACAACTTCATAAGACTTTTAAATAGCTTAAGGACAGCTCTTCCTTTGAGTTCAATAGCTTCTACAGTATGAAGCAGTATGCAAATAAAGCACCTGGGCCTTTTCGAGACAGTCACAGTCTGAAGAAGCACTCTGAGTGACAGGAAGTGCAGGTAGAATGTGAAGAAATGAGCATTTTCACTTTTCTTTCTCTGACTCTCTTTTTCCCCTCCCTCCCTCCCTCTGCAAGAACAGTACAAGAAGGGGATATAAAACATTTTCTTATAGAGAAGCATCTCTATAATGGAGGATTCTTCAAAGTTGAGTTACCCAATCATATCTTTCTTAAGAGTGGTATAATAATCCTTTACAGCAAATTTAGTGAAACAAAAGGACTGTAGGTATACAATTCCATACAAATAACATCCTAAAGAAGCTCCTGTAAGAGCTGGATATGGTTGTACCCGCAATCCCAGTATGCTTGGGAGTTGGAGGCAGAAAGAATTAATGACCAGACTGGACTACACGAGACCTTATTTTTTAAAAATGCAAATAAAACCATCTCAAAATAACATCAAAAAACTGGAAAGAAATTGAATATCATCAACAGAAAGGACACACAAACTACTCGTATAATAAATATCTGAAGGAATAGAACAATAAACTTTGAATTGTGAAAGAATACACTAAACAACACTGGGGTACAAAGGTCATATAATTTGTAGGAATGTTATATACACTGTAGTGTTTACTTGCTTATTAGACATAAAATGACCGCTTTACATATGGATATACACATTTTGACTCTTTTAGTTATTCTTAGGGGAAAGACTTTCAGATCTTTATTTGTTAGCCTCCAACACTCTCTGGGCTTAAAACTAATTATTTCAAAACTATGAACTTTATGTCTGACAGTGCAATGTAATATGATTACGTAATGGATTTCATTTTACTTAAGCTTTTAACTAATTTGAAAATCTAATTATGACAATAATTAATGTCTTGATACTGTCTAATACATCATCCGTACATTCATCATTCAAGGGAAAACATTTAAAATTTCCTATTCTTATTGTGTATGAAGTGTCTGTGTGGGGAGGACATGTGGGGAGGACAGAAGACAACTGTGGAGTTGCCCCCCTCCCATGTGAAATGCAGAGTCAAACTCAGGTTGTCAGGGTTTCACTGACAAGTGCTTGGCCCCTGAACCTTCCAGCTATACCCCAAAATAAAATTTTTTAAAGGGACAGAAGACGGGACATAAAGAGACACAGAAATCTCATGGTGTCGGACACTGAAAGCCTTACCTGAACAGAGGGCACATCTGTAAAGGCTTTTATAAAGTCATCCTCATCAACCGCTCCAGCCCCGCCTTCTTTAGAAGCTCCTGTTGATTGAGAAGAAACAGATTTTCCAAGGGATATTTTTTAGGTATCTAGGCAACAAGGACAATGTGAAATATCCCTTTTATATGGACAATAACATAATTCTTAAGGATATTCCAATGCATTTTAAATGTTTCAAAATGGGGCGACTTTCAAAGAAGTTGCTCAGAAATATCAAGGCACATGGCAGTAGTTGATTATTTCCTGGTATGACAGCAGAAGTTCCCAACCACACAACCACTGGATGCATTGGCAAGGACAGAAATACAAGGGGAAAGCTAAACATTTAGAAACTGAACAGTAGGTCAGGTATGTATGGTGGTCAAGGTTGCGATCCTTGACCACAGCGCACAGACTAAGCAGGTGAATTGCAGCAAGCTCAACAATGCCAGTCTGGACTACAAAGAAAAAACTTGTCTCAAAAAACCCCAATCAATCTTCAATTGCCAACTTTAAATGGCATAAAATTTCAATAAATGATGACAGATAACTGACAAAGAAATCTATGTAAGATGCTGTGTTTAGGAACACATGTGAACGAAGTAAGAATTTTGACATTGAACTTGATTATACAAACCTTCACTTATTCTACAGAAAATCAATATGGTTAGGTAATCAGCAACAGCTTTTTAAGATCTGTCAAGCTATTTATTATCTTGCAGCTCCATCTATATCCTCCTCTGAGATACTGGACCTAAAACCTATTAAACCATCCTACTCTCACTCAGGTAGACCACCAGTTATCTTTCTCTTGTTTTAATGGCTTTCTGTTAAGATCTGTCAGTAGGTGATGTGAATGAAAGAATGAAAGCTACAGGAATTAAGGACTTTGGGGGGGTGTTTACAGAAGCATGTAAACATGCTTGGGGGGGTTAGGGAGCTTATTTACAGAATCATGAGCTGCACTACTGAAGAAAACCTCTCTCTCTCTCTCTCTCTCTCTCTCTCTCTCTCTCTCTCTCTCTCTCTCTCTCTCTCTCTCTCTCTTCCTCCCTCCCTCCCTCCCACATTAACCATTAACTGTGTAAAAATCCTCAGGAGTGGCGTTTCATGAACCCCCCCTCCTCTCTCCATGACAGTGTTGAGACTCAATCTTGTGCATTTAGTCAAGGAGGTTGTGAGCTGACAGTGCAACAGCCACATGATGCCTAGAGTGTCCACCCAAGTCCTTACACCTCTCTTCTCCCCTATTTCTTCCAGCACTTACATTCTTTCCTCTCCTTCTCCCACAATGTTCCATGAATGTTGGAAGGGGTGACATAGTGTCCCATTTGCAGCTAGGCACTCAGAGTCTTAGTACTCTGACCAGTTTGCGAGTATCTAAAGTCCCCACTGATCACTGCAGAAAATGTTCTCTAACTGAAGCCACCTACTTTCAGATTTAGATAAGCGCTAGTGACTGTGACCTCCACACTGGTACCCACAGCTCTGGGGAAAGTAGCTGCTTCTTGCAATTACTTAAGTGCGCTCCAGAATTAAGTGCTCTCTTTTCACAATTTTTTTTGTTTTTAAATTTAATTATTTTATGTGTGTGGGTGTTATGTCTGCATGTGTGTGCCTATTAGAGGGTGCCAGATTCCCATCCCCCCTCAGAGCTGGAGTTTCAGGAAGCTGTGAGTCATTCAATGTAGGTGCTAGGAACCAAATTCAGGTCTTCTGCAATAGCAGTAAGCATTCTTAAACACTGAGCCATCTCTACGGCCCTATTTTCATATTCTTGTTTTTAAGGTTTCATTTTTATTTTATGTGCATTGGTGTTTTGCCTGCATGTATGTCTGTGAAGGAGCCAGGTCCCCCGGAACTGCAATTACAGACAATCTTGAGCTGTCATTTGGGTGCTGGGAACTGAACCCTGGTCTTCTGGAAGAGCAGCCAGTGTTCTTAACCTCTGAGCCATCTCTCCAGCCTATTTTCATACTCTTAGTTAAACAAAATCCATTGTGTATGCCTAATTTGAAAATTCAAAATCTAAATGCTCCAAGAGCTGAAACATTTTGAGCATTGTGATGACTAATCTCCAGAGTTAGTCTAACTACATTTAGAATCCAGTCAGGGACCTCTGGGTCTGTCTACCATAGTGTTTCCAAAAAGAAGAGAGAAACCCAAGTTCCCTTTTTCTTTCTGGTTTTCAAGACAGGGTTTCTCTGTTTAACAGCCCTAGCTTTCCTTGAATTCAAAGAGATCCTCCTGCTTCTGCCTCCCAAGTGCTGGGATTAAAGGAGTGTGCCACCATGCCTGGCTGAAAGCAGCTTTCAATGTGGATGGCACCACTCCATAGGCTGGGGACTGAAAATATAAAGGAGAAGGGAGCTGGCTTCGCACTAGCACTCTTCACTCCTGCTTCCTGACTGCTGACAGTGTAACCAGATGTCTGACTGTCCAGCAACCAGGTCTTCACACAAGGATAGGATGCATCCCTCAAACGCTAAATCTAACAAAACTGTTCTGTCACTGTGTGGTCCCTTGTCAGATACTTGGTCAGAGAAAAGAGAAAAACTACTAATGCAAGCAGCATTGTGATGTCACAAGTGGAGAGTTTCACACCATGCAAGGCTGTTTCAGAAACTAGTTTGCCTGAGATACATGAAATTATCCCTAGATCAGAGTATATTCAAATGAAGTTTATATTTAGGCTTTAGTCTTATTCCCAAAATATCTCATTATGTATATGCAAACACACCAAAATTTAAAAGTTAAAACATTTTACAAGTACAAACATGACTGGTTTCAAGCATTTGGGATAAAGAATACTTAATCTGTACTAAATACTCTATAAAAATAGCATGACTTGAACCGGGTGTTGGTGGCGCACGCCTTTAATCCCAGCACTCGGGAGGCAGAGGCAGGCGGATCTCTGTGAGTTCGAGACCAGGCTGGACTACCAAGCGAGTTCCAGGACAGCCTCCAAAGCCACAGAGAAACCCTGTCTCGAAAAAAAACCAAAAAAAAAAAAAAATAGCATGACTTGAGTCTTAAGAGATTGCCCAGAGGTTAAGAGCACTAGGCCCTTCCAGAGGATCTGGGTTTGGTTCCCAGCACCCACATGGCGGCTTATAACCATTTGTAACTCCAGTTCCAGGGGATCCAATGTGCTCTTCTGACCCCTGAAGCACCAGTCATACATGAAGGCAAAACATCCATATTCATAAAATAAGAAATAATAAACAAATTTAAAAATTAAGTGATGTGGGCCACTTCCTAACAGAGCATGGGTTACTACTGGCAGTTCTGGTTTCTAAATCTAACTCAGCTATTTAATTATTTGTTTAGTGTTAAGAATTTAAAACTTAAAACACACAAATGTACATCATAAGTGGTAACTAATTTTTAAACCTCTCCAGTTAAAAAGTTTAAAGTTTGGGGCGAGATTCTACCAAAGGAAATCTACAAATTCAATGCAATCCCCATCAAAATCCCAGCACAGTTCTTCACAGAAATTGAAAGGACAATTTTCAGCTTATTATGGAAACACAAAAAACCAAAGACAGAAAAAACATCACCGAATAATAAAAGAACTGCTAGAGGTATTGCCATCCCCAATATCACACTATACACAGTACTATAATAATAAAAACTCCATGGTATTGGCATAAAAACAGACAGGTTGATCAATGGACTCACACATATCGATACCTGGCTTATTGTTTTTAAAAAGCTAGAAATGAGTATACACTGGGAAAAAATACAGCATCTTCAACAAATGTTGCTGGCCAAATAGGATGGCTGCATGTAAAGAGCAAACAGATCTGAACTTACCACCCTGCACAAAACTCAACTCCAAACGACCAAGGAATTGTTTTAAACTCATTGGTTAAGGAAAAGACTCTCTGAACAAAAACACTGATACCACAGACAAGAAAAACAACTAACGATACTTTATGAAACTGAGAAGCTTCTGTATGGCAAAGGACACTATCAATAGGACAAAGATTTTTACCAACCACACATCCAACAGGGCTAATGTCAAAAATACATGTATAACTCAAAAACTGTACATCAAGAACACAAATAACCCAATCTAAAAATGGGGTACAGATCCAAACAAAATTTTCAAAAGAGGAAGCTCAAATGGCTAAGAAGCACTTAAATGTTCAATGTCCTTAGTCCTTCAGGGAAATGCAAATCAAAATTACTTTGAGATTCCATCTTACACCAGCGAGAATGTCCAAGAACATCAAAACAGATGACAGCTCATGGTGGCAAGGATATGGGGTAAGGGAAACATTCATCCATTGCTGGTGGGACTGCAAAATTGTATAGCCACTATGGAAAACAGTACGGTGGTTCCTGGGGAAGCTGGGAATAGATTATCTCAGTCTTTGCCACTTGTGGTGGACTGCATGAGATTGGTTCCCATAGGTTCATATATTTACATGTATAGCCCCTAAGCTGTTCAGGAAGGATTAGGGAGTATGGTCTTGTTGGAGTAGGTATGGCCTTGTGGAGGAGGTACGTCACTAGGGGTGAGCTTTGAGATTTCAAAAGTCTATACCAGGTCCAGCTTGTATCTGTTTCTCTATCTTTCTGTCTCTCCCTCCCTGTCCCTTTACTGTCCTACCCACCCCCACCCCAGTCTGCTGTCTCTGAGTTAGAAGGAAGCTCTCAGTCACTTCTCCAGCACCACGCCTGCCTGCCTGTTGTCATGCTCCCTGACATGATGATAATGGACTAAGCTGCTAAAACCTGGGTAAGCAGCCCCCAATTAAATGCTTTCTTTTATAAGAGTTCCCTTGGTCATGGTGTCTCATTACAGCAATGATAACACTAACTGAGACAAAACTTGGGCCCAAAGGACCCTACATCCTACTACGGAGACACTTGTTCAACCATGTTCATTGTTGCTCTATTCATAATAGCCAGAAAGTAGATCTGGTCTACTTGTTTGTCAATGGATGAAGGGATAAAGAAAACATGGTACATTTACACAATGAAATATTACTCAGATGTTTACAAAAAAATCATGAAATTCCCCCATGCTAAATAGACAAATGTGTGGATGTTA